TTTTGTTTTTGCCTTTTTTTTGCGGTTTTTTCCTCGATTCCGTCACTTATCAGGAAACCTTTTTGGCCGGCGCTTGCTTTTCCATGGGAAGCCCAATACGGAATAGTCTCCCGGCTGAGCATTATTATTATCAATTGGCAATGATGATCTGACCGTCTTTTTCTGCAGCCTTTCCTCTCGGACTATGACAAAAGAAACCTTTTCGCCTGTTCACTCATTCACATTTTATTTGGTACCATTCGAATCGGTCGCGCACAGGCGTTTTTGGGAACAACCTGCTCTCATTCTATACCTATATATCTAATCTATATAACGGACTGATTTCCCCAGGTCCCATAATACATGACTGGTCTGGTTCAGTCGCTACTACCCTTGTCCTTGGAGATTCGATAGGTTGCCATTTGTCCGACGCTCTTCTATACGGCCAGACACCTCGGAACATACTACTACTATACACTACGTCCTGTACCCTTGCATACTTGCAGCAAATCAACATTCCTATCCGTGTACTTATCTACACACATATGCAATAGAACGGCCAAATAGCACAAGAAGGTACCAATATATACAGGGAAACAGTAATCGGTCATGGAGAGTTCACCGTACCCGGCTCACTTGGATCAGCTTTCACCTCCGCTTTCCCTTCCGGAACACACCTGGGAGACGGATATGTCGCGCCCTACTTCTTCCTCGGATGTCCACAACGCGGGCGAGGACGCAACGCCTCTGCCACAGCGGCTTGCCAAAATAGCTCACATGGTCTCGCAGAACGCCGACGTGTCAAGTGAGGATACGACCACGGTCCACCAGTGCCTCAACACTCTGGAAGCCCTGTTGGACCCGCGGCCAAAACTCACCCAGGAGGTCGTCAAATGCCGACCCACGCATATCTACCCTGAAACTTCACACCCTGTGGCTTCCGCAGCCTCCTGCTCTGTCCCGATGGAGGACCGTGCTTCATCCGCCTTCGACCCTTCGAGCTCGCAACTCATAGCTCTTTTGAACGAAGTAACCGCATTGAATACCGACTTGAACCAACGCCGTAAAGAATCGTCCCAAATATATGATCTTCTCAGGCGCGAGTGCCGAGGCCTGTCGCGACGGGTATTGGAGCTGGAAAATGAGGTCCACGAGCTGTAAGCTAATATCCACCAAACTGTCACTTTCATTCCTGGGCTAATGCGTGATTTTGTTCGTCGCAGGGAAACAGACATAATGGAAGGCTCAGCAGAGCGTGAAGCACTTCACGGTACGGTTTGCGGACTCGAGGCGTGGGTTAACGGATGGCAGAACGAACGTAAACCGGAAGCATCGCGACAAAATAAAGGAAAGCGGTGGATGAGGCGTAAGCCCGAAGAGCGCTATGAGACAGATGCAGAAGCACTTCTAGAGGGCATAACCGCGTGGATGCGTGGCTGGAAAGATGTCGAAGAAGGTTTCCGCGTTCGTGAAAGAGATCGGCAAGAAAGAAGGGAAGCAAGGCAAAGGCGTACTAGATTAGCCACAAACTCTGCGGATAACACATAGGAAAACCCATCATATGACCTGGGAACGCTGAGTTGCCGGGTTTGGGATTAGATTCGGCTGGAAGCGACTGCGATGTAAGAAAACCGAGACCGAGGATTTGCCGCAAAACTGATGCAAAACCCAAAATAAAGGAAGATTCTGATATTCAGTAATCATGCCGACCAAGAAGCAATGGTACAGTTGAGAATTAAGAGAATAGAATGCGCCAATGTGCCCACCGTAACCCACTATAACCGCAACTGACTGCTTTTCTGTTGAAAACCCCGAGTCTGCGCCGATATGTATCATCTAACCAAATGGTTATTGAATAAATTAGAATGCTGAAAGAAGAAAGAGCACAACAAGAACCTCTTGAAGCGGCGCTGATTGCTAGTTGTTGATCGGCTTTGGTTTTGCGCTCCACCTAGCCGCACATAAATGGGAGGAATGACATGGCCGAAGGTCGATCAGGCGGCCTAGTAGCAAACGATCCACAGGACCAAGAGCAAAAGGTAAGGTATAGTTTTCGATTGCATTCGTTGACGAGGATATCACAAATTATGTAGTAAAAAGTTGTAAGAGCGCATACGAGTGCATCATCAAGGTGTAGTTAGATATTCCTGCGTTTTCGCGGTTCGTAAAGTCTCAACTTTGCATGTTTATAATAGCCAACTACCCAATCTCAGTCAGCCTGTTATCTCTAATTGGGTACGATAGACAACATACCTGCTTGCCAAAGCCAAAAGCGAGTCGTTTACCATCAGTATCCCATGTAAGAGAGCGATCCAGTGTTGGTTCGGCGGTCCCATTGTGTCCATTGGCCAGGTGGTTCTGTCCTTCTTCGATCTTTGTTACGTCGGCCCCAGGCACGGTCCAAGTAGCCATTGCTGTGCCACCCCTCTGCGAATTCCAGATGAACAATTTTTCTTTGCTTGCAGCAGCCAGAGCATAGCCGTCCGGAGAGAAACTGCTGGCGAGGGCGGGTGAAGATGGACCAAGGAACAGACGATGAATGCAATCAAATCGTTTTGCGTCCAGATCAACATGCCATACTTTAACTGTATCATCAGTGGATGAAGAGGCTAGAACCAACGGTTGGTTCGTTTGTGGTTGCTCCAGTGTGTTTGGCTTAAGCTCCACTGTCGTGATAGCTCCTTCGTGTGCACCATCGAGGTGCATGTCGTGCGTCGGGATCCAGAAAGCGGCTGCAGCAGACGATGCAGCCACGGCCACCGAGGAGGAATTGGCATTTGCGCAACGAATAAATGACCAAGGCCTATCGGTCTCACTGGTATATGTCTTGGAGATGTGGATACTCGAGTCGACATCGCATTGGTAGACCATGCCATTACCCGAAGCGTATGCTACATTGCGCCCAAGCCAGCTGAGGTCATAGATTGTCCCGTCGATTACCTGTGGGGAGGGAAACTCGTCCGGTCGCAATGAATCATCCCAGAGAGCCAGCTCGGAGACTTTACTATCTGATGCCACAACGATCAAATGGGTGCCGCTCTCGGTCCAATGCAATCCAGTGATCATTCTAGGTACTTCGGGCAGGAGGTCAACAGCATTCCCGGCGACATCATACATAGTGATTGACCCTCTCATGTCCTTGTATGTGGCTACGGCCAATTTCTGGCCTGTAGGATCCCAGGCGACCGCAGAGACGCATATACTATCACCCTTACCCTCCACAAGTTTCTCTTGCACTGGACTCGTAGATGACGGCATTTTCCATAGACTGCAAAACGACTCGCCGACCGCAACGACAACAGTGGAATCGTTTGGACGCCACAATGCGCGGGTCACGTGGCAATCATCAGCCACATTCAAGACGGCGGTATCGGGACTAAGGTCGGCAGCCTTGGCGGGGGTGATCTGGACGCCAACGCTGTGGCCGTTGGTCAAGGTGAAAGTCGGCGCCGCGGTTGGTTCCTGGTCTTGCGAGTCCGGTCGGATACCCATGCTCACATCCCCATCCCCATCCACAGCATCGGCCAAGGATGGTGATGTAGCTACTGCGGATTTCGTCTCATTGGCAACACCATTTGAATCAATTTCCATTGGAATTTCGTCCCCGTTGGTCTCTGCGCGGTCACTCTTACGGCTTTTCTTAGCATTGGGGACAACTTGAGGTGTCGCAGATTCGCCTGTCAAGTGACCGTTGATCACGCTGTCGCCCGCGGCTTTACTCGTTGGCGAGACAGGCGCCTGGTCTGTGCCATTTTCACCCGGGCCACCCTGACTTTTCCGCGGTTCCGCTTCCAGCACGGCTGGTCCAAAGAAATAATCTGAAGGTGAAAAGGGCCTCAGATTCCCATCCTGTAAAAACTCATTAGTCGTTGGTAGACAGATATTCTTAGAAGACATTAATTGAAAAGAGAATAAAAAGGATCCGCCGGAAACCAAGACAATAGATCCGGCAGAGCAAGGTAACGTGCCTTATCGAGTGATTGTTCGAGCTCATGATATTGGAGACCCTTTTGTACCAAAGACACCAACGCATGAGTTTTTATATAGGGAGCGAAAGGTAAGCTCTGTGGGTCATGATTCCATGCGCGCTGCAGTGTCACTGCGGCTTCACCGTGACCTGCGATGTAGGTTAGATGAGAATCTTGGTCGTTGCCGGATACCTCAAGTCCTGTCAAGCGAGGATGCAGAGAAACGCGTAAAAAGGAGGGGGAGGTAAAGATAAAAATACAAAATACAAAATGAGAATTAGGATTGAAGAAGAGACGGGTTCAAACCAACCTGATTCTTGAAGATACCTAGAGCCTAGAAGTCAGTGACATGTACGAGGAAAATAGACATCAGGGGGTATCATGAGCTATCAGAGGTCCTGCACTCGAATGTCGGCAGAGAACCTTGAAGTTAAGAACGCACCTCCAGATTAGGTAGTTGACATGATGCGACGTAAGATCAGGATGTGACATTGTTACATGTATGACAGCTAGTAAGGTGGAGGATCCGCTAGCATGCCAGGAATAATAACAGGAACCTCCGCTAAACAAATTGCAGAAGGATAACGGTGGGTGATCGAGAATTTGAAAGATGCGAGAATCCCGAGATATAGGCGAGATTGGACCGTGTAAACCGAAGGACCTGTCTGCTGATATTACAGAATTCGCTCTCTAGACCGCCAGGGCGGAGGTCCAGTTCGGCGTCGGAAAGAGCGTGAGTGCCAAAACTGGGCCGGACGCAGCCAAGGCGTGACAAGGAAAACCGTAGTTGAAGGGGATGGGATGGGATATAATGCAGAGCGTTAAGGTGGAGTGGAAATGCCGGGGGGGGTAAGATCGTCAATTAAAGGGTAGATTGAGGATTGGAGAGGCTTTGACTAAGACCCTTGAACAGCGTTAAACAAGGGGGTTGTGGAAAAGAAGCCGCAAGAGTTGAAAAGAGAAAGTGAAGAATGAATATCGAGACGGGTCGAAATCGACACCAACGTGTGGCTTGAGATAGCAGACCCGCTAGCGAACTGCAAAGGTTGGAGCTGTACCAGTACGGTTACGGGAGGGGGTGGACAAACTGGAGGGCTGGACTCCAGAATTGGGAAGGCGAAAAGCAAGTGGGAAAAAAAAGTAATTAAAAAAATATAATAAAAATAAAATAAAAAGGAAAGCAGGGCAAGTGTGTCAAGGAATGATGATCACCACCACTTCTGCAGGGTAATAATAAGGTACAGGCAGACTGATCGGATGGCTGTCGTGACTGCGAGTAGGGAAGAAGTGAAATGAAAGAGGAAGAAGTGAGGTAGTAGTCTTCAAATCTCGAACCAACAAGCCAAGTTGAGTTTAGACAGTGGGAAAAAAAAGAAAAAGCTCAGTGGAATTTCTCCAGGCGGCTCTGGGACGCTGTTTCAGAGGAAGCCGGCACCCTTTTGCCAGTCACTTCGCAGTCAAGCCCGATTTTGACTTTGGCGACCTGGACTTTTGGCTTGACTCGTTGTGGCGTCCGGCCCACGACTTAGCGTGCAGTTGGGAAATCCACCGGTCCCCTTGGGTGGTTCTGACGGGCAAATGATCGGCCAGTGCGCTTGTCTGCTTCGGGACCTAGCGTTTTGCGGGTCGATTACAGTGTGATTTACACAGGGCCACGCAGTAGTACTAGTAGTGTACCTACCTAACGGACATTCTATTTCTATTTCCCTAGCAATATTTTTAATTTTTTAATTTTTTTTAATCATGATTATCCTTCTTTTAGTTGCGCTCCCCCAAATATTTGAATTAAATTAAACAAGGAATGTTCTTCCAAGCGCTTAGGATCAGACCGACCTGAAATTACATGGCCATATAACAATGACAATTATGGGACCAACAATAACCATATGAAATGGCAAAGGTACAAATAGTTAAATATAAGTAATTACTACTAGGAAAATTGGCATAACTAACTGCCAGATCCTCGGACCTACTCTAATAGTTAAATTGAATTTAATTCAATGACTAATGTTGATCGGGTTCCTCAAGGAATTTCTAGTGGTCCTTTTATTATTTTTCCTTTTTAATATTTCTTCCTTCCTAATTTCTTTTTAGGGCGGCATCTGGCGGATGCGTTCAACAGGCGGAGACCTGACCCATTCCTTTCTTTCCCATTCTGTGCTTGCAATGTCAATTTAGCCCTTTTTCGGCCACATGGTGACCTGTGACACCTTTGACCTTTGATGTTCCACATTACCGTCATCTTCTCGGCCTGCTTGATTAATTACGCCTTAGGGGTCTATTGGACGGAAAGAGGACGGGAAAAGCTCGTTCCATAGATCTGAATTTCCAAAAGATACAAATAGTTCTCATTCAAGGAGCCAAACTCCAATTCCCTGTGGGAACCATCGGGGTGACAATCTACCATTAAAATTCAAAAAGACTTTAGCCAAGCCATGTTTTACATACTGATACACTGAGTAGATCATGGATATTCATAAATGTAGGTGACTGCACCAATCACGCACCATCACTGGAGCCGCTGTCACTGAATTGTGCGATGACATCTATTTCTTCCTCTGCCCAATACCTTGGAATACACGGTGCTTCAGAGCGACAAGTCTTAGCATTGCCAAGACGAAATGGTCAAAGATGACCTGATGGTCGCTCTGAATCAAAACGGTGGTAGTGTGTCAGATATGGGCTTATTGTTTGAAACTTTAAAGCCACATGAATTGGAATGGTTTTTTTTTTTTTTTTTTTTAAGCGCCTTAAGAGTTTAGCACCTCGACAAGTACGGAGTACTTGCACACAAATCATAACTTTTCAGACCCCCTTTACCTCGGTCGTTGGAAAAGTATACCTTAGGCGCCAAGGCTGAAGGATGGTGCCTCAGGTCACCTATGTTATTTCCCCGGGCGGATGTGCAAAATAGGGTATCCAATCAAATAAACGCGATCGATCAGCGCCAAACAACGAACCAAACCCAAGGCGGAAGTGCTGCTTGGCCCGAAATCCACTCCAAAACTGCGATTGATCAACACCAACTTCGGCCACTTAATCCCCTAGTCGGGCTTTATCGACAGCCTGCGGTCTGCGTGGACACCAGCAGCCGCAAGAGCTCGTTTCCCACAATGGCGCTCCGAGTCAATATCCCTCCTGCAACCCGTACCTGTCTCATCAGCCTGCTCACTCTCTCCCTCCTGTACAATATCGCCCGATGGCGACAAATTGATGCTACGGGGGGTCATCCCTTGACCACTCCAGTTGTACCCTATCTGACTCTCGTCCCATCTGAGTTCTTTTACTACCCTTGGACATTTCTTACCGCGACTTTCGTGGAGCAGAATATCTTTACGGTTCTCTTGAACGGCGCCACCCTGTTCTATGGGGGCAAATACCTAGAGCGCGCTTGGGGCTCCCGAGAGTTTGCGAAATTCATTCTGGCCATCGCGGTGATCCCGAACGTAACGATTGTGCCCCTTTATCTTCTAGGAACTACCATCAGAGGTGGTTCGACCAGCGGGTATGGCTTGCTTTCCGATACCGAATGCACAACCTCTTGCGCCTTCCCTACTGACTCCCCGTCTCCAAGCGTAACCCAAATATGCGGTGGCATATCGATCCAAGCCTCCTTCCTTGTGGCTTTCAAGCAACTTGTTCCCGAGCATACTGTGACTATCTTGAAAGGCCTAGTGAAGATGCGGGTGAAGCATTTCCCGGCGCTTTTCTTATTGCTAAACACGATCAGCGGTATAATATTTGGAACACACGTGGCGGCAATACTCTCCTGGCTTGGCCTGTTGACAAGTTGGACCTACCTTCGATTCTTCAAACGGCAGCCGGATTTGACCGGTACATCTACCGACGGTTTAGGCTTCAAGGGAGACGCAAGTGAGACGTTTGCATTCGCGTGTCTCTTCCCGGACGTAATCCAACCTCCAATCTCGTTTGTCTCGGAGCAGGTTTACTCTTTGCTAGTCGCGTTAAAGATTTGCACCCCGTTTTCGGAGGAGGATATTGCATCGGGCAACCAACAAGTTCTTGCAAGAGGGGAGGCCGGCCTTCCTACTCTTCTTAACAACCAAAGAGGAGGAACGAGGGGAGCGGCTAAGCGTGAAGAGGCGGAGCGGAGACGGGCATTGGCTCTCAAGGCTTTGGATCAGAGACTTCAAGCTGCTGCTGCTGGAAGAGCGCATTCCCCCTCTCCACTGAACCAGCAGGGATCAGGCCAAACCCAGACTGCAACACCGACTGTATCAGCAGGCCAGGGCATGCTGGGCGAGACGAGCTATACGCCAGATCATGCTTGAATTGACAGGTGGCGCGCGCTTCGTGGGTATTCAGGAGTTTAGGCTCGCGTACGGGTATTGTATCTTAGCCTGTTATTTATGAGTGGGACATTTGAATATGGAGACTATACAGGGCTTGGGATGGGAAAGTTGTTTCTGATATGACGCATGTTTCTACTTAGTTGTATACAATGAGCCCGATATACACAAGGGCTCGTTGCTTTGTCTTTGCGTTGATGATATCCTGACGATGTATCTATCCCTCAAGATCACAGGGGAAAGTTAAGCCATTATTTAACACAAACGAGACACCTAGAACTACATATTTCAAAAGAAAATAGAAAAAAGGAAAAAAAGGCTATGCTACAGTTGATCATGCCCGGCGTCTTCCCGCAACCCCAAACAGTTTTTTACCAGACTTACAGTTGCTTCAGCTTCTCAATTTCTCCCCGAGCCTCTTGTAACATCCGCTCTTGGTCCTTCTTGGCCTGGCGGATAGCGGCTAGCCGTACCCGGTCCTTGTCCGACTGCTGACGCATTTGCTCCAGCTTCTGCAGCTCCGCCTCCTCCTCGGGAGTAGCAGGCACTTCCTGGGCCCCGGTCACCATCTTAACCTTGTTCCAGATCTCCTTGTAATCGAGATTCTTCAAATCCAGAATGGCTGTCTTTTCTGTTGACTCCGGCGCTGGGGCGTGTTTATCCTCAACCTTTGCCGCGGTCAACGAAGCGGCATTGCTCGCGCGCTCTGCGAAGTATATCGTCAAGGCTGCCGGTCCCTCCTGTTCTTGTGTCTGCTTCACGGTCATCTGAAGACCTGGGTTGTGGTACTTGAGCCGGGGAAGACAGTTGCGCCAGAAATGCCGTGCGCCTTGGTGACCGCCATAGATCTTTTGGGCGTATGTGAGGTGTAGACGGGTGATGGCTGGGAATTCTTGGGTCGCAGAGGTAGCAGAAGGAAGAATGGCGGCACCGGGTCCCACGCGGACGTTGAGGATCTGTGGAAAAGCCAAGTTAGATCGTGCGCTTCTTGATATAAACGGGCCTCCCCTGTTGTCGTCGTTGCAAGATAGAGTTGAGCGTTGGATGCCGCCACGACCTTGCCGGAAAGGTGGAGCAATGGTAGTGTAGGAGATTTGTTCATTGCGAGCATTACCTTCTGCAGATGGTTAAAACCTGGTGTCAGCCTCTGCCATTCATTTAGATGCAAGCAATTGTGGTTGCCAACTTACGGTTTTCAGCTTCCGCATCCGCTTGAAGACGTTCACCATGATGACGGGGAAGGCGCAACGCGCAGTAACTTTAGAGCAACGGTTGAAAGAGGGGCTTTAAAGGATTGCAAAAGTTAGCCAACCCGGGGATCGATTAGCTGCAACAGTCCCGAGCGGAATTGGATGGAGTGCTGCTCGGAGCTCATCTCGATTTTTGGCCTGTCGGCGGAAAGATTGAGACGGTCCGATAGGCGGTCATGTGACTATACATCTGGCCTGGCTCTCGCACCAATTGCTGACGTGCACGCCATTCAATGCGATTCTTATCGAACGATAGTTTATTTTGATATAAATGAAAAAGCCACCTCTATGAGTCATTTACAACGATCAAGATCTGCTCCCATGTTGACTCATGGTAGAATGATAGTAGAGATATGTTGTATTGATTCTGTGATGAATGTAGCAGGCGGTGAGAGATGTACTGCCGGCGTCCGATTCCCACATAATCTTTTGACTCAGAACATCGATAAAGTCTTACCCCGCGGCAGAGTTATAAAAACCACTTTTGATCCACTCCCGTTCAGGGCTCTTCAGTTGAGTTTGCAATACAGCAAACCATTCATTAAGAGCCATGGCAGCCGCTGCTGCTTCCGCAGCTGCGCTCGACCCGAGCGCCGGCGCAAAAAACACCCTCAAACTCGAAAATGTTTCTATATCCTACCCCTCCTCCCCCCGGCTTTCTTTGTCCATGCGGTGCTAATTGGTGGATCCCGAAATAGACCGAGAAGAGAGATACCCTTATCGCCATCGAGAAGAAATACCAGGCGCAATGGAAGGAGAACAAGGTTTTCGAGGTCGATGCTCCCTCCTTCGAGGAGGTTCCTGAGGGCTCCATGTCCGCCGCGGAGCTCCGTGAGAAGTATCCCAAGTTCTTCGGAACCATGGCTTACCCCTACATGAACGGTACCCTGCACGCAGGTCACAGTTTCACTGCCAGTAAGGTCGAGTTCATGGCCGGTGTTGCCCGCATGGACGGTAAGAGGGCTCTTTTCCCCCTGGGTTTCCACTGCACCGGTATGCCTATCAAGGCTTGCGCGGATAAGCTTTCCGACGAGGTCAAGAAATTCGGACAGAACTTCGAGGGCTACAAGGAAGAGGCTGAGGAGGAGGAGACGGCCCCTGCCGCCCCCACTCAGGAAGTCAAGAACGAGCAACAGGAGAAGTTCTCCGGAAAGAAGAGCAAGGCCGCCGCCAAGACCGTGAAGATGAAGTACCAGTTCCAGATCATGTTGGCGATCGGTATTCCCTTGGAGGAAATCCACAAGTTTGCCGACGCTGGCCACTGGCTCCACCACTTCCCTCCCCTGGCCATCCGTGATCTTGACAGCCTTGGCGCCAGAATTGATTGGCGTCGTCAGATGGTCACCACTGATGCGAACCCCTACTACGATGCCTTTGTGCGCTGGCAGATGAACCGTCTCCATGAGCTCGGTAAGATCCAGTATGGTAGCCGTTACACTATCTATTCCCCCAAGGACGGACAGCCTTGCATGGACCACGACCGGACCAAGGGTGAAGGTATCGGACCCCAGGAATACACCGCCATGAAGCTGAAGGTGAAGGAATGGGCCCCACAGATTGCCGAGATCGTCAAGGGCAAGATTGAGGAGGATGCCAGTGTGTACTTTGTTCCTGCTACTCTGCGCCCGGAGACGATGTACGGCCAGACTTGCTGCTTCCTCGGCCCTAAGATCAACTATGGTATCTTCAAGGTGAAGGAGAAGGAATACTATGTTTGCACAAAGCGGGCCGCATGGAACATGGCTTTCCAGGGCACTTTCTTTAGCAGTGACAACTTCCCCAAGACTCAGGATCAGTTGCCGATCGTCGCGGAGGCTCCAGGATCCGCCTATGTTGGTACACTTGTTAACGCTCCACTCTCACTCCACACCGAAGGTGTGCGAATTCTGCCTATGGAAAGCGTTTCTGCCAGCAAGGGTACCGGTGTCGTCACCTCTGTGCCTTCTGACAGCCCTGATGATTACGCTACTTTGGCTGATCTGGCCAAGAAGCCCGAGTACTATGGAATCCAGAAGGAGTGGGCCGAGCTAGAGATCTTCCCTCTCATCGAAACCCCCACTTATGGCAACCTTACCGCCCCCGCCCTTGTTAAGCAGCTGAAGATCAACTCTCCTAAGGATGTCACCCAGCTGGCAAAGGCCAAGGAGTTGGCATACAGTGAAGCCTTCTACAAGGGTACTATGGTCGCTGGTGAGTACAAGGGTGAGCCTGTGAGCGCTGCTAAGGACAAGATCCGTAAGGCTCTTTACGAGAGCGGTGATGCTTTCCCCTTTGCGGACCCCATGGGAGAGGTCGTCAGCAGAAGCGGGGATGACTGTGTGGTTGCGTACCTCGGTCAATGGTTCCTGAACTACGGAGAGAACGACGCCAAGTGGCAAAAGGACACACTGGACCATGTCGTGAACACCCTCAACACATACACCAACGAGACCAAGCATGGCTTCGAGAAGAACCTTGACTGGCTCAACCGCTGGGCTTGCGCGAGAACCTATGGTTTGGGCTCTAAGCTGCCATGGGATCCTCAATTCCTCGTTGAGAGTTTGAGTGACAGTACCGTCTACATGGCCTACTATACAATTGCCCACTTGTTGCACGGTGACCGCTACGGTCAGACCCTCGGTCCCTTGAACGTGAAGGCTGAGCAGATGATCGACGAGGTCTGGGACTATGTATTCACAAGACGCGAGCTTAGCGACGAGCTGATCTCGAAGAGCGGAATTAGCAAGGAAGGTTTGCAGCAGATGCGCAGAGAATTCGAGTACTGGTACCCGTTGGATGTTAGAGTTTCTGGAAAGGACCTCATCCCGAACCACTTGACCTTCTTCCTTTACATCCACGTTGCGCTCTTCCCACCGGAGTACTGGCCTCGCGGTGTTCGCGCGAACGGACACTTGCTTCTTAACGGCGAGAAGATGAGCAAGAGCACTGGTAACTTCCTCACATTGAAGGACAGTGTTGACAAATTCGGTGCTGACGCTACCCGTATTGCGTTCGCCGATGCCGGTGATGGTATCGAGGATGCTAACTTCGATGAGACCGTTGCTAACAGTAACATTCTGAGACTGCACACCCTCAAGGAATGGGTTGAGGAGATTTCCAAGGATGAAACCCTGCGCACTGGCCCCGCGGATGCATTCTGGGATAAGATTTTCAACAACGAGATGAATGGCTTGGTTCGTGAGGCCCGGAAGCACTACCAAGAGTAAGCTACAAACCATCATTCTCCTCCCCTGTACCCCATGATGAACAAGTGTTAACACTACCGTAGCACCGACTTTAAGCTCGCCTTGAAATCTGGTCTGTACGACCTGGTTAGTGCCCGTGATGCCTACCGTGAGTCCGCAACATCAGCCGGTGTTGGTATGCACCGTGATGTGATCCTGCGCTACATCGAGCTGCAAGCCCTCATGCTTGCCGTCATTGCTCCTCACTGGGCCGAATACGTTTGGCTCGAGATCCTGAAGAAGGTTAGTGGTTTTCGACCTCACTGGAAACGCATAACTAACGTCACCTACAATACAGCCCGAGTCTATTCACCACGCTCGCTTCCCCGAAGTTCCCGAGCAATCACCAGAGCTGACCGCCATCAGCACCTATGTCCGGGCCACTTCCTCCAGCATCACCTCTGCTGAGGCTCAGCTCGCCAAGAAGGCTTCCAAGGGCAAGACCGCTGGCTACGACCCCCGTAAGCCCAAGAAGCTCACAATCTACGCTGCCAAGAAGTACCCCTCGTGGCAGGAGAAGTACATCGACCTGGTCCGCGAGGCCTTCGATGGTCTCAACCTCTCCATCAACGACAAGGAGCTGAACGCCAAGGTCGGCAAGATGGGCGAGATGAAGAAGGCCATGCCTTTCGTCCAGACCCTGAAGAGACGTCTTATCCAGAGCCGCGAGGAGCCCGAGACCGTCTTCAGCCGCAAGCTGCCGTTCGATGAGTTCGCCGTCCTCAAGGAGATGCTCGTGAACCTGCAAAAGACAACCGGCTGCAAGGTGATCGAGATCATCGCCGTTGACGAGGGTGGCAAGACCGGCGAGGTCGTTGGCTCCGGTGAAAAGAGAGAGGGTCTCACTGCCGAGAATGCCGTCCCTGGTCAACCCACCTTCCAATTCACCAACATTGAAGAGAGTAACTGAACGAGTTGATCCTACATATTTTAGATCCATAAATTAAAAGAATATGAAGAATGCAATGGTTATGACATGGTTTAAATCTCTGACCTACTCTTAGTCAAATAAATCACCACAAGTAATACCTGGATCTATCAAACAGACCTCAACACTCCAATCAACCTACCCCCAGTAAAAAGTACCCTCAACATCAGCCAAAAAACCCCCAGAAAAAAAAAAAAAAAAAAAAAAAAAAAAAAAAAAAAAAAAAAAAAAAAAAAAAACCTACCTCCTCAACCCCACCCTCAAAACCTCCTCCTCATGCGCAAACACAAGCCTAAACCACCCCGCCTCCACCCCATGCTCTTCCCCCGGATGCAAAAACACTCCAGCATCCAGGAACCTCTGCGCCAGGGCAAACTCGCGCTCCCGGACCGGGCGACCAGGATACGGAAGGTAGGGCGAGAGGTCGACGTAGATGAAGAAACCGGCGTTTCTGGAAGCTGTCAGCAGCGCATATACATATTTACCATGGTGGAGACTCGACAAGGGGGGATGAACCCGAGCTAAAGCGAGGACGGGGGAGAGGGAGGTATTAGTCTTGCTTACCCTCCTTTGACGTAATTGACACCTTCGTGGTCGAGTGTTGTCGTGGCGAGTCGGTATGTCGATGCTAGGCTTTGGCGGGCTCTTTGGGTGAACTGGGTGATAAAGTCTTGGTCTTCGAGGATGGTTGTCCCGATTGTTATGGAGGCTGTTGAGGCGTTGTGCAGCCTCCTTTGTGTATGTATTGCATCTTAGCTAATGTATGATGTGGACGGGGTAGTGGAGTAGGGAAACTGACAATATGGCTTTGCAAGCTTGACGGAGGGCCGTGTTCTGCGTGATTAAGAAGCCGAGGTGGAGGCCTCCAGCTGCGAAGTCCTGGTTCCTATGTGTTAGTTTTGCGATGGTAGATGGTGGAACATGACTGACCTTGCTGAAGCCGTAGAGTAAGTGGACGAGATCAGGGTCGATCAGTTCAGGCGTAGCGATAGATAAGACGGAGGTGAAAGGGACTGCGCTTGGGTCTCCCGAGTCGAAGACGCAGGATGCGTAGACTTCATCGCTGATGAGGTGGAGACTGTGTCTATTGCAGAACCGGAGGATTGCTTTCAGTGTTTCGGCTGGGTAGCAGCGTCCTAGTACTCTGTTCAGGGAGTGCGAGTATTTTTTTCCATGGATGATATTATATTACTTACCGACAGGGTTATGCGGGTTCACAATCAACACTGCCCGGATCGTGGTGCCCTCGTCTTCTGCACGTTGAAGCGCCGCCTCGTACTTCTCCACCACGGCGGGGGTAAACGCCTCCTCGGGATCCGTATCTGCGTACACGATCTGCACGTCTGCTTCGACGCCATAGTCAAGCTCGAAGCGGCCGTAGACCGGTCGACTGACTAGGATACCGTCCCCGGGCTCGGCCAGGGCGAAGCCGAGCATGCTCCCGATGGCCGTGATGCCGCTGGCGACGATGACTGTGTCTGGGTCAACAGGTGAACGCGGCTGTAGAATATTGTTAAGGTGGACGGCCACTGCATTTGGCAAACGATTGGGAGCCGAGGAGCTGGATCCATAGCCAACGGAGTCTTCGGTGAATGTGACCTGCGCGTGGAGGTGAACTCAGGGATATATATGAAATAGCACTATCAGAGCAGTTCAGACCTTGTTGTTGATGTACTTTGCTACCTCAGCCCGCATTGGGATCTACCTGACCGTTAGTGAATGCAAGGAGATAGATAATATAGCTTCCCAAGAAAGAGCCTACATGCTCTGCCATGCCAAATGAGATCAGCCCCGCGGGGTTGCTTTGCTTGTTGTATGTATGTGGAGGGGCATATCGCCAAGGAGTCTTAGGCAATTCGGCCTTCTTGATGCCGCGCGAGGAGAGCATGTTGGTTCTAGGAATGTCTGGTAGGATATTCAAGCACTGGTTTTAATTTAATGAAGAGGGATAGATGGGACTCGAACAATTGTATTTCTGCTTAAAGGAAAGGACCTTGGGCGCTGCTATACAGACGATCTGCCGTTATGTCAGCGGACTTGAGCTATTTAGGGTTCGTGAAACGGGTGATTTGCAGTACGAGTTTCCCGATATATACTTCGGCGCGTTTGAGATATCGTGACAAGTCATAGCCAGTATGTGTCAGGGTTTATCAGGGTTGATTTGGAATTCTTTTACTACCGATCAAGAGGGGCAGATCCACATTGACTCTGCATCTCGCCAGCCAACCCTAGTTGGCCTGCAGACAAGTATCCACACGCTGCATACAACTATATGGGCCTCCCAGATCGACAGTTATATTCAATTCAGCCATGTCAATAGCATGACCGGCATATGCATCTATCATATATCTAAACAATATCTATATATCCCCCCTCGGGTGCGAGCATCGTCAACTAAATACAACAGATATTCAGTAAACGTTCGTTATAACTTATACCTTAACTATCCCACCACCTTCCCCTATCATGCACATCATTCAAACCCAAGCCTCGTATACTGATGTCCCAATTTATCCATCGGCAGATTCCCAATCTGCGGAGTCTTATCAGCAGAAGCCATCGCCTCGTCCGCCCAGTCCAAACGGTCCTCAAAAAACCCCACGAACCTCAGAGCCCTAATTAGCAACCCGGGCTCCCGGGGTGGTTTCTTCGTTCTGGCGAATACATTCAGGTTAGCAGACTGTTAAACATAGTTACCAAAGAAGAAAGCAGAACAGAAAAGAAGAAAAATCGAATAAAAACGAAAATACAAGGGAGGAAAAAAAAAAAAACATACCTCTCCTCCCAAGCCCTCCTCCCAGCAAACGTACTAATCTTCCCGACAGCATGCACGAGCAACAAATACGCAACTATCGCGCTCGGCTTCGTACAGTGTCCGATACTAATCAACGCACTCCCGAAGATAGCCTCGGCGTAGACGAAGCGTGAATTGACGTTCTTGGAGAATGATAGGCTGGGGCCCATCGTCCCGAAGAGGAAGATGATGATGCGGGCGTAGAGGAAGCTGTGGATGGGCACGATGGCGTCGTGGTAGTCGACGGGGTCTTGGGAGGCGTACGCCTGGAGGATTTGATACATGCGGAGGAGGTTGCCTCCTTGGTAGGCTGGACCTGTTTGCTTTTCCTTCTAGCTTTCGTCTGTGGAAAAGATATTGGGGAGAGTAGGTCGGGGCTTACGGGTGTGTGGAGGATAGCCGTTTGGGAGTCGTTTAGCCAGACTGAGGGAGGTGATGGAATGGACATAGCAGGCTACTACTGCTAGGAGTGTGCAATTGAGGTTGCTGAAGTAGAGGGCTAGCTCGGTTATGCCGGCGAGGACGTGCCATGGTAGGTCTGGGGTTTGTTAGTGCTGTGAAATGACGATGTAGTATGCGCAGAGGTGGATTTGGTACATTTGTGGCGCCCCCGGTACGATTTGCCCCGGTTGACGGCAAAATATACGAAAAATATGGCGTAGAGGCTAATGAGGAGCGCATCTGAGTCTGTAGTGTGAATGCGTGTGTTGGCTTGCATGGCGAGTGGTTTTTGAGGCTTATCTGCCACGTCTTGCCATGAATGATCTCAGGGAAAGGCACTGGGTGATTCTTATAGAGATGGTTGAATCTATCAACCGCATTGGGGGAGAAGCAATCACTTAAAAATGACAGTCGCAGGCTGATTTAGCATATGATAGTATACCCCCCCTGGTCTTATGTGCCTTGAATGTAACCTGATTTTCTACTAGTTCAGCTGAGAAGTACCGTCCAATATCGTCAGTGGTTACAGTATATGCACCCTGTACACCTGCAGAAGGGTTTGTGGATCCTCCTTTGCATATGACTGGTACGTTTAGTAATGACTACGTACAAGCTGAACGAGATGATCAAGTGTAAAGTACTGTATTATTAAACTACAGTCCAATACTTGTGTTTCCATGACTATAGAACTCATGTTCGCCGGATGGCCGAGTCGAAGCGAGCATGCCCGGTCGATCGCGCTAGTCTTTTTCCAGTATGTGAGGCCGTGGCTATTTATTCTTGGTCTCTGCCACATTCAAGGCCCTTTTACGTCATGGAAACCGGATCCTCGTGGATGGAACATGGTTAGAATGATGGCATGGGAAGTCCTGGGAGAGAAAGCGTGCTTTCCCTGCACAATCCCGGTCATCGACGCAAGTCGAAGTATAAATCTTGCCAGAGCCGCACACTCTAACGGAGATAAGCATCATGGGAAAGGTAAATCTTTAGTTGCCTCCAATGGGAAACACGTATGACATAAAGCACTGCAGTTGGATTACGATGGCCCATGAATCCGACATTCTACGCTTAGAGTGACTCGACAGGAGTCACTGGACCATACGGAGATCAGACAAGCGAGAAACTCGCGCTTGGTCAGCTACATTACAGCCAGAGAATCAGACCACTCTAAGTGTTGTCTCACTATAGATCAAGTTTCTTATCCGAAGCTTGCAGGTACGTTCAATTCGTCATTACTCTTGACTCAATTAAATGACATACTCGTCAAGTTTGTAGCGCCGGTTTTAAGAAACACATCAAACTCGTCATAAGTACCATTAACATTCATGAAATAGTAATCCTCCCTTGCCACAGCATGGTGGCTGCAATTACGCAGACACCGCGGCCTCGGTTGCCTTCTTGAGACGCGCACCAAGGTCTGCGTTAACTTTCGCAAAGAGTCCTACACAAGGTCAGTCAACCGAATACTTGTACATAGAATAGATGTCCACATACCATAGACCGCATTGCGCAGCTGGGGAGATTGAACACCCTTAATATGGCCTGCAAGGTTCGCAATCGTTCTGTCCTGGTGACCGGGCTCCCTGCCGAGGACTTCCCAGAGAGCAGCGGGTTGGACGAAGTCATCATCCGTGATATGGCTCTGGAAGTTGGTCACTTCTCCCACCCATTTCTCGTGTTCGGTCAGTCCGCTCAGTCGGGCGGCTCCCGAGTTCTTCACCTCTTGGTAGAACTTGGTGGGCTGCAGGGACGAGCCAACGTAGTTGGGATCACCGCCATAGTTGTCGTCAAAGCGCATGGCGCCATCTCTCTGGTAAGGGCAGTAGACGGGTGACTTGGCTGCATTGGTCGGGAGCTGCTGGTAGTTCACTCCGAGACGGTACCGGGCCGCATCGGGGTAAGCGAACATACGGGCTTGGAGCACTGATATAAAGGTTAGCCAAGCGGGACATGTTTTCAGTGAACAAATAACCTACTTGGATCAGCCGATGGTGCAATACCGGGCACCATGGTGGACGGGGAGAAGGCCGCCTGCTCAATATCGGTGAAGTAGTTCTTGGGCTAGATCGAGACCGAATTAGCATCGTGTACTTGAATCATGGCCTAAGCGGGATGGCACGGTTGAGGCATACATTGCGGTTCATAGTCAACTTTCCAATTTGTCTCAGCGGGTAGTCTTTGTGAGGCCAAACTTTGGTCATGTCAAAGATGTTCCAGCGGTAGTTCTCCGCGTCGGCTGGATCCATAACCTGGACATAGACGTTCCACACGGGGTAGTTGCCCTTCGCGATAGCGTCATGCATATCCCGAATAAGGTAATCGGGGTCTTCGCCGGCAATCTTGACGGCTTCCGCGCTGGACATGTTTTTAACACCCTCGGCGCTCTTGATGTGGATCTTGATATATTTAAATGATCCGTCCTATTGACGCGCATGTTAGTTACGTCGGCCGTCTAGAGGAATACAGAGACTTGAGAGCATTGGCAGATTACCTCCTTAGTAAACTTGTAGGTATGTCCACTGTAGGCATTCATGTTGCGGATAGACTTGGGTGTTCCGCGGTCACTGAAGAGGTGAAGAAGCTCATGGATACCTTCGGGGTTGCCGACGTGGAAGCTAAGAGTGTTAATACAGGAGTTGATGTGTGCTGAGCCAAGTATACTTACTCCCAGAACTACAGAAGCAGTCAGCATTAGCATTGGATCAATTTACCACTAGTCAAAACGAAATTATGTGGGCTACTCACCATGTTTGCATCGGGAAGATGAGTCGTAGGGTGTCTCTTGTGCGAACGGTTCAAGGAAGGGAACTTAATTGGGTCGCGAACGAAGAAGACCGGCTGCGACCAAGTCAGTTATGTTCCACACGTATAATTGAATAATACTGACCGTGTTGTTGAAGACCCAATCCAAGTTACCCTCATCCGTGTACATCTTCATGGCCCATCCGTGAACATCACGAGTAGTGTCAGCCGAACCGGCTTCAGGTCCAACTGTAGACACGCGAAGGAGGACGGGAGACTTCTTGCCAGCCTTGCTCAAAAAGCTAGCGGAAGTAATATCGGAGCAATCGCTGGTGGCTTCGAACTCTCCATATGCGCTGTTTTGGAGTGTATAAGCTTGGATTGTTGATGGTGGTGTGCAATGTATATAGTTGCATCACTTACCCCACTGCCTTGGCATGGACCACACTAAAAATACGTTAGTATATATACAATATAGCTAAGGTCCAGTATGTAGAAAGTGAAGGATGCTTACCGCTCAGGGATTCTCTCACGAGAGAAATGGGCGAGAGTCTCAATGAGTTGTGTATCTTGGAGCAAAGAAAGCCCACCACCAGAGCCGTTCCGCAGTTGAACGGTGGAACTGTTGCTAGCAAAAGGGCAGCCTGCTTCAGTTAGTGGACCTGAGAGCTATCTATATCTAAGTTTTCAATTGGGCTATCACCTTCTGCCAGAGTATAGTAACGTTCGGCCATGTTGAGGTTGGTATCTGCAGTCAATGGTACAGGTACAGCAGTAAAGTAGAGTGGATGGATCCTTTCACAATGGCCAAGGGAAGGGGTTGACAGAGCTATATAGCCTGACAGCTCCGTCACATCCCACGATAAACTACGCAATAAGGTAGTTGTTCCTGTTTGGGTTCGTCCATTGCAGGCTCTACCAATTACGTGAGTATTCTGCGTTAGTTTCTGCGTTGGCCATGCAGAGGCCTCTGCAGTAGTCTCGATTCCGAGTACCACCAGATCAGGACGTTCATTCCACTCCTGTGCGTCCCATTGGCTTAACTGAAGGTATATCTGCGAAAATCCGGTTGGAGATGGGGTGTGGTGCCGTCATTCGAAGCTCTGAGTTCGGGCGAGTACCCACGAGAAACCCTAACTGCGGGATGCTGATGCGAGGATGGGTGATGCGCACGCAGTCTAGACTGGGGCTGCTCCATGCCGCAATCAGAGAAACCCCTCACGACTGAGCAGCATTCTTAATCCCGGGGATCTCATTGGAAGCCGTGCTATTTCTGTCATCTGGACTAGTTGTGGTTGAGATGGAGATGGCATTTGGGGAGGGTCCGACCTTACCGGATGCAGTAGTACTACGGACCCAATCAATTCCAGGTCCCTTTGCGACGACTCTGGGACATGACGTCCTGCACTCTGTATGCTTTTCTTATGTCATTGACTGTTGCTCTTATATGGATTTAAGTTGTCCGGTATCTTTGGTTGTCCTCCAGTGGCACAATCTTACTTCACATTGCCTATATCCGCAGAGCAAATTCCACATACCTCGAGCAATCCGGGAAAGGAACAAAAATATAGAGATAACCCTACCGTATTGATTTCCAGACCAGACTCCACCATGTCGGAAGGTTGGTCAAGCCTTGCCAAGCCAGACTGGCAGCCAGACTGATGGCCCGCAGATTCGCATCCACAGCCACAGCACCACCACCAGGGTTTCTTCGATCGGATCCTCCACCCGGAACACCATCACCAAGACCAGGAACAACACCAGGACCAACCTGAGTCTCGGGGAAATGAGGCCCCCGCAAAGGAGAGCGAACTCGACAAAATCAGGGATGACATCAAGGAAGATCAGGAAGAGGTGGCCGAGGGCGATATTTATGCAGGCTTGATGTGAATGTTTTATGATCGGCGCCAGTTTCTGTTATTGCTCACAAGGGATGGGATCACGGTTACTCAAGGGAGTTTGTATGGTAATAATAATGAATTAAATAAGAATGTTACATCACTGAATATACATTTTACCTAATGGCAGTCTCAGTATAATATGAACCTTTTTTGAATAGGAGACGTCTATGTCTATAATCAGGAGGATGTAAGTACAGTAGTGGATCTTTCCCCCACAATGAATGCCCGGTCAAAACACCAATCGCTATGCTATATGCTGTACAGATGTTGAAAGGAATCTGGAAGGGAACTATAACAGTAGCCCCGGAACAGCCGTAGAACATTGTTGTACGGCCGATCAGACTTTAGATGTATGATGGGCACGCTTCTTCTGCCCGATACTTTGTCGCCCTCGTGCGCCCTTCTTACGTTTCTCCACAGCCTGTTTCTCTGCGACGTACTTCCAGCATTCAATGGGACGTCGCACGCCAACATGTCGTCCGTTCGGAGTGAAGATCTCAACCTGCGGTAACGACCTGGCGGACTCGCCGTCTGTAGACCTGGCACGGATCTGAGCCGTGAGCTCGACCCAACCGCACCCCTCAACGAGTATATCTGCCGACATCACTTTATATGGCAGAGGAGGGGGTTTTATCCCCTTATCTTCCACTGCCTTCGCGATCGTCGTTGGTAGATGCGACCGGGTCACGTCCCATTTAAGGTCAAAGATCCCGGCGGAAGTAATTTGGTTGCCGACGCCTTCTATCATGATATTCGCCCCAGGATAAGGACGCTGTTCAGCTTGCATTTCAACGGCTTTTTCAGTCTTCGTGACATGGGCCTCGATCGGGATAAAACAAGCTGCCATTAGTACCTCGTCAGGGTTCACCGACGTGATTCGCACAAGGCCTCCCCCTAGAAGCAGTGATTGGCCTGACTTGATAGTATGCCGTTCTGGCTTTCTCCGTTTAGTCATGATCATGTCTCGTTTGTATTCGTCACGGACGTAGTCTGCTAGGTCGCCCCGATCCATGCCGGGCAAATCGATCATTTCTCCTCCGCCACGGCCAAATGGTATGCGAATCGGCGAAACAGTAGTCCCTGGCAGCGACGAAACAACCGGCAGGACAGGATAAAGGTCTTCCTGGGGGGCAGGTGGTAGAAGGCTGTCAGAATCAGCCATGATGGCGTCGCGTGGGCTGATATTCGACTCTGCTTGGCGACGCTCAACCAATTCAGCAATTTTCTCAAGGTTCTTAGAATCCTTGGGAAAGCAAGCTTCTATGAAGCTGCTCTTCCCGACATTAGCCTTGCCCACTACCCAGACACCACCTCCGTGGTTCTTGATTTCCTCCTTGACTTTTTTAGTCCACCAGCCTCGGTGAGCGCTTATCATATGCACATTGCCCAGACGGAAATCCTCGGTCGACTTAGCAAGTGCCTCTCGCAGGACCGAGCGAACATATTCCATTTTCGAGTCCACCTGTTCCTTGGTAGGAGCCAAAAGATCAGAGCGTGTTATGATGAAGCTGATAGTAGGTAATTTCTTTCCTCCTCGGTATTTCTCGGTGGAAGCTCGCCGGTTGCGCGACCGCTGTTCCTCGATGGAAAGTGCCTCGTATATATTATCGACAAGAGACATGGGAAAATCTGCTGCGTCAATTACGTGGTAGATCCGGTTATATTTGTATGGTGACTCGTCAAGGTAAGCCCCAATGGAGTATATCGTAGGTGAAATCGCAGGAACCGCTTTGTTATGGTGTATGAGATCGTGACATCTATCGCAAACCTGCACAGGGGGTCGCGACTTTTCAATGTACTCTTTAGCAGTGGCTGCAGCATTTTCAAGTAAAGCGCCATCTAAACAGTATTGTTAGTATCCTTTCCGAAGGGAACAGGATAAACACCACGTACGGACAGGCTTAGGAGCGGCCGCTTCTGCCTCTGACTCCTTGATTAGTTGCTGGATTGTGCCTGCAGCCTTTTCTCCCTCTGCCTTCAGATCCGCTACCTCCCCCGTCTCTCCATCCTGCACGCCACTTTCTTGTGCTGTCTCGGACAAGAGCTTCCGTGTTTGCTTTCTGGTTTTGCTGTAGTATCCTGGTTCGCCGGGCTCGATGGTTTGCGCGTATGCACCACATCCTGGACAGCAGACGGGTAGAACAAGGTCAGTAAGCTCTGATGATTTCGCACATAATGAAGGACCCGAGGATAGGGGGCGTCGCTGCGGTTTTCTGATCAGGCCGTCTGCATTCCGAACGGACAGCACCTCTGGGTGCAGAAATAAGCTCTGAGAGGATCGCGCTCCGGGGAGCTGGTGTAACTGGCGCGAACAGCGGGGAAGGAAATATTTTAATCGAGGGGCTCTTTGAATTATGCGCCTAAGATACAGCGACATGACAGTATAAAATTTTCCCAGTTGGAAGACCGGAGGTGATCTGCGACAGAGATCAAAAGCTTGAACTGATAGCGTTGATAGCGGCGGTAACCTGCTCCGGTTTCCGTAACAAGTCCCGTGGCAACCCATGGAAATTCTACGAACTATAACGTAGGATTCCATTGAAGCGAATAGTATTACGATTGAAATTGAAGAAAATAGTTGAATTATTTACAAGTAACAAAATATCCAGATCCTTGAAACACCGGGGTTTTTAGACGCTGCAACAAGAAAAAGAAAAACTCGAGAGAACACCCATTTAAGCCTTCGCCTTGCCTTTCCCTTTCGTATCGTCAGTTTGATCGTTCTCCTCTTCCTCAGAATCGCTCATAAACTCATCGTCATCATCAAATCCAATGAATTTTCGCGGGGCTGCAGACTTGGGAGCCGGCTCTGACGGGCCCGGCGCATCCTTCATCTCCTGCTCGACTTCACTCTCTTCCGACGCAGAAGCAGACTCCTGCTCACTTCCCTCACTGGCACTCGTACTAGACCCGCCCAAGATATTATCACGTATAACATCATGAAGATTGTCCGTCCACATGCCATCCTTCATCGCCGCAAGAACAGCCTCCCTAGCCTTCTCGTTCATCTCCTCTTTATCTTCCATCCACTGACCGTCAATCTTCTGCTTGCCGCCGCCATTCTTCAGCTCCTCCTCGCGTTTCTCCGCAGCCTCCACAACAGCCTGCCACCTCCGTCGGCGCTCCTCCTTCTCCTTACGGTCCATCTCCGGCTTGACTGCAAGATACTCGGCGAGCGCTTTGGCTTCGTTGACGGTACGGATACGGCGACCATCGAGATTGCGACTTGAGCCGTTATCGTCGCCCTGGTTGCGCTTTCTCTTGCTTGACATGCGCCCACCAGCTGCACGAAGCTGGGAGCCGAAGCCACCCTTTCCTCCGCATAGGGGCACCGAAAGGCGGAGGGGGAGGAGGTTTGATGTCGCAGTGAGTTCGCCATTAGGAGCAATGAGATGTGAGATTGATAGGTCAGAAGAAGGGAGTAATTGTTTGTTGTTTGTCGTAGTTAAGATAAGCGACTGGAGAGGTACGGATGACGGAATATATGAGGAAACCTTCTCGGTGAGGTCTGAGATAGACGAGGTCGATGGGAGGGAGAATGAGAGAGTGGAGGGAAGAGAGAGACCGGGGAATGTTGAGAGGAGGACGTTCACGTTTTGCGGAGCCATGTTGGCGAGTTTTACTTGTTCCGACCACTAGGTATGCTGCGGGTATTAAGGTAGAAAGAGGTCGCAAAGTCGCGGCTGCGGTCTGCTGTGATGTACTCTGATGGTGATGAGAGGCGACAAATGAGGTGGAGTTGATAAGAAACGGGCGACGGAAGATTGCGTCTACGCCTCAGGCAGCAACACGCCATCATCGATCACATGGTGATAAGGGCGTATGTGACTAAGCCAAATCGATTAGGGCGGCAACCCTAGCATGCGCTTCCGAAAGAGGAATCACGCACTTTGAACTTAACCGCCAGTCGCTCCACTCGATCCCATCCATCATTTAAACCAACCACCACCCTCTTCGCGTTGTTAGAGCGATTCCCCGAAGAGCGCCAGGAACTCGCAACAATGTAAGTTTACAGGTCATGATTCATAATTGATAAGCTATGTAATGCTAATAACTCTTCAGGCTTATCCCTAAGGACGACCGCAAGAAGATCCACGAGTACCTCTTCCGCGGTATGTGAACGACGCCTCCAGCTCCCTGTCGCATTGACCGGACCAATCCACCTCGCTCTTTGAAGACCGCTGTCGCTGACTGATTACCTGAACAGAGGGTGTACTCGTGGCCAAGAAGGACTTCGAGTCCAAGCATGGCGACATTGACACCAAGAACCTCTACGTGATCAAGGCCCTCCAGTCCCTCAACTCCCGCGGCTATGTCAAGACCCAGTTCTCGTGGCAGTACTACTACTACACCCTCACCCCCGAGGTATGTTTACGACCGTTCAATTTCCGGCATTCACAATGAGGATGCGTTGTCTAACTTGTTCCTTCCCAGGGTCTTGACTACCTCCGTGAGTGGCTCCACCTCCCCGCTGAGGTTGTCCCTGCCACCCACATCAAGCAGCAGCGTTCCCACGCTCCCCCTCGTGGTATGATGGGTGGTGAGGAGCGTGAGCGCCGTCCCCGTCCTACCCGTGAGGGTGGCTACCGCCGCCGCGACCAGGAGAAGGAGGGTGGTGCTCCCGGCGAGTTCGCCCCTAACTTCCGTGGTGGATTCGGCCGTGGCCGTGGTGGTGCTCCCTCTTCTTAAGGGATGTCGTCCGGTCTTCCTAGGGCTTGGATGGTAGCGTGAGTGGCTTGAGTAGACTTTGGAATAAGTTCGAAACGGCTGCCGCGCCCATCCTAAAAAAAAAAATTATGCATTGGTGCTGTATCGATATGACGAGATAGCTAGAGTCAATGTCATGATTTTAATGACTCAACATTTCATTTCTTGTAGTACGTTGAAATCATAGATCGTAATGACATGCACAACACAGCTCGAACGCTTCAGTCCAGGCTCACGGCATATCCTTGCAAATGTGTTCAACTATGTAAACAGGGCATTACAGTTGATAACTTCACACGAAAGGGTAAAATGCTCTATCTACGATGAGAATCTCTTCCGGTCGTACCGGACCACCGCTTGCAAAATGACAGATGCACCTGTGGCACAGTCGTCTGCAGAGCAGAACTCTTCCGGATGATGGCTCAACCCATCCTTACATGGCACGAAAATCATGCTGGTGGGCACCCTCTTCGAGGTGAAGACACTATCGTGTCCCGCGCCGCTCATAATCGTCCGCACAAGAGATTTGGGCTCCGGCGCATCAGCGACAACAGCCTCTGCAGATTGCTGCACACAGTCGATACAATCTGGGTGGAACTTGACCGCTGGAGAGTCAAACTCTACAGTCCAATCGACCCGACACGGCTTACCAATGCCCTTGCCTTCTTCCGCTGCAATGGCGTCGAACTCCTTCCTCAGTTTCTCCTCCACAGTTGCGACCAATTCAGTTTCGGGACCGCGAATATCGAGAGAGAAGCTGACAAGACCGGGCACGGTATTGACGCTACCAGGTTTCGCCTCGACGATGCCGACGCTGGCTAAACAACCGTGAGAAGAGGCAACTTCCCGAGCACGCACCATCATTTGAGCGAAGGCGTACAGCGCATCTGCACGATGTTGGAACGCCGTGGTACCTGTGTGGGTGTCTCTACCCGTCACATTGACTCGATACCAGCGGTAGGCTTGGACGGCAGTTACAACACCAACGCGTTGACCTGCCGAGATCAGATGAGGCCCTTGTTCTATATGAAGCTCGAAATGAGCTGCCATGGGAGTTGCCTCATAGGAACATGGAACGTCTCCTAAATAGCCGATCTTTTCGAGTGCCGATTTCAATGACTCTGGGGCAGAAGATGCAGTGGGGAGAGAAGCCACCGTTGGTACTTCTTTGAGCCCATGTGCCCGTGAAAGAGGTATAGAACCGGCCCATACGCCAGAAGAAACCATACTGATGGGGAAACGCGCTCCCTCTTCGCTATAGGGGCATTAGCGTAAGCGATTGGAAATGTTTCGGGTTGACTCTGGGATCTCTTACTTCGTCCAGTTCACAACGCCTATGCCTCCTTCTGTCTCCAGGCCCATTTCATCGATAACTTTTAAAGCTTCAATACCTGAGAGAACGCCCAGAATCCCATCGTAGCGACCACCTGTTGGTTGCGTATCTAAATGGCTGCCGATGAATGTCGGGGGCACATCCTGTCTCCGTCCGGGACGCACAGCAAAGATATTGCCCATTTCATCAATCGTGATTTTGCATTTTAACGCTTTTGTTGTTTCAATGAACCAGTCTCGCACGGATTTGTCTTCTTCAGACAGCGTCAGGCGCTGCATTCCAGTGTCCGTCGGTCCACTAGGCTAGGAGTTAGTCTACTGGAACTAGGATATGCTTATGTTGACGGAGGATATAAATGCGGCATTGAAAAGAAACAACAGGATTTAATTGCACTTTGACTATGGCTAATACCTCGTAAAGAAATCTTTTCAATGCCAGCGTGGATTAAGAGGTCTGAAGCTGGTGTATACTTACTCTCCCCAGCGTATACCAAACCCCCATTGACAACTGTGATGAAGGTCTTTTGCAAGGCGGTCCTTGTTAGCTCTAAGCGCCGAAACCTCAGCCTCGGATAGCTCTGTCGTTAACATGGCTTGTTTTAGAGAAACGGAGAATGTCCGGCGTGGTTGGATTATTTTTCTTGTGAACGGCAATACCTTCGACCTGACCGGTAATCTTTTGAGCAATACCGTAGCAGACTTGGGAGAAATGAAAGACGCCATGCTGCCCTCTGATATATACGCAAAAGAGGGGGTGGTAGAGATGTCAATGTTGGCTGTTGGAGATGGACAGATAAGACAATTCCGGGGAGACGTGATAAGATATCTCTGCGGGGTTAATCTTTCTTCGGCGATCTCATCAAATTGGAGGTCAATTAAGATCGAATTATTATTTAGGATAGCCTACAGGGATCGGGCTTGGTTGCTTCTCCAATCTGGCTGTTGGGGTAATCCCTTGCTAGACATCCGTATAGATAATAAAATGGAAGCGGACATTTCTCCGCTCCCAGATGCCCTTACTCCAACGTGATCCAAAGCTCGTATGGTCCGTCACGGGATCAATGCCGACTAATAGCTTCAGATTTGAAATGTGGATGAAGTGATCTTCAGATAGATATACAAGAACCTGCTCTGCAGCAGTAGTGGACTATTCCAGCACGTGGAGGAAGATATGTCTCGTACTCTTCCGGACACGAGTTTAAGTAGAGATGGCCCACGCACCATATTTGAGACCAGACCCATTACCACCTTATAAGAGCTAGGAAAAGAAAGTCTGGAAAGAAGAAGACGGTATTTATCACGCTGGCAAAAAATAAAACAATAAAAATCGACAACTGTGTCGATGGAAAGGTCCAAAGATTCAGTAGAGGAGTATTGTGGGCAAACCACGGCCATCTCTGGTAAAAGGCAAGAAATGGGTTCTGAACTAGCTTGTCCCACTCCTCACATCAGTGACCTTTATTATGATATTTATCCCTTCCTCAATTGCCAAGAAAGCGTCGGTTCGAAACCCTTCACTGCCACCACACTGGCCTTTTTTCTTTTTCACAAGTTCCAATCTACCTTTTCCATACGGGAAGATTCCCCGTCGCGTTCCGCCTCCAAGTTGCAACCCCGCATCAGCAAGCATAACAACTTTCCTTCAATTTCGATTTCGATTCCTCAGTGTACCCTTACTATATACCTCATACCATAATACAAAACACTGCTATACCAACATGTCTTCCTCTGCCGCCTGTATCTTCTGCAAGATCATCAAGGGTAATGACTATCCAATGCCATTTTAGACTTTCTACATTCTATAGCATTTGTTTTGCCCCAACTTCGTCATGGGTGACGCTCCTCGAGCAATAATGGCAGCCGTTTCTAACATACGTACGGACAACAACAGGTGATATCCCTTCCTTCAAGCTCTTCGAGAGCGACAAGGTCTTCGCTTTCCTTGACATCCAGCCTCTGAGCCGTGGCCACGCGGTAAGTGTTCAACTCCTTGAATGTTGTCTACTATTTTATCCCCGCACGGCAATCCCAACTCTCAGCCACCCTCTGTCGAGGCGAAGATGCTCACCTTAAATTCCATCCAACAACCGCCTCCAGATCACATGTATTCCTTCTAGTCATGTAAACTGCAACACTAACAATCGAATAACAGCTCATAATCCCCAAGTTCCACGGCGAAAAACTCACTGATATCCCCGACGAGTACCTCAACGAAGTTTTGGTATGTGACCACCCAGCCCGGACCGGGCTCACCTTAAATAAGGTCCCAGCACCTGAGGACCTTGCGAGAAGAGCCTTGCACGGGGACCCAATCATCCCCCACAGCTTCAGGCCTCGCACAAACCGACCGAGCTAACCACACATGATTTGTATTGAATAGCCCGTCGCAAAGAAGCTCGCCAAAGCCGCCGACGCCACGGACTTCAACGTCCTCCAGAACAACGGCACGATCGCCCACCAGGTTGTTCCACATGTATGTCCAAACCTTTCCCCCACCCTCCTGATGGGGCTGAACGTCACTGATTTCGTGGGTGCTTTGCTAACTCGTTATTAGGTTCATTTCCATATGGTACGTTAGCTTGGCTCGTTTTTTGGGTTGACAGGAACCACTTTCCTCGGTTTCGATTCTGAAACGGCCGCCGCTCCGGTATCTTGCTTTATGGAACCGAGGCTAATCTAATTCGTTGCAGATCCCCAAGCCTAATGAGACGGAGGGTCTCGGTGTCGGCTGGCCCGCCCAGGCTACGGACATGGACAAGCTCAAGGCTCTCCACGAGGAGCTCAAGTCCAAGATTTAGATGTCACAATGGCTGTGTATACTCCGTACCGTGTCACTAGACCTGATTTGAAGGCGTCTGGTGGCACTTGTATCACGTTTCTCCTGGTGACACCGCATCTGATGTATATCCTTGGTCAATAAAAGATTACATTAACTCTTTGTGTAAGCTATGGCTGGCTTGGTTTGTTGTAACCCGTGCAGAAAGGAGAGCGAGAATGTTTGTTCTTTGAGCAGTGTGTAGCATAGCAGCTGAGCGGTTTCATTCGTAATGGAGCGGGCAACCCTTGAGTTCCACTTCGATTTCATCTGATAAATGGACGGTTTCATTGATGTCCATGCTCCTTTGGCAGGTATTCCCGAGTCTAAAAATAGTGCCCTGGGCTTGTCTCAATTTTGGTAAGATGTAAGATGTAAGATCATTGCTTCATGCGGCAGTTTCTCCGAAGATATCTGCAGCTTTAGTATTGGGCTGCAGATAGGGCAGGGATAGAGTTGACAAACTTAGTCCATTGGGTCAGATACATCGCACCTTGTATAGTAGAAAGAAGAATACATTTACTCATTCTGACAGACGGCATTGTATAAGCAAATCCCATTATATACAAGAAACATGCATGATCCGAATACCTAAATGGCCTTCTATCAATGAAATCTAAACACCTGGAAACCCCGATCTAGTGGGAGGTGCCATTCGTGGCACCGTTCGTAGTAGTTCCGTTCACTTTGGCTTCGGCCGGATAGAAATCAATCTTTCCTCCGCCCTGGAGAACGTTCAGTCTGTCGTACAGCGAGGTAGCGCGAATGTACGGGTCGAGCTGCCAGTATTGGACCCTCAATCGCTCAATGAGCGCCTCTCTCTTCTCCACCACTGCCTTGGTGGCCGCCTCGTCCTTCTTCCTGCTGACCGTGATCCACTCAATCGTGGTATCTTGGAGGTCTTGAGCAAGCTGTTGTCTTTCCTTGATCAACTCATCCCGCTTGGCTGTATCTTCCATCGTTTTATTTTCATCAACCTTGGGCTCTACATAGCTGTATTCCCAGTCCTCATCGCCCTCAAGCTCCTTATAAATGCGATCCTTGGGGATGAATTTCTCAAGGTCAGAGATATTCTTAGTGAAGTTGATCTTGGATGCAACCACGGGATCAAGCCAGCCCTTGATGATATTCCAAATTCCTATACAGCATATGTTAGATAGCGGCTTATTAACAACGCAGAAGAGGATACGAACCGGAGAAGATCCAAGGGGCTTTGTGGATAAGCACAACTCCAAGGCATTCGGGATAATTAGCTTCGAAGCACTTGATCATAAATTTAACTGGATGATAGTCCTAGTGTATGTTAGAAAAACGTTCGTATGTAGACCAAAAAAGGGATACATACCATGTTTGCTAAAGAGAAGTTGGTCATGTCGAAGACAACACACTACCTCAGGTTAGCTGTTTGGATTCCGCTCATGCAGGAATAGGAAACTTACGGCTGTTTCAACTGGAGGCGAGAGCATCATCCGGGCAGATTCAATGGTGTACACAGTAAACCGATCCAAGGTATCCGTGCCCTGATCGGCCTGCTTGTGCAAGCGCACTCTGATAACGCAGATAGGCCGTCCATCTTTGTCAACACCGTGGATGTAGCCCTTGCCCATGCGCATCTGCTCCAGGAACTCTTCGCCCTTTCTCTTCTCTTCAGGGTCAGAGCTCTTCGATTGCTGTAGGGCAGCCAGTTCGCCATTCTTAACAATATCATCGTCGACCTTCACATCCTGCAATCTCCACCTGATTGTGGAGACCAGCATGATGAGTGCTTTCTTGATATCCCACTTGCGCGCCCGAAGGAAACGCAGAAGCAAGGAGTCGGGGTTATCTTGCTTCACCATGTTCCACAGTGTAACCCGAATCTCCTCAGGCTTCATGTCGGTAATTGCTTGCTGGAATTCTTTGGACTGTCCATACTTGTCATCTCCATCGGTGATGTTGATGGAAGCAATGCTATTTGTAACACCGTTCGTTGGGGTGTCCTCCTCCTCGTCATTGCTCTTTCCACCAAAGAAGGTGAATCTCCGCTTTGGTGCCGCTTTCTTCTGGGACGACGGGCTTGGGGGCGCGGCGACATCGCCATTCGTTTCAATTCCCTCCACGTTAACGCCGCATACCTTCAGCAGCAGGACCCAAAACTCCTGAAGTTTGACTTCCTGCTCTGGGGTGAGGTTGCCCACGGTTCCGGGGGCAGCTTGGATAGGCATTGTTTTAAGGGTATCTATTACACCGAGAAAGGGAGGCTTGTCTTGATCAAATTCCGGAGGGTCCGAAATGAGTTGGGAATCGATTCCGGGATGACGGTATTTATCTTGCAGCCAGGTCGCTCCACAGACAATAGCTAATGTGAATGTGATCGCCCAAAAAGATGAAGCCTTCCTCGGTTCGTTAGGAGGTGATACTGGTAAAGTGGAGAAAGGGCGTTTGGGTGGATTCGACGCAATTAAAAAGCACGAACTTGTACCCAGGTGTTTCGGGAAGATCTGTGCACTGGCAGAGTAAGATGAGACAGATTGGATGGATCTGGCCGAGGAAAGTAAGAGACGGCGGCGCAAGAACCAACCAGTATGCATGTGCTATTAGCAAATGACAAGACGATAACAACTTTTTGGTGTTCCCCTCTTTCGTTATTTGAAGTGAGACAGACGAAGATCCAACCCCTGAAAAGTTTGATTGAACCGGGGATATGCGGGGAATTTCACAAAATAAAAAAAAAAGAGGAGGCAAAAGGGAGTTCCAGAGAGAAGCTAAGAAAGGGTCGCCTGAGGGTCTTCCCCCCTGAGCCACCGGCGCCACTAAATTTAGGGCCTGGCCGCCTGAGGCAACTGCCGTCGGTCATTCGGCTCCAGCGCAAAAGCGGGGGATCAACAGACGGCGTCAACAAAACAAAATCCAATCTACCATCCACACGCCTTCCCATTATCGGTGCCCCGATATTAATTGGTCACCTTTCCCCCCCAGATTTCCAGATTTGAGGCACTTCGCACTCCTTACCCAATTCGTCTTATCACGCCTTGCGTCACTTCCCCATTGTACCTCGGAATTTTCTCTCTCACGACTATGGATCCTACTGCTTTTCCCCGATCGTCTTCGCGTCCAAGGCCTTCATCCAGGCCCACGACCCCTCTGCGACCGAGTTCCCGGTCGTCATTACGTGAAGCACATGGCTATGGAGGCAGTATCAGCAACGCAGGCTATACCCAACCCGCGATCAATGCGCTCGAACCACAGTTTGCAGAGCTCGCAGACTCCATGGCCGATCTCGAGGCCAACTTTATGCACCTCCAGTTGATGCACGAGAGTCTTACGCGCTTCAGCGAGAGCTTTGCTAGCTTTCTTTATGGCTTAAACATGAACGCTTTTTGTGTAGATTTTCCAGAGGTATGGCGACGCGATACCAAACATCTTACAAAACTAATCAACGGGTGCAGGCTCCGATCCCCGTATCATTTAAACGCGCCAAACAAGCGGAGGCTCAGAAAGGTATTGACGTCGCACTACATCTGACAGGAATTTATGGCACTAACACTCTCCAAGAAGCTGAAGTGGAGCAAAATCGGCCGGCTAATGAAGGCGAAACGACATTCATGTGGGTCATTGATTGTTTCTCATGACTACATACTATGTTTGATGGATTTTGCTGACGAAGGCGTCATATTCCAGGACTACTGACACCACCTTCGTTGAAAATCCCTCAAGTGCAATCTCCCCCAAACCGGTACGCAAGACTCCTGCTTCGTCGCGGGGCACCACAAGAGGGTCTAGTACTCGTGGTCGTTATACAACGAGAGGCACTAGTCGGGCTCGTCCGAGCGCGCTGCCAAGGGGTAGAGGGCTGCGGTGAATATCAGTGATGAAAACTTCATGATCCTTCTCGATGGACCGACTCGTAAGTGTACGAACATGGCCCTGTCAATTCCTTGGCTCGTACCAAGGGTACCTATCGCTAGCCGGCATACCATCGGCATTTCATGGCGAGACCCGACAAACTCACGCAGCGCAATGAGCTAGGGGAGTGGTTGATCCATGCTAGAGAGTCCAATCGGGACTTCCCCGGGAGACAATCTATTCTAGTCACCATGCTTTGGTTCCTGACAGACCAACTGCTTGGACATACGAGGACAGCTCTATATAAGGGCTCAAACTTAGAGAGACATCCGAGTCAGCAAATTCCTGTACCTAGTACTGCCATCTAACTTCAGTAGATTCTTGTCTAGGTATTCATGTCCCAAGGTGAATCAGAATAAGTTCCTGCCGGAGTGACTATCTAGTCACTGACCACTTCCATGTCAAGGGTAGAATTACAGACGATCGTAAATCAATAAATTTACTAGTATCCTGTAAAGTGACGGCGTTCGGGACCATGTTGGTGAGACTATAGGTAGCATATCGATACGTACCGTATTTCTCGGATCAAATGCAATCCCGGTTTCTTATCGCGCAACCCTTGCGGGAGAAAAAAAAAGGATCTTTCAATCTGTCATGGCCTCTGCGTTTGTCACCAGCGCCAATCGCCGTTTCAAGGTCTCTGCGGAAATATTCTCAAGAACCATACTAGGGCTGTCTTATATCACATTTATATAATAACCATATCCCTTCGTTCGGGGCTGTTGCTCAGTCTAGAGACAGAACCCGGTCTTACGGAGTTAAGGACCTTACTTATCTGGGGTAGCGTTCGGGACGGAGCCGACGACGGAACACAGAAGTCGCCGCGCAAACCATTTGCGGTCACCACATCCAGTTCAGACACTCTCGAATTGCTGCAGTTCAAGGCCTTTTATTTGTTGGGAGCAGGCCTCCGAGAATCATGATGCTGATGTGATACAGCCAAGGTACTTGACGGCGTTTAAATCCATGGATTTCCATTGTACTTGCAGCTGAAGCCAACGTCACTCTCTTCCATCTATGCGAAGGATCCCTTGGCACCTACTGTGATATACCTACAATCGTTCTTCGGTGTCGCGGGCTTATCCTTGGCTGCACAGCTCTTTTGATACGTCTGGTACAACATATAATCCCCTTAATCCCACCTCGCAATGGCTAGCGTAGCTTGTGTCTCGCTCCTCTCCGAGGCTGAGTTTGGTTGCGGTATGCGGTCACCCTGGAAGTTCCTAGAACTTGTCTTCAATGCTAACTTGCCTGGAAGAGCATCTTACGGCGCAACTCTCCCAGGACGGAGGTGCGGGTGACCAGTTCAGGGCATCATTCATCAAGACACATAATGCTTTGGCTCCTCGCTCCAAATCTGGGGAGTCGGCTACTACACAGAAAGGGCTACGTACAACCAGCTTTTTAAAACCAAAGTACATGTGCTTGACCTGCTCCGATCCATTCATAAATGGTGACCGAAAGGCCCATACAGAAAAGACCGGTCATCAATTCTGTGAGTAGGTCAAGCTTGTAACCAAAGCCATTGGCTGACTGTTGCCTCAGACATGGAATCAAGAAGTCGCACGCTATTCTGTCAGGGATGTGGAGACTTCGTTTATGACTATGGCCTTGAGAGACTAAGATCATCAACAGCAGAAAGCACGCTAAAACGTATGGATGCCACCCTGCCCGTGAGGTTTCACTCGTTGCTAAATTCTATCCAGTTGCTCAAAAACGTCGGTTTAGCGAAAGCTCGACCGACGAGCTATACGTCAGGAGTAATGCAAACAAGCGTTCTTGTGCAAAGCAAGGTGTCAGGGGGCTATTCAACCTCGGACAAACGTGCTATCTGAATGTTATTCTCCAGACGCTCCTTCATGACCCAATCCTCAACACTTACTTTCTAGGAAGCGGACATCAATCGCATGACTGCACCATGTCTGATTGTATAGCGTGCGCTGTTGCAGAGGCATTTGCGGACTTCAACAGCAGTGACAAGGCAGAAGGGTTTGCAGCCCTGAACCTCCTTTTGGCCTCGTGGCGTGCAAGCTCTGTACGTCATCTATCTTTTTAAAAGCAACGCGAGAATCAACTAACTGACTCTAGCAGGCCTTAGCGGGATATCAGCAACAAGATGCACATGAATACTACCAGTTTCTTGTCGACAAACTACACTCTAGTACTGACGGACACCACGAGAACCATGAGAAAGGCTGCCCTTGCTTTTTCCACAAGACATTTTACGGCAAGCTCCGAAGTAGCGTAACATGTGACAAGTGTGGAAATGTCACACGTACGGACGATCCCATGGTGGATCTAAGTTTGGATGTCCAGGTGCAGGCGAAGAAGCGCGCCATGGGCGGTGCTGGGGCCTCGTCCCCTCCGACGTTGAGCGGATGCCTGGAAAGCTTCACATCCCCTGAAAAACTAATGGCAGGCGTTTACAACTGCAGTGGTTGCGGTGGGAGCGCTCAAAAGGCCACGAAACAACTACGCATTAAGAAATTGCCGGCAATTCTATGTATGCAACTAAAGGTAAGTCGCGACATTGAGCCTCACCAAACTCTTAATTGATTTTATTGCAGCGCTATGAACATACATTTTCAGTCTCCGAGAAGCTGGAGGGCCGCATAGACTTCCCACTGTCTATCAACATGCTCCCGTACACAACCAACCCCAACTGCCGCGCGGATAAATCGAGATATATCTATGACCTTTCATCTGCCGTGGTGCATAAAGGGAAATTGGATGCAGGGCATTACTACGTCTACTGCCGGCAGGGTGATGAGGTTTGTTTCCCCTCTACCGTAACTGGTCACCATCCGTGAACATGCAACTGTGAAATGCGGACCATCACTAACATGAACAGTGGATACTCTTCAACGATGACCAAGTCACGTCTGTGACCGAGGCCGATGTCCTCAGTGCCGATGCATATCTTCTCTTTTACAACCTTCGGTCCTTAGCTAGTGCTCCATCGCAGTAGTAGGACCTAGATTTACCACATTGTAATGTGGATTAGTTGCTCATTGCATGCTTCTTTTTTGGCCTGGAGTCCATGGGCATGGGTTTATATCTTTGTTTGCAATATGCATGTGAATTAGTTAGGTCATTGTTGTAGGATCGACCTATTAGTATAGAAAACTAAACCATTGCATGACCAGTGTCATTGGATCGAAGTGTCCATACATGTTGACAATCTACATATTTCACGCAAAGGTTCACCAGACACTTTCTTCTACTGGTATAGGCGAGCTGCAGACTATCCAAGGCATGGATATATAAGCAATTCGACCAGTGTCCCAAAGTCCAGTAATCTACCGCTGCTGGGCACCTTATCAAGGAACACCCCAGAGTAGACGACATCATGTTTCCGTGATTTGAAACCGGTCATAATAGCACGAAGTTCTACCGAGATCATTACGGACACTACAAACCAACATGGCAGTGCGAACAGCATGTGCTCATTAAATCTTTCAGTCATCGACCAGCGCGTCTGGAGTTGTGGAAGAAAGAGAATAAAGAGAGCCCAGGTAATAAATTCCAGAAAAGTTCCTCATTTCAATCCATGTATGAATTGGGGGAAAAGAAAAAAGGGTTCGACATGACACCTTTAATAAATTGTCAACACCGGCATCCGTGCATGATTTTCCTCCAACAACTTTTATTATTCCATATCTGTTTTCCCCGTCGGAATCCCAAGCGAATCGAATCGGTGGTCCGTTCCGCTATTTCCCAAGGTTATTACCGAGCGCCGAGGACGTGACGAATTTCGTGAACAGGAATTTCCAGTTGGTATTTGATTTAACGGTACTGTAGTGGGTAGCGTTAGTGATAGGGTTCTTTCTTTCTCCATCTGCACTCCCCAGCTCCAACGGCGTTCCATGTTTTTTCTTTGTATATATTCTTCCGGGTATTCTTTTCTTTCGTCGTGGTTGCTGGGGGTTGCGGGTGGTAATCTTCAATCGCGCAGGCCATGTCACGAACCTTGTGGAAACCGATGTCCTGAGACTTCTCACGGAAGCACTGACGGCAGATGTTCATCTATAAAACCCCGTATCAGTTTCAAACATCCCAACACAACTCTTCAGAGATCGATATATTCCACATACACCGTACTTGCGGATAAGACCAGCGCGGTGGGTGCAAACGCGGCTAAATCGTCAAAAAACCACAATCAGTCCCAAGCTGTCCCATCACCGAAGTTCCCATCGTCGTCCAAAAGGGGGTTGAGTTGCGGTTTCAAGCCTTCACATACCATCCACGGGAGCCCTTGCCGTACCTATCGCACCACCATTAGCCAAAATGTCTTTTTTATCGTCATCACGGGGGGAAAATGGGGGGTGTCCTTACTTGCGAGGGCGGCTGTACCACACGGACTCGTGAGTCATCTTGAATTGATTCGACGGCGAGGAAAACCTGACGGGTTGACGGTGTTTGGGCAGGCGGGTTGTCGTCGCTGGGCGGTTGTGGTTGAACGGAGACGAATGTTAGGGTTGGAAAATCCGTTGTGTGCTTTCTCTGTTCCCGATTCGGACCAGCTCGCTTGAGCGGCGCTAAACTTTGTTGGGCTGCGGGTTAGGATAAGATGGTCATGTGATGCCGCGTCTTGCTGGCTTGGGTTTAGTTCGCTCTCTTTTATCAGGTTCTGGGGATCGGCGGGCGTATGTTTCTCCGCTTTCTATTTACTTTATTAACTACCGAGTCAGTAACTACTTTGCTAGGTAGATGCTAGTCTTTGCTTTATCTAATGTTGATTCATTTGATGTATGAATATATGGTCCAGTCGAGCGACTTGGTTGCCTGAGTAGTCAGGCGTTGTTTGACATGATTCAGGTCCATTTGGACTGATTAGCGATTCGCATCTGCGTTGACAGAAATCTGGTGCTTGACTATACATGATGAACGGAGAGAAACCAACAAACCCAATTCTGCAAGATCCTGTTTAACACGCCGAAGAAGAGACCTTCACCAAAGTCAACAAGCTAACCTCCGATAATATAAGCGCTAAAGTTAAAGCATATCTTTCCATGGAAATGGCTGGCCTCCCAGAAACATCAACTCAAAATTTATCCTACGTTATGAAAAGCGTTCGGCGACTCGGCTGTGAAATCGGCAATGCCGGTCTTTAGCAACTCAAATCATCCGTCCGAGACAGTGGATATGAATATCGGATTCCAGAGGATGTCGAGATTATGCAGTCATTAAGCGCAGCATAAATAGAAACATCTGATGACGGAGCGAGCCCAGAGTTGTCTAGTATTGTTGACAGACTTAACATATTGGTCGTCTTTAATGATGTCATTTGCATCTGGGATCCACTGGCGTGTTTGGTCTCTCTTCGGAGCTTGTGCTGAGAGTCTCCATAATATTGACATAAGTCACGTCTCAATGTTGGATCATATTAAACATCAGCACCAGATGACCCATCACCGGGCATACATGGCGTCCTTTAATGGGTAAACAGTAAATGGATCTTCCTGTTCATGTTGCGAGTCCCTAGCGGACCGCTAGATACGAAATAGAATATCTAGAGCCCAAAATATTTCGATTAGATAACAGCTGAAAGGCATTGTGGACAAGTACAGGCACTTACCTGATCCCCCAGCCGAAGAACCTATTACCAATAGCACGGCATCAATATATTCCTTGCATTCAACAAACAATGTACCAGGACCGTGCAGATTGGAATACTAGATTCTTATGTAGAAAATAATCACCAAGTGGCTTTTTTCGCATGTTGATCCCCACGACCGAAACATAATGATGGCCATTGCTCTCCAATTGCAGCATTCAAACCTAAGTGGTCTTCCAGGCTGCCAGAGGAGAATCACAGCAATCCTTGACTGGAAAATGTGTGGCTGGTAAGCGGGGTATTGGGAATACGTGAAAGCATTGAATACAATTACACCTGTTGTAATCTCGGTGTATGGCCAAAACCGTTGATTTGATGCTGCGCAGTTGGTGTGGCTGACTTGGCCTGTACTATATACCAGTGTACAACTTGATGCGGATTGCGGGGTATAAATGCGGCGAAGTACCTGCTGGAACCCTCGAACTTACAAACACCAACCCGAATATTATACAACGAAAGAATGGAATTTCCTGAGCCTCACATTCACTTACCGCGAGGTTCGCACACGCACACAGTCATCCTGCTCCATGGCCGCGGCAGTAATGGACCTGAGTTCGCCGAGGAGCTCTTCTCCTCCATAACCTCCAAGGGCCACAATTTGGCCTCTTGCCTCCCGAACTGGCGTTGGGTATTTCCCACCGCTCGCAATTGTTGGAGTGACAGGTTCCAGGAAGAACTGTGTGCCTGGTTTGACGCATACTCCTTGGACGACATCCATGAACGACAGGAGCTGCAGACTGCCGGTTTGAGGGAGTCGGTCACCCACATCCTGGGCATCCTACACCACGAGATAGGAATCCTCGATGGGAAGACCGGCCATATTTATCTTGGAGGTATCAGTCAGGGAATGGCAACCGCCTTATGGACATTGTTCTGTGCCACCAACCAGATCCACCAGCCACTTGGTGGCTTTGTGGGTTTTTGCGGCTGGTTGCCGTTTGCACGACAGGTAGAAGAACTGGTTCAAAGTTCGCAGGAAAGCCGTGCTATCGATGCCCTCAGCGAACAGCCGATACAACGTTCAGTAGCTAGTTTCTTTCTCAACACAATCTTCGGTTCCGAGGCATCGCAGACAAAGGAAACCATCGGCACCTTGATCTTATCAACGCCTGTATTCTTAAGCCACGGGACCGACGACGACTGGGTGTCCGTGGACCTGGGTCGACAAGCAGCTCGAGTCTTACAACATATCAAAATCCCTGTTCAGTGGCATGAGTTCACTGGGGCGGAGGGGGACGGCCATTGGGTCAAGGAGCCTGAGGGGTTTGACCAGATTCTTCACTTTCTCGAGGCATGCTCCAGTCACACTTAGTCAAGCCACTTGTGCAACGAAACATTCTCCCTGGTCCTTGTCAGGTATCATAAACATAAGAGGACGAAATAATAGCTCTACTACATGTCAGTGATACATGAAGTCTGCGTAGATGCAACACATTATGTTCCAACACTCCGAGCCGCTTGTGATGGTTTTTGAGGCTTCAGTTTCTCCGTCAATCATCAGCGTTGCTGTACTTAAAATGTCAATGAAAGCTGCAGTTAGACAGATCCCAGCTGCACAGGAAAGAATGATGTGCTTCATAGAAGACCACGATATTGCGTGGGACACTAGCTGCATTCGAAAAAATGGAAGCACATCCCGATATTCAAAACGCGAACGAGTAAACGAAACATGCATACAAGAACAAAAGCCGATTCCACTTCAAAATCTTCTAGATCCCATCCACCAAAAGACCCATCGAAACCCCACTTACATAAGAAAAGTCCCCTAACTAATTAGCGTCTCTCGTAGTCGGGAAAGCACGCACCTGAATCTTAGTACACATTAGGTAAAGAATGATCCGTGGAAGGTCCGGCGACTATGATCCATCCGGCACAGAATGAATTGACCATGGTGATTGGTGGGGAAGCACTGGCGATCTCGGAGATTGTCCTCACCACACGACGAGCATCAGGTGCCGGATTTCCGATGCAATTACTAGGAAGAGTAAAAATTTTGCGACGATGGAGGGATACTAGAGAAGGGCGTTTGTTCCGTCGGGATTATCACGGATCAGATCGAAGACGGCTTGTGTAAGATTTACGAGTCATTGTGCCGTGTATTTTAATGTGCATAATTCATCTCTTTTGGGGAGGTGTCAGCCCACATTACGTATTTTTCTGGGGATACGTCATGCGGCTGAAATATGTACGTACAAACATACTATGTAGGATGTCAATATCTGGCGGAATGGGGCCCCTGTGTCTTACTCCGGTACATTTACGATGCAAGAAAAGTTGGTGGGCAAGAGTTGATACATCATGTGTCTTTGTCAAGGTACTCCGTAAGACATCGGCATCCTTGGAGCGGTCCATCGGCACTGCATACGGTTAGTGTAGATGGCTTACAGGGCAGGTAGCGCCCGTTCAGCGCCAATAACCTAAAAGGGTTTGTCTTTCAGTTCCCAATTTAAGGTCAACCCTACTTAGTCGGTGGTTGATCACTCCCTATTCTGTGAGAATTCACCGACAATGACTTTCACGAGTTGCTATCGCTATACCCAAGGATGATAGCAAATATGAAGGACAAGGCTCTTGAGAGCCGTGATCTTATGAGGCTGTAACCATTGACATTACCCGTCGAGGCCGTTCATTATCGCCAAGCCCATACCCTTGAACTAGTCGAGATAGTGGGTCCCTTGGAGTCGCTAACAGCACGGACAATTTCTGTGATGGTTGTATGCATATTCCGTATGTACAAGCCCATCACAACTATGGCTTCATTTTCACTCGTTGGTCGTCGTGTGCTTTGTCCAACTCTACACTACTCCGCTAGACACGATACGTACAAGCAAGCCCCTTCTGTCTGCTAGTGATATCCAGACGTCGTCGCCAAGCAAGATTTGCCTTGGAACACCAAGTACTCGAGGGCAACATTCAGGAACGAAAGAGATCAAGATGAATAATGATGACAAGGGTCAAGGTGAAAATTACTAATAGAGCGGAGCGAATGAGTCACACCACTCGAGCGGAAACGCATAAGCGACGACGATGAAGAGGTGCAGATTATCAAAATTAAATAAAAAATTTCAAGAAAAAGAAAGCTCCAGAACCTTTTGAAAACACTAACTCATAATTCCGAAGGAAAAGGCTGTGTGTCCAGCAGGAAAGTGCGTGTTTATACGCTGGGTGTGCCGAGTACATGATGACCAACAGATGGAATGATTTAATTTACTGGGATAGCCATCTTTCTTTTCTTTATTTTGTTTTTTAATTTATTTTTATTTTTTTTTCTTCGCAGTTCGGGGTTCTTACGGAAGACCGCGGATGAGACGAGAAGTTGATCCGTTCCAACCAAGAGCCAACCAGCCAGCCAAGGCAGGATCGTCGGTTGGGTTGTCAGATGAGAACTCACGGTCACAGGGCAGTAAATGATTAATGAGTCCGTCCATGTCAACGTGCGAGGCCCACTTAGTGGATCCCCTTTCTCATCCGAGGGTTGAATGAATTGATGACCGCACTTGCACTGGTAGATCGACGCTTTGATTGTGATCCTTCGTACATACTAGTACTTCCGTCCTCCGTACCGCCTTGTGGTTGTGTACTCTGGCCCCGACCATCTTATTTGCTGGCCGTCACATTTGCTGTGTCCTTGGCCGTCTGTCGCGGGATGCAAATACGATCTGCCACATAGGCAGTAAGGATTATAGGATTCCTTTATTATACCTAAGAGGAAGCACGTCCTGTCAGTACCAAGAGCCCTCAGCCCCTCACTAATAACCTACCTAGAAAACTTACCCTCCCATGGAGATCCTGTATGATGCCCGTTATAGAAAAAGAGAACAGCGGTGGGCTAGTACGACGCTGCCTGCATCAGAGCGTCATATTACACCATCATAAACAGTTAGCTGTGAGATCAGCCCATAAGGCTTTGCCAAAACTAGGTATAGTCCTCCAATAAGCAACATGAAGTGCCTCTCAGCTGGACCAATAACAAGTATGCTCCGGCTAAGTCGCCGACTGTGTGAAGCGACATTGAGTACACGAGGGCACGTTGTGATAATGGTATGTTGCTTGATCTTCATGCAGAAGAGGGGTATACAAGTCTCGGCCCTAGTTCCGCTTCGAATGCCTATTTAAGCGACTTGACTGGTTGCTGGGATGATCGTCGTGTACAAAAAGAGTTCAACCATTTAGCTTGGTAAAGATATGAGATTGCATAAATTTGGAAGACGCATGATCATCCGCGCGGTTGTTCGAGTGAAAGATATACGGGGTGTAGGTGTCATGTATACCTATTTCGGAGTACAGAGTAGTGTGGATGTCTTTTCCTAGTAGTATGCATTTTCCCCATCCTTAGGGCAACCCCACAAACTCCTGTATGCAAGAAAGGTGGACGGTCGCGCCCATGTTATCGTGCACGATATTTGACCTTTAGAAGGCAATGGCGGTAACTAATGAAATTCTAGATAGGAATGTTTACTGTATTGTTTTCACTGCCTCACCGCACCCCTTGGGGGCCACGAAGATTGACAAACAACGCTACCTACACTGGCAAATCACGCCGCTGGCGGTATGTGCTCAGCCTTCTTGTCGAGATCAACTGGTTTATACAACAACAGCCGCCTAACATAAGAGAGGAGAGTAGAGAAGAAAATAGAAATAAGACAAAGGAAAATCCGTGGGGATAAGGTCACGACATTCTTTGTCAGGTGACTGGTCCAAAGCTAAGATTGTTTCAATGTTATTGCCGTGGGCAATAACGAAATGCTGACTCGGTAATTATAGGGGTTTCACTAACTTTGTACCTTAGTTGCCTATGTGTTATTGAGGCCGTTGGTATTTTTTTCCTGTCCTTTGTTGACAGTTTGTCTCTTTATAAATTGTAATGTTGGGTAAGACATATGTTTAGCATGGTTGTCTAGATAGACACCCGAGAAGTAGTGCCTAACCCATAGACTACAGGCTCTAGGCCAGGCGCTAACCAGCTGGTACCTTGGGATGAGGTCATGTCTTTTTCTTTCACGGCACGATGGGACGAAGCCGGTAGCTCCGAGCATCCGAGAGAGCCATGCCAAGGGCTTTTTTCTTTGGTTTTTTTTTTTTTCTTTCACACCTCCCAATTTTTACATTGCGTCCGCTATTACTCCTTACTCCGTACATCCTTCATCCTTGGCTGCTCCAAGCCTCCAACAAGTACTTTTTGAGAGTTTTGTAAGCGCATTTGATTTCCGTGCGGCCTACAGAATACAAAACCTTGATGATCATCCAGTTTGTATACTTCCGTAATTTACATCCGTAATTCCTTTTCCTTTTTTTTTTTTTTTTTTTTCGAGGTCCAGACTTTAATTGCTGTCAACCTAACCTACTCCGTCTACCTATGACACCAACGGTTCCAAACTGCTGGGAGGCAAGTCATGATGACGATGGATTCAGGTATATACCGCCTCATCGAGGCAGAAAATCAACCGGAACGGAGTATATCGACAAGACCGTGATAGTATCACCAAACACCAACAGGTTTATTATTACGGGGTTTGACACCACAACAAAAAATGAGAGCATCGGACATCCCATGTCCTTGTTAGCTCGGCGCCTAGCGTGAAGCGTGTTCCCAAAAACTCCACTTTCGGCACACGGAGCTTTGGGGAGCTTCAGTCAATCAGTGACTTTCTTGTTTCCACGGCCCTGTCGGCCTCGCTGCACCTTATCCCCGCCCGCTCCGAAAGAACCGCGAGAGCTCCAGCGAGACAGGCAATACCAGATCATGAATAAGAATTAAAAAGATTGACACGGTCCTGTGGTACCCGCTTCCACAGCTTACGGTGGTCTGGTTGGATTCCATATAATCCTCCTGCATTCTCCCTTCTGTTCCACCTCTTCCTGTCACCCTCCATAGTTCAGCCCTATACTCCTCTAGTGTGTTGCGCCTTCAGGAGCTGGCGCACCACCCGCCATAAAGTTGAATCCTCTCTAGTATCTTCTACTGGTCGCGCCCAGTGCTCATACAGCTCTTTACTTATAAACAAAAATTTCGGGGCTCTCAGTACCGAGATCGGGGTTTCCGGGCCATCCGCTTTGCGACAAGATTCGCATTCAGCTGTCCTTCCCTTCGTGTTCGCTTTATAATCTAATAATACAAACATCGCACCCATGTGGCAGAAAGCTTCTCACGCCGCGATCGCGGCTGCGTCTGTATTCGCTTCCCTCGCCAGTGCTATCCCACATGGAGATGACCACACCATGGATATGGACATGGGCATGGGCATGGGCATGAACAGCACTCAGAAGCAGCCCGAGTCGCATGCTGATGCAAGCAATGACTCGCCCATGAGCTATTTTGCCTACGGAAAGCATTCGAGCACAATCATGGCTCACATAGCCCTTATGGTTCTTGCCTGGTGCTTCATCCTCCCCGTTGGTAAGAATTCCAGCTCTGTTCTATATGCTCCATTTCTTTTCAGCCACAACTGACAGGTCCCTAGCTGTTATGTTTAGCGTTGCGCGCTCTCGATTTGCACTTCCGTCGCAATTTCTTTTCCTGATCTTCAACGCGTTGGGCTTGCTTCTGGGGATCGTTTACAATAGCCAAACTCCTGATCTATACGAGAACAATGCTCATCACAAGATCGGGTGGATCGCGACATGGGTTATTAGCGCGCAAGTCATCATGTCGCTCATCTTTGCATATGCTGGCAGAGGCGAGTCCGATACGACTTCGTACGAGCGTACCGCATTCCTCCCTGTGTCTACCGACGAGATGGCCGAAACCCCGACGCATCCGACCGGAATCCATCATGAGTATCGTTGGTCCAGAGACAGCGGCCAGGATACAGCGGTCAATTCGGCTTCCCTCCACAGCCGTCCTAGTTCGTCAACTTGCGCATCCCCTTCGGAGGAATATGATACATTCGACAAGCCCGAGGCCCAGCTCCCAGAACAACCCGCTCAGAGCCGTGGTTGGCTACGCGGCACCTTTGTGAACCGCTTCCTCGCGAGCCGTGTGCCCCGTATGGTCTCTAGTCGCGCTCTTCGGATACTCACCGTTATCTATTTGGTGATTGACAGAATCATCCTGCCTTTCGGTTTCATCGCTATCGCTACCGGTGGCGTAACTTATGGTGGTATTATGGTAAGTAGTTTTGCGCATCAGTTGCTATGTGGACATTGCTAATGGATAAATGGCAATACAGAGAGGTAGACAAATCTTCAACGGCCTCGCACATTTCATCAAGGGAGGCATCTTCTTTTGGTATGGTTTGTTAACCCTGGGACGATTCATGGGCTGCTGGGCAGATCTCGGATGGGCTTGGAATGTCAAACCGTCGAGTGATATTGTTGGCAAGAGGAAGGCCAAGGTCCCTACCGGTGAATTTACTGAATCTTTTGTGATCTTCCTCTACGGTGCCAGCAACATGTTCCTCGAGCATCTCACCAGTTGGGGCGGCAAATGGACTGCAACAGATCTCGAACATGTGTCCATCTCCATCATGTTCTTCGGTGGGGGCTTGTGCGGTATGCTCTTTGAATCCAAGCGCGTTAAGGGCTGGCTGAACAGCACTGTCCTACAATACCCCTCGAATCTTCGCAGACATGGTCCATCCGACACGGCTTGGCAGCTTCCCGACACTCAAGGCGTTTCTCTCAACCCAATGCCTGCCCTGGTGATTCTTCTTTTGGGTAGCATGATGGGATCCCACCATCAATCCAGCATGGTTTCCACTATGGTACACAAGCAATGGGGTAACATGTTGGTTGGCTTCTCGTTTGCCAGATGTATGACCTATGTCCTCACGTATCTTAAGCCGCCAACCTCCTATCTGCCTTCTCGTCCACCCACTGAGATTGTTTCCGCTTTCTGCTTGATCTCCGGTGGCTTGATCTTCATGTTGAGTGTAGGTGTTACCTGATTGATGAAAGCATTGAGTCATGCTAACTGTTCCCAGACCCGGAATGTGGTCGAGACCATCGAATTTTACGAGCTCGACGCGATGTTTATCTTCACCGTCACCATGGGAGTGACCGCCTTCATCATGGCTTACGAGATCTTGGCTATTGCCATCAAGGCCTGGGCGGCCAAGAAGGAAACTGCTCCTCAGCTTCCTCCTTTCCAGTTTCCAGCCTGAGTTGAAATGTTTCCCAACCTGAAATGCACGGCCCGCCGTGTCGCTTTATGGGCAGAGGTGCGTGTCCTTCGCACGGGGCATGCCGCGCTCTCTACCTGGACGCCCTTTTCATCGCCCTATCGAAAACTAGGGAATTGAGAAAAAGGAGGAATTAAAAAAAAAAAATGAAAAATGGCAAAAAGAGACAGACATTGAACAGCCTTGTCTTGATTATTGCAGCGATATACCCCCTAAACTATTTGTTTTTGGCCTGGTATCAGAGCTCAAGCTTTCGAGTCGACGGGCATATACCACTGATACCAGAGCTTTGTCCTATGATTTTTGATGTGCCCCTATGCTAATGAATGATATCCCTGATTGCTAATGTGGTGGAGGCTAATGACTGGTTTGGATTTTAATATACATTGCATTGTTTATACTGGTCTTAATGGCCTAGGAATCATGAGTTGCTTGTATATGACGTGGGGTGTTTCTTGACCCTGGGAACCACAATACATGCTCGTAGTTTATTGCCATGGAGTAGATCTACTACTGTTAGTATATTGATGATGAATTTTTCTGAGGCCTGTCTAGTTACCCGATTCAGATGCCGCCGCTTGAATGAGGGCAGCACGTGAGTAACTATCTTCAGAATTGTGTCATTATTAATTAATCTCGGACATACTGGAGTTATACCTCTTTGCGTGGACAAACTGAACCCTGGGGCAAAATGTCATGTCTGTTCAAAAACACAACTCAGACAACTAGCTATCATCTCAAGCAGAATGAATGTTTTATACTCCCACACTTCTAACCCTCTCCAGGGGTAGCAACAGCTTCCACGATTCCTAACCAAAAATTCCAACATCTTTATCATACAGTCAATCCTGTCATGGAACCTTACAACGCATTCCCTTATACGAAGGGCAACACACTCCGCGTATTCTCACATGTTGCTCCTGCCCCAACGCCAGTAACAAGAAATTGTGGTCGTAATGGACGGATTGGAAGAGAAGAACCAGATCGGCTTACTCCTTTGCAAAGATGCATGAAAAACCCCCCTCTTCCTGGCATTATGGGATCTCAATCCGTCAATCTAGAGATAGTTGATCATCTAAAAGTCGGTGATTATCATAACGCGCAAGTCTTTGTCGCCAAAATGCATGAAATTGGGGCTACCGATCCTCAAAAGAATGTCGTGGTCAAAGTGTATGATCCTCTCTACTTTGACGATATGGAAGGATATCTCAATCCTTTTCTATGTGTGGACAAACACTATACTCATGAGGTGCATGCATATACGTTACTTGCGGATCTTCAAGGAAGCCTTATCCCAAAGTTTTATTGGTCATTTTTGCTAGAAATCCCATTGCCAGGGTCCGAAACACGCGTTGTCCGACTGATCGTGATTGATTACATTCCTGGATTATCCATGCTGCAAGCTCATCCAGAGGATTACCCTTCACATTCCCGTCAGCAAATCATGAAATCGGTAATAGACTTCGAAAGTCGAGTTTTCCAACGTGACATCGTACTCACCGATTTGTGCCCGAGAAATGCGATGTTACTTGACCCTTCTAACTCTCCACAAAGGATGATCGTCTTCCTGGACTTTGGAGGGGCGATTTTTGGTCGCACGCTAGACGAGCCTATGGCAAAAAAACTTAAATCTATTGCTTGGTCAATATATAAGTCCCCTTGTGCGGTGGAATTCATCCAGGGCGTTTCTTTTCAGTGATTGGATTGATTGGAACTTAAGGCCCTGGATTGAAGCTGAATATGCTCATGAAGCCACGTCTGTCACCCAGGAAATGAGGGATAAGTACTGCCGACGCCGCCCCATTTGAAACAATCACTCTAACTAACGAATTCTACTGTTATGAATAACTGTGAATCATTCAAGTTTGGGAAGTCGTACTCTACCATCCACCTTGATTTGTCTGCAGTACCCTATATCTTTCAAAGGTTGAGCTAATATTGCTTGTACTGGTCATTGCTGCTGCATGAGATTTGATGCAGGAAGAATAGCAATGCCAGGCTTGCCAGTAGAACTACCATTTGCTACAATTATCTGAGAAATCCTTATAAGTCAAATGTCGCTTGTCCTATAAAGGAGTTGTCACTAATCAGTAAATGCGACATCTCTATCAAGCTTGTACCATACCAGTAGTAAACTAAGCGTCTACAATCGGGCCTGACCCACTCAGAGATGAAACACTTCTCACTATGTACTATATATACAAAGAGCCGCCCTAGTTAGGGTGGTCTTGGCATTCAGAACAGTGTCGACAACAGCAACGGAAGTGAAATCTCACTCTCTATTTTGCACACCTGCGACTCAAGCAACAAGCTCAGACAGCTCACAGCGTATGAACCATGACCGCCTTGGGTCGGACTTAGGGGTAAACGCCGAGCCGAAAAAGCTTAGCCAGACAATCGGCATTGGTTCCGTGACGTGCCGGGCGGTCAGCAGGTTCCTATGGGTGGTAGTTGACAGCGCCTTGGCAACGTTGTACTATACGGAGCACAGGTACAAGCTTTCAATCCACTCAGGGTCTCGGTGAATTTGTAGCTGCTAACTCAATAACATCGGCGTGGGTTACTTCTCGGGCTCCAGCTGACATTGGAGTATCGACTGGGAGGATGTAATTAACCCATGTGCATATCGTATTAATAATGCTGATGGGAAAGTGGGGGAGTGGAGGCAATGGAGGGGTTTTGAAGAGGGGCGACAGTGTTCCCTCGGAGCTTCGTCGCACCCCCGTGATTCCGCAGCTTTTTATATTTCATATTAAGAAATTCCTCCAAAACTCCGAGTTAATCATTATCTCATTTACCCATTTCAAAAATTTTAAAATGGCTTCTAACCCCCCTGGACCTTGCTGCGCCACTGGCTTCAAACATGAAGGCAACCCAGTTGGTGAGATCAAGAACGTTAACGGCGGTAAGTTATCCTACAGCCATAACTTCTAAAAAAAAAGAAAAGAAAAGAAAAGAAAAATCATGAACGCAATGGTCTAATCAACATCTCGCAGTCGAAACCTACATTGTCTACCCCCAAGACAAGAGCACCGAGAAGGTTATCGTCTTCCTGAGCGATATCTTCGGTATCTATATCAACGCCCAGCTCCTCGCCGACGAGTTCGCCGCCAATGGATACACTTGTGTCATCCCCGACCTTTTCCGGGGAGACGCTATCAAGCTCAGTGACATGGAATCTGGAAAGGCCAACCTCCCCGCCTGGCTCCCCAATCACCAGCCTAACCACGTCGACCCCGTCGTCGAGTCTACTGTTAAGTACGTCCGTGAAGAATTGGGCGCTAAGCGTGTCGCGGCTGTTGGATACTGCTTTGGTGCCAAGTATGTCTGCCGCCACATGAAAGAAGGCAAGATCGACGTTGGTTTCAATGCCCACCCTTCCTTCGTCACCCACGAGGAACTCGGTGCCATCACCGGTCCTCTGTCCATCGCTGCTTCCGGTAAGTTGGGGCCCTATAATATTGTTGAGACGCATGTCTTCGGTACTAATGTACTCCTCAATAATAGAAATCGATACCATCTTCACTACCCAGCTCCGTCACGAGTCTGAGGAGACCCTGAAGAAGACTGGCCAGCACTGGCAGATCAACCTGTTCAGCGGTGTTTCCCACGGTTTCGCTGTCCGCGCGGACTTGAGCAACAAGCATTTCAAGTTCGCCAAGGAGCAGGCTTTCTGCCAGGCTGTCAACTGGTTCAGGCAGTACCTGTGAACTAAAAGCATAGACTGATAATTACTAGCGTGTTGTATATGTTCACTTCATGCTAATGAATAGATGTGATGAATGATATACTTTGAATAGGCGTATGTCTTGCAATACCTAGCCTTGTCATAGGCAATTTGTAACTTCCACCAAATAAAAAGTTCATATGCATTTTCAAAGCAAGATAGACTAAAAGGACGAGTATTGAAACCGGGAAGTTAAGAGGCTCCACCGCCCATGCTCTTTAATTCTTCACTAACTTCATAGCTATGGTGGATGGTTCTATTCTTAGTAGCGGATCGATAAGGCTGTTGTTTATTCCATAAACTTGGCTGCCAGGAAGGCTTTGTAATATATGTATGATGCAGACCAATTACTCGCAACTTCTACAGAATAGTAAGAGCTAAGATCTACAATTATTATGTAGAAAACATAGGCCTTAGGCACCATGTTGATCAGCCTTGCCCCAAGCACGTGATCCTGGGGGATCCGCGCCGACAAAAGAACCGCCGGAAGAACAGGTGGAATAAGTGAGATTGCCGTGAGAAGGGAGCGCAAGAAGCTGCGCGGTTTCGTTGCTCGCTCTTTGTCATTGAAGTTTCTAGCTTGCTTGCCGATTAGACCTTGTTTTCTCGCCCCCAATTTTTTCGACTGGGGCTTGTCAAGTCTTTGTCGTGTGCATTCTAGCGTCTTGCGATCCGTGCTGTTGCCCCTGTGGTGGCATCATTGCAAATTACCAACGAATCTCTTGCTCTGTACGCCCACACTTCGCGAGATTTAAGAGCTTGCATTACACTTTTACATTTAAGCTCTCCTGTTGTCCTCGACAGCAGCGTTCGATCAGCGAACCCGACCTACCCTGACCTTACATCTCGGTGAATTGCCCCCGAGGCTTATTGCTTATATTTTGCGCGCATTCCCGGCACAGTCAATTGCTCTACTTGCGAGACATTACATTCATTGAGTCGAACATTTTTTTCGCAAAATCAATATGGCTACTCCCGCCGCGTTACCGCCACTACCATTTAACCCGGCGAGGGTGCGGTCGTATCTTCTTCGTTTGCCTCTCTTTACACGACTTGTGGTGCTGGCAATTATCGTCTTTTGGCTTCTTGAGTTCCAAACAGTATGGAGCGTGGTGCAATGGGGTTCGTTGGCGCCGGATGAAATTGGTCTCGGTAGCAGTGTGTACCCTTGCGTGCCTTACTCCTGAAAGACGGAGGATTATGCCCGTGCATGGTTCTGACTATCATAGTGTACCGGCTCAACACCTATCCATTCATCCACAATGGCTTCTTCCATGCCTTTTTGAACCTGGTGGCGCTTACACCATTGGTCGAGCGGTTTGAAGCCGAGCATGGCACGTTGACTGCTGTGGCTTTGTTTTTTGGGCGTAAGTCATACTCCGATTGCTAGGAATTGGGACCAGGTGTTCTAACATTTACTGTCAACGTAGCTCTTTCTACGTTCCCTGCAGGCCTCTACCTTCTGATCGAGAAATTCCTTTTGCATAGAAACACCGCGGTTGTTGGCGCAAGGTGAGTGTTATATACTTCGATCTTGCGAGTAGACAAGGCTAATCGAGCATCAAGCGTTTGGGTATTCCTCCTATTGGGTACCGAAGCTATCAAGACCTTTAAGTCTCACCCGTACTTCAGGTATTTCCCTAAATGTGAAGGCCGACGCGTGTCACAGGTTGCTAATATAAACTTAGTCTTGGGAATTACAAGATTCCTACCTGGACATCGCCCTTGTTTGCGTGCATAGTTGTGTCGATCCTTATGTCTAATACAAGCTGCCTTGGCCATCTGTGTGCTATCCTCGTTGGCTATGTGTGTGAGTATCGCCTCCCCAGTCTTGCGATCGGTCTTATGCTAATATGTATACACTAGTCGGCCTCGGGTACCTGAAGGTGTTCGTTCCTCCGGAGAAGATTTTGAGATGGATTGAAGGGAAACTGAATCTGCTGGGCCGCCTACCACACTATATCTCTGTCGACCAAAAGACGTATGGTCGATATGGTGTGCTCCCCACGACGAATACGATGGGCGAGAGAGGGACTCCTATGAGCTATTTGGGATCGTCGCAGCGCCTGGGTCCTTGAGCCCATTGGCAGTTAACACCGTGTCGGACATCTATATTACAATTCTTGTGCATATTTAAGTATTATAGTAATCATGTGTTATAGTGGTATTGTGGTGGAGGATTCTTATTTTTTGGCTCATAAAATACATTAGCGTTGTTTTTTGACATGACGTTGAGCGAGTTGTGCAGATGGTCTTTAGCGGCCGACGTAAATAAACTGAGGTGCTGCGGAGTTGGCTCCCAATGCCTTTGAGACTCCGCGGATACTACTAATACGACCAATTAATTCCCCGAATGTCTTGATTCGATGGCTTTAAAATGTAAGTCGCTACATGCTTGCAGCGTGCTAGTTGAGCTGCATTTATCAACTGCGCTCCACTTCCACCAACATCCTCTTTCCTCTGTTGACTTACCCCGGATTCTACTATTGCAAAGGACAACTCAAGAGTAGACCAAGCTGACTGAAGACCGATGACAGCCGCAATCCGCAAATTGCGGAGTAATCCTCATTTCCTTTTCGTGCATTTACCGCACATCCTCTCGTTTCTATGCGTCCTCGCTGGAGTCGTCTGGCTTCTCCTCCTCCCCCTCAATGACTACTCCCGTCGAACGTACATCTCCGAGAACGCGCTTCTTCCCGGCCAAGTCCATGCCTACTTCTCCGGTAGTGAGCAGAACATCTTTCGCGGATATAGAAAGGAGCTAGAGGGGCTTCTACCCAATGGAGCTCCAGGGGAGGGACCAGAAAGGAATGATATTGAATGGACACCGGAGTATGTTTACGGTCCTGCTTGTGGCGTCTACCGACAACCTGTGCTAAGCTGAGCTGTCTACTAGGATCTCGGATAAGATACAGTCGGTTCTCAAGGCTTCCGGCTTGAAAGTCGCGACACAGAAATATGAATACACTTCCGCGGGGATCACGCATCAGGGGGAGAACGTCTACGCCATCATTCAGGCGCCGCGGGGCGATGCGACGGAGGCGATCGTACTGGTTACGGCTTGGAAGACAGCCGATGGAGAACTGAATCTGAATGGGGTTACCCTCGCATTGACGCTGGCAAGATACTTTAAACGTGGGTTGATTTTATATTCTCCTTATAAGAAGGGCCATAGCTGATTGTTCCCAGGATGGTCGCTGTGGTCGAAAGACATCATATTCCTGATCACACCGGACAGCAAATCGGGGACGCAAGCGTGGATTGATGCATACCATGACATGCAACCCCCATCTGTTCAGCCACTGCCGTTGAAGAGTGGCGCATTGCAGGGAGGTCTGGTGGTAGAATATCCCTTCGATCATCGGTTTGAATCGTTACATATTGTCTACGACGGTGTCAATGGCCAGTTACCGAACCTGGATCTAATAAATACTGCCGTATCAATTGCTGGCGGTCAAATGGGCATCGGTGCCAATTTGCAGGAGATGTGGGACCACAATGATAGCTACGAAGCGCGTCTTCAAACTATCTTGAGAGGCATGGCTAAACAGGGTTTCGGGTACGCCACTGGTGCGCACAGTAGCTTCATGCCATACCACATTGATGCTATCACACTGCAAACGAAGGGGGATGGCTGGCAGGACGAAATGGCCCTGGGCCGGACCGTGGAGAGTCTCTGTCGCAGCTTGAATAACCTCCTGGAACATTTGCATCAGAGTTTCTTCTTCTATCTGCTTATGCAGACCAACCGGTTTGTCAGCATCGGCACGTATCTACCCAGCGCGATGCTGATCGCTGGCAACTTCACAATCATGGCCATTGCCCTGTGGCTACGGACTGGTTACTACATGGGCTCTAAGCCTACGCCTTCAGTCAAGGAGGGTGCTTCCCAGGATGAGAAGAAGGAACAAGCAGCAAGTTCCCAGGACAAGGGCACACCCAAGGCGACAAGTGTGGACCAAAAGAGCGACACCAACAGCATCATTGAACGACAGCTGGCGCTCCCACTCAGCTTTGTGGTCGGTCTACATCTATTGGGCCTGATTCCTCTCTTCATCTTCAACAACCTTTCCCACAAGGTCAGTATCATCTCTCCATCATCACAGTCCTGTATTCTCTGACAGAAAAACAGTACTTCACCACCGCCACCTACACCTTCGTTGTAGCCGATCTCGTCCTTCCGCTACTCCTTGCAGTCTTGCTTACCCAAGGCTTCACCCCCAAACCCCAGCATTACCTCCTTATGAAATCCTTCTCCCTCCTCCTCCTTGGTCTCTTCCTTTCCACTCTGGCAACCCTGAACTTCTCCCTCTCATTCATGATCGGCTTGCTCTGCACTCCTCTCAGCTTCGTCAACCGCATCAGTCCTGCCACCAGTGCGCCTATCCGGTACGCACTCGCCTTCATTGGCCTAGTGCTCCTGAATCTTCTCTCGCCCCCTGTCGTCCTCCTCGGGGGTTGCTGGTATACCGGAGTGTCAGTGGAGACCATTCTAACGCAAGCAGCGTTCGGATGGGACGTCTGGGGAATGTGGACACAGGTAGTTGTATGGTGTGTCTGGTGGCCAGCCTGGATGATTGGGTGTGCACTGTTAGGATTCTCCCTGGTTTGAAGTTGCATTGGTTTCCCATAGTCAAACTCTGTATACAAACGGGACAAGAAAACAACCCTGTAAATTAAACCTCTATACCAATCCACACCATACCACAAAAAACATCAAACCAAACGTCTCCACCACACACACAATTAAAGCAAGCAAACAAATCACCACAAAAAGACCACCCCTAACCAGAACCCACGCGCCTAACAACCCCCAACATCTCAAACCCCTCCAACCCGCCCTCACAACCCACAACCCTCTCAACCCCAAACCCCCTCCCATCCAAACACCCCACATAATCCGCCCAATCCGCCCTGGGCCCCAACCACAAAATCACCTCCACCACCCCCTCCTTCCCAAAAGCCTCAATATACCTGTCCACCAGCTTCGGCTCGCGCGGATAGACAAACATCCATGCCTTCGCGCCGGGCACGCGCGACGCCAGCAGATCCCACGTCCCAGTGACAACGTGCATGTCTTGTTCGGCGATGTAGCGGTTCACGGCGGGGTTTACTTCGACGCCTTCGATTTGGAGCGAGGCGTTGGTGTGCGTTAGCAGGGCTTCGAGGAGGCCGCTGCCGCTGCCGATTGAGACGGTGTAGTCTGGTTTCTTGGGGAGGAGGCTTGTGAGGGTTTCGAGGAGGGGGGTGGAGATTGAGAGGCAGCAGGTTGGGAAGGCTTGGGGGGTGGTGGTTAGTTGGGAGGTGAGTTTTGGGAGGGTGATTTCTGGGTCTTCGTCCATTGTTTTTGGTTTGGGTTGGGTTGGTTTGTTCTGGGGATGGAGTTGTGGATGGTTGGATGGTAGATGTATGATTTGAGGTGTGGAAGTGAGGAAGTCGGAGGTGAAAATTCTGCATGATTTCATACGTTTCAATTATGGGTGTTAAGTCTAATATTCACTCGTACATATATCCCCCAAGTGCTACTCTTTTACGTTCAGAATATGATCAGGAGAAATGATAATCGAACATAGCTCATGCAGCCCACACATCCTTACCAACACCCTCGATCCAGTGACCCAGTTGGTTGACGCCTGCGTCCCAGTCCTTCAGTCTATTCCGCATGCCTTCAATCTGGGTCATGTCCAGAACCTTCGGCTGCACCCAGTTGATCTGCGCGACTCCAGCCACCTGGTCGATGGCGCCCTTCAGCAAACCCAAAGACAGAGCCTTCATGATCAAGTGTTCGATCTCCTCGGGCTTCACCTTCGTCTCGGATGAGATGGCCGCGAAGGTCAGGTTCCGGTCATGCGGGGGTCTGCGGAAGACCATCTCCGTGAGGGCCGAGAGGGAGATCTTCTGGTAGAGGAAGAAACGATGTTGTTCTAGGAGCTGGTTCTTGGAGATGTTGCCGGCCAGGACGTCATAGGCAGTGAGGTCGCCGCGGTTGAAGGCGAAGAGGAGGTCGCGGAGCCAGTTGTGGGGGGTCTCGGTGAGGGAGTCCAGAATTGGATGCAGAAGTAGTTCACCAAAGTTGTAGATAGAGTCGGAGACGAGGGCTGCGACACTAAGATTGTACGCGCGAGAGACACGCTCGGATTCGCTAAGATCCTCTAGGTTGATGCAGGCGAGGTAGAGGAGGGCGTTCTTATAGAATGAGGCGAATTCTTGTTTTTTCTAGGCATACTGTGTTAGTCTATCTGGCGATTAATTCGACTTATATGACACATACATGGTAATAGTCAGCGTTGACTTTATAGAAGGAGGCATGGACAACGGTCTCGACCGAGTCGAAATTATCCAGGACCTTCTGACACGTTTCCAGGTCTTTCTGTGCTCCATCCAAGTCGTTGAGCCGTTGCTTGACATTGGCGACGTCACCAAGGGCATATATGTAAGCTTCTTGTGTGTCGGGCTTGTTCACCTTGTCGGCGAGGGATGTGAGGAAAGAGAGGCGTTCTTTGTCATCTGGTGGGTAATGATTTAGTGCCACCATCTAGAGTGATAGGCGATGGAAAACGAATCTTGAGGCATACCTGCACATTCTGTCGATGCCATCAACCCCAACGAGACGAATTTCAGCTGGTTGATCTTGTCGGCGAAGCTGAGCACGAAGGTCTTGAATATCGGTAACCGCTGCGGGGCGCTCTCTGAAAGGCGAAAGAATTCAATTAAGGAGTCGGTAAGCTGGTGCCATAATTTCCGCTCCCAGTAATCTTCGAAGGTGAGGAAGTAGGCCTGGCATTGTTCGGGAGCTTGCTGAAGCTGGTCCGCCAGGAAGTCGGAGATCTTCTGGTTCTCCATCGCGGGGAGAGTAGGGGCTGTGAAACGGAGTCTTGTGAATCAGATGGTGGGTTCCTAGCAAGTACCGGAGCTTAGCGCTGTTAGTTAAGGTAGAGCAGGCGCGAGAACAAGGCTGTAAGACAATGAATAAGGTGGCAGCAGTTGATGACGATGGAAGAGTGGATGGAGAAGTGGAGCGAAGCTCACTCAAGGCGGTGTCTTTGCGCCGCCCGAGCACATGACATCGAAGGTAAACCCTCAGGTACGGAGTCCAGACCTATGGGATATTCCACTTTTCACAGTATACGACTCTAGACCTAGTAGTTTGACTCATAATGAATGAAGACATAGCTTTCATTGGTTGTACTATTCATAGAACTCTTCCTGCTTACTACTGTGGAGAGCCATGGTTTAGCGGTATAGAAGTATCCGATATGTCTCCGAAAGAGCCATACAGAGACCAACAAGAAACTACTATAGACCGCGTTGGAATTTCCTTCCAGAGTTTGTCTGCTCAACATAAATACGGCGTGGTTTCCTCAGTTCTTTTCCCTCTGTTCCTCATTCTCCATCTCTCAACTCTTTGGATTCTATTGATCAATATCAAAGACAACTTCGGCAGACCACTTTATCTAAAAAGGAAACATTGACATTCAACTCATTAGCCATGTCCGAGTTTACAGAAAAGAACAGACAGGTCTGGGAGTAAGGTCATATTTCCTTGCACTTGAGAGTCGTGGCTGACAATACATAGAAGCTATTCCAAGACATACAAAACCCGGTTCGAAAAGGGCACAAAGTTGTTATACCGCTTGACTCAGGAAAAGCGCCTTTGGTGTAGTGACGTTTGGACTGATACCGAAGCCGGGCAAGGCAAAGAGATCAAGGTGTTGGAATATGCATGTGGGCCTGGCGTTGTATCTACGGTCAGTCGATTGTCTCCGCTAGTCTGTGTCGTTACAGACCGTAGTCGTATAGAGCGAGCTAATATATTCCAAAGGCATTGGCGCCATTCGCCACCAAAGTCGTCGGCATCGACGTCGCGGACGGCATGGTCGACGAGTACAACGCTAGCGCTCGTGAGGGCGGTTTTGAAGACAAAATGATCGGCCATAAGGGTGACCTCCTGGCCGAGCCAATGCCAGAGGAATTCTCAGGGCCAGAGTATTCCGATTTCGATGTTGCATTTGTCAGCATGGCCCTTCACCATTTCGAAAAGCTGGATCTGGCCATGAAGCGCCTCGGGGAACGACTGAAGAAGGGTGGTGTGTGTCTGATCATCGACGTACTTCCACACGGCAAGCATGACCATAACGCCCATGAAATGCACAACTCCAACCATGAAGCCGCACACACGATCAAGACTCATGGTTTCACCTTGGAGGATATGCGCAAGCTGTATGAAACTGCTGGGCTTGGAATGGGGTTCGATTATCAAGTCATTGAAGAGCCACTGGTGTTTGAGAGAGACGACAAGACATTCTCCAAGACCATCTTCATTGCCCGGGGCCAGCGTCAGTAAGTTCTGCTCTTTGGGGAGATATAACGTCTGGTTGTGTATGGAAAGGAGACATGAATATAGTATAGATTAGGTTCTAAGCTATACATATAATAATAGACTTAGACATATGCTCTCTTGTCGATGTAGACCTTGTGCTGAGACAAGCAAAGCTCGCTGTGGATAAATTAATTAGAACCTATGGTCAGTACTGCATTGATAGTTCTAGGACAAATATGAAAAGAGTTTGTTGCGGGCGTTGGATACTGTGATGTTGGAGTGGTGAAAGCCCGGGGAAGAGTATCCAATCATATTTGAGGAATAGTCAGACACGATCGAGGTAGGTTTGTAGGTACACGCCTTCTGAAGGCGAGAACAGGAAGTTTATCTGCCAGTTTCAAGTGACGTGGCATGATTCTTACATCGGCCATGCCATTGACACCAAATGCAAGTTACAAATGGCGAGTGAAAGGGTTGACAGGGAAATGGTAACGTGAGAGGTGGTTCAAGGTGCTGTCCGAATCGGGACTAGTGCAGAGGTCCCGTGCCGGCAGTTTGCGTTCTCCAGCACGACAATCGACAAGTTCAGCATCAAGCACGAGATCGCCTGCTGAGCGTTGCTCTCCCCATTCGCTTTTTACTGCCCCACGAAACACCGATCCGGACGCAATTCGGTGGTCTCATCTTGATTCAGAGCTGAAGAGAGACCATGCAGAAGTGCCGGGCCGTCAATTCCGCCTTGGGCTCGAGGGCATTTGCCCCCGCCCCCAAGGTCCAACAAGTGCAGCGCCGGAATCTCCAAGATGTCGCGGTTACTAGAACCGGAAAGCCGATCCTGAAGGTCCAGGGTGGACGGTAAGTCCACTGCGTTGAAGCTGTGCAGGTGGATGGTGGCTAATTGACGCTCTTGCAGGTCGTCTCTTGGAGGTACTTTGGCCCTTTTTTCCGATCGTCGCATTGCCCTCAGATAATTTAACTGGAATTGTGTTCTAGGTCACACCGCTACCGTCTTCGGTGCTACTGGTTTCCTCGGTCGTTACATTGTCAACAGGCTCGGTAGGTCAACAGCTAGCTTGCGGGAAGTATAAACGCTGACAGCGTCCAGCTTCGCAGGGATGCACGGTCGTTGTTCCCTACCGTGAGGAGATGACCAAGAGACATCTGAAGGTGACTGGTGATCTCGGAAGGGTCAACTTCATTGTACAGTACCCGCAATTGATCTTGAACTGCAGCCATCTCGACTAATCTGTGGTAGGAATATGACCTGCGCAACACCCAGTCGATCGAGGAGAGTGTCCGTCATTCCGATGTTGTCTACAACCTTGTCGGTCGCCAGTATCCTACTAAGTCAGTAACAAACCACTTGGATGGCTCGAACAGCTACTTATAACAGGCAGGAACTTTTCCTATACCGACGTGCACGTCGACGGCATAGAGCGTATCGTTGAGGCTGCCGCCAAGTATGATGTTGACCGATACATTCACGTCTCTTCCTACAACGCCAGCAGAGACTCTCCTTCCGAATTCTTCGCCACTAAGGTCCGTTTTTCGAGCCATAACATGCCAGTGTGATGCTAAGTTGAGCTGTATAGGCCTGGGGAGAGGAAATTGCTCGTTCCATTTACCCCGAGACCACCATTGTCCGCCCTGCGCCTATGTTCGGTTTCGAGGATAACCTTCTCCACAAGCTTGCTAAGGTCACCAACCTCCTTACCTCCAACCACATGCAGGAGCGCTACTGGCCCGTTCACGTAAGCTACGTCTGAACCGTTTGCATGGATACGATGCTGATTCAAATAGGCTCCCGATGTTGGCAATGCTCTGGAGCGTATGCTTCACGATGACTCCACTGCTGGTCAGACTTTCGAACTTTACGGCCCCAAGAACTACTCTACTGCCGAGATTGCCGAGCTGGTTGACCGTGAAATCGTCAAGCACCGCCGTCACATCAACGTTCCTAAGCCGATCCTGAAGCCTGTGGCTCACTACCTGAACAAGCTGCTCTGGTGGCCCATTATCTCGCCTGACGAGGTTGAGCGGGAGTTCATTGACCAGGTGATCGACCCCAATGCTAAGACCTTCAAGGACTTGGGCATTGAGCCTGTTGACCTGGCTACCCTTACTTTCCACTACCTGGTAAGCACTCCACAGCGGTCTCGATGGGCCCTACCCTGTACTAACAGTTTCATAGCTGGGATACCGTAGCGCCTCGTACTACGACCTGCCACCGGCCACGGAGCGGGAGAGACAGGAGGAGAAGAAGTATTTGCACGTCTTGGACGACCAGTAGTCTGTGTTTCTTTACTGTACATAAGCTAGACATCCATTTCTTTTTCTTTTGTGCCAATGAGTGTGTGTGTGACAGTAATTGGACTCGACAGCGCTACCGAGGTCATCATCTAAAGTTATACAATAAAAAATCCGTCCATACATAGACAACTATAAACTAATCACCCCCACTCCACCGTTAAACCCACCTCCGCACTTCTCTCCCCAACCCACCCACCAACATCAACACCGTCCAAAAGCAAACAAAAACCAACGAATAAACACACAAAAAGACAAAATGCCACCTCAATTCACCTTCAACACCTCCTCAACCCCCATCCTGCTACTCAAAACCAAATCCTCCCCGACAGACAGCTACGAAGAATACTTCTCCGCACACAACTACACCCCCACCTTCATCCCAGTCCTCGAACACAACTTCCACACCCCAAACCTAACCACCGTGAAACAGCTCTTCCAATCCGGAGCCCTAAAACCCGGCCCGGGCCGCAAATACGGCGGCCTGATATTCACAAGCCAAAGGGCGGTTGAAGGATTCGCAACAATCCTCAGCGATATCGATGGTGAGTGAAATATACACACCCGGTTTTCCCACCTATGCAGTAGCTAATTACCACAAATAAACAGAATCAACCAAACACACCTCCTCCCAATCCCTGATCCTTTACACCGTTGGCCCCGCTACCTCCCGATCCCTAGCCTCCATCCGAGAACACCACCTCCCCCACTCGACTATCCTCGGCTCGGAGACGGGGAACGGTGAGAACCTCGCGCACTTCATCCTCGACCATTACAACTCGTTGTATGACTCGCAAGCTGGCCCGAAGCCGCCGCTGTTGTTCCTGGTCGGGGAGCAGCGGCGGGATATCATTCCTAAGACATTGATGGCGGGATCGCTGTTGCCGGAGCAGCGGATTGGGGTTGATGAGCTGGTGGTCTACGAGACGGGTGTTATGGAGGGGTTTGAGGAGAGTTTTGCGGGGGCGGTTCGTGCTTCGGAGGAGTTCTTGGGGGGTGGGGGGGAGAGGGCGGTTTGGGTGGTTGTGTTTTCGCCGACGGGGTGTGATGCTATGGTGCGGGTGTTGAAGGGGCTTGGGGATGGGGAGAGGAGGGTGTTTGTTGCTACGATTGGGCCTACGACGAGGGATCATTTGAAGAATAAGTATGGGTATGAGGCGGATGTGTGTGCCGAGACACCGAGTCAGGAGGGAGTAGGCATGGGCATTGAGGAATTCATGAAGATGTGGAGGAAGAATAGGGCAGGGCAATAGGTCTATATTTTGCCTGTGGTCGAGTTTGTATCTATACCAGTACCGTAGTATATACCCGTTGTTATGATTGATGATGACAATCTTACGCTGGCTGAGAACCTAGGCAATAATGTATTTCCAGCTCAAGATTGACAAGCGTAAGACCGGCTTATCTGTTAAACAAGTGAAAGCACCAGACGCCTGAAAACGTGTCAAAAAGGCCAATCATGAGACTCTGCCAATATCATAGTCGATGCGCGAGTCGTCTATGCAACTAGATATTAAGTGCATGGGTTCGGTCATCCCATCCTATTTATCCCGACCTGTATTCCGTCTTTTCCGATGGACAAGCTGTCCAATGCATACTGCGATGCATCCGAAGCTCACCGCATAATCTCCTCGTAGATTAGAACTGCGAATGTCAGTATGGGAACAAATAATTATGTTTGTATAATTGTGGTAAACTCACTCTTCAACTGCTCCTTGCTAAGGGCATCCTTATTCTTGTCGAAGTCAAAGAACCCTTCCGGAATGGGAGGTGCCGTGGGCTCATCTTCGGGGTCATGATACGGCTCCAGGTACGGATGGCGCAAAGCTTCCTCCACAGTAATACGCTTGGCGGGGTTGAATGCCAGGAGCCTCTCCAGGAGGTCCAGGGCCAAATCGTTGGCCTTCGGGAATAGCGCCTTAAAGGGGATCTTCTTTTTGAAAGGGAGAGATCGGATATATTCCCGAGCCCGTCGGGATTTGATTCCATAGTAGTCCTCCATTGTCGGTGTACCGAGAACGTCCAAAATAAGAGTCAGTTGGTGATGATCTTGAGGTTATGTTAGCTGACTGTCTCCAACGATTGATGAGGAACGACGTACAATCCTTTCCAGGGAATAGAGGTTTTCCGCTCAGCATCTCAGCGAGGATACAACCGACACTCCACACATCAATGGCTTTGGTGTACTCCTTGAATGTCAACATGATCTCCGGCGCACGGTACCATCTGGTCGCCACATATTCTGTCATGAACCCTGAGTTATCATCTGTGGAGGCAGCCGAACGGGCCAAGCCAAAATCGCACACTTTCAAATCGCAATTTGCGTTGAGGAGCAAGTTCGAAGGCTTCAGATCACGATGAAGAACGTTTGCTGAGTGCATAGCTTTCAGAGCACGTAGAGTCTGGTAAATGAAATATTGGCAGTGATCATCCGAAAGATCTTGAGTACGAATGACCCGGTGCATGTCAGTCTCCATCAGCTCCTACAGACTGATTAGTGTCTAATAATTCCTATCCAATCTTCGGCGTATAACTACCTGGATTAGATAAACTTCGTTGAAGCTCTCATAGTTGCGTGGTCTTTGGATATCCAGGATGGAGATGATGTTTTCGTGGTTGAAGTAGCGAAGCAGCTTCATCTCACGCAAAGTTCGCAAACAGAACATCGAGTGGTCGAAAGGAGTGATCTTCTTGATGGCAACTTTTTGACCAGATGGTTTATGGATGGCAGAGCTGAACCGTCAGCATAATATTAGCCTCCCCTTGCACCGGCACTTACCAAACCACACCGTAGGCACCTTCACCAATGACATCTTGAATTTCATATTGGTCGGAAACGTTGAAGGAGATCTTTCGTGAGCCTCCCTGAGGAGGAAGTTGCTGCACCATATTCGTGGACTGTCCGAACTAGGTTGCATTAGCTGAATGTACACAAGTGTACTGCGCTTCATGTCCGCATTGGCTATCGTGCGTGAGGCAGTTGATTTGACCTCAACTCCCACTGACAAGTCATTGTGTACTTGTGTCGCAAGCTATCCGGTACATCATTGGCGGACAACATGACAGGAAACATGGCGGGTTCATAATAACCCCGGCGGTAAATATTGAGAATGCGCTTACATTCGCTCAGACTATAGGTTCCCGTTTATAAATGCTCTTGAGCTCTTTAAGCAAGTTTGTACGCCCTGGCGATGCTGATCGAGAAACAGTTCTCGGGATTCGTTCTGATTGAATGCGGGGTAGGTATGGCGTTGAGTCTGCTGCCAAACGATTCGTCGAGGGTTGCAGGAAGTTCAATACAGATATGACAATGACTGAAACTGCACCGAATGCGAGATTGAAATAACCTGGACTAACAGAGATAGCGAACGGCGCTTGAAGCGAATGATCCGGTGTACTAAAAGCGCACATGTTAGTAACTTTCAACCATCGAACGAATCCACAGCTGATCACATCGGAAAGGTGCCAAATCAACCGTCACCAACGGGGAAGCATCCGTACATGACTCGGAATTAATCTTTGTCCTTTAGTCTCGGGGCTTGATGTTTCAGGGCTGTGTTCTATTTTTACTTCCTGAACTGTCTGTTCCTTCTCTCCTGCGTGGTCTCAACAATCAATCTGGGTTATTTCGACCTCGGCAATGAGATTGGACCTGGAAAATGGGTAGAAAGAGTTGGGAATCGGTGTTTTGGCAGATGTAGCACCGTGGAAGAACAGGAGAACCAAGCAAAGTGATCACAGTAATGCAATAGCCGCAGCAATAGTAGGAAGTTAATAACGGGGAGCGGATCAGCGAAAAGTGGGGTGGGGCAAAATGGAGGGGAAGAAGAGGACGACGACGACAACGATGACCAAGAGAAACCAGCGAGAGATTCGTACCCGTCAAGTTCTTGATAATCGTACCCAAGGAGGCTGAGAACCGAATCCTGGAAAGGGGACGCAACGGAGAGGATCCAGAACCAGATCTTCTAGATCGGATGGAACCGTGGATCAATCCTTTACTCGATATGGGATGATATACGGGGAAGAAAGGAGAGGGAGAAGGAAAGACACGCACACAACAAGGTTGGTTCCGCTGGAGGGGGGAGCAACCACGTTAAGTGCTGTTTGGCTCGACAAAAATTCCGAAAAATGGTAATACGATTCGAAAAAGGATGGAAAACGTCGTCTACTTTTTTGGGGGGGGTTAAATGATGGATCACGGGGAGGGGCGGCGGATAATGTACGTATTTAGTATGTGATCCATAACCCAGACCTATACACTACCTATTCCATCCATGAAATCCAATATGTCTCTGGTACAAAGACAAGACATTGAACTACGGGGTCAACTAGTTGCTACTAGTCAACACTGGTTGGCCTTAGTGACTAAAAACCAGCCAGAAAGTTACAAATCCTGTCACAGCCACGTATTAGGGAGGGAAACTACTCAGGAACCTCTTATACCAAGCGGTATCAACAGAAGACTTGTTATGATACCTACTTAATCAAAGGACCCGCCAACGCCCTATGGATCATGGACGTTCTACTTTCCTTGCAGCATTGGCAATCCCAGGGTCCGGTGTCTCTCTCGCTCCTAAGCGGCCGCCTCATGAGTTAATTTTGCTCTTAAATTATGGTATCACGAAAACCAAGACAGGATTTGTCAAGCAGCCATATGGATCATCCTCCCAAACGACGGTCAATTTCCCTTGGGATGGGTCTCCCCTCCCAAAAACTTACTACATCCCGGCCAGTGTTTCAATGCCATCCACCACCAGGGAACCCGCCACCAGCGCCAATTGCCTCCTGAAGGAGTTTAGTCCACGTCTCAAGTGTTGGTCTAGTGGAGAGGGGGCAGTGCCGTTGTGAACCTTCGCCTCGCGCTACTGCTCATCATCACAGTCGTCACAAAGTTCACTGCATCTCCGTCTCTCCTTTTGTTGTCTAATCTCCCGACTAGCTTGGCACCCCCCCTCGTCGTATCGCCAACGCCGTCCCCATTCTCGCCTCTGATTCGCTCTGCGGCACACAGCCTTGTCGACGGAGTTGACATGCTAAGCTGTGATCTAAAGTCTACTGTGCATGATCGGCCTGACAGACGCTCGGGGCTCATGCACGCTTTTTCCCATGAGATAGATTCTGGGCATTGCATGAAGGATATGCTTTAGTTCCAGTCGCAGGATTTCCTTTTTTTTTTTTTTTTTTTTTTTTTTTTTCTCTCTCAAAAATAGAACCAAGTGCGAGTAACACATCCTACAGAAGATAACGGTCTACATATACCGTGACATACGGAGAATACTAAAATATCTCGCTAGCAATAACCCGAAGTAGGCAGAAATAGTAGTACAGAGAAATCCAGGGAGATGAGGAATATATTGATATCTCTTGCATATAATTTACCAAAACTTGGGAAAGCTACCATTACTGCACAACCTGTTGGCGTGTTCATCCTCGTCAGCCTAATGACTTGGCAGGTCATAGGTTTGGGTGACAGGTACAGGAGGAAAATAAAAGAATGAGAGCCTAGGAAACGGGGTCAAACCTTTTCCTGTAAGTTGCCCATCCATTGCGCAAGACTGACGCCCTGGTCGGCTCGGTCCTCCACGAGCATTGTCTGTGCCCACAGCCGGAGACCGGGTTCTCCATCCTCCTTGACCACGTACAGATGTGGCACCACAATGCTGCCGCAGCCCTTCGACCGGTGATCCCGGCTCTTCTCAATGACCGCCCGCACGCGCTGGTTCATGTCATTATCCAGGTCAGGAAGGTTCTGCTTGCCCACACGAAGTTGTGACTTGTCTGCCAAGCCAAAGACATCAACAATGAGCTGTGGCACAGCATCACGTCCCACCCAGAGGAACTGTGTCTGGCCGTCGTCAATAAGGTAGAGACCGTATGGGACGACCCGCTCAGAAGACAAGTTCACTGGTGGGGGGAGAACAATCTCGCCCGTCTGCTCATCTGGCAGGCCAGCATTATCTGGCATGTCGTGCAGAGAGTACATCTTCGGGTAGATGTATTGCATGAGAAGGGGGAGGGGGAGCGTTGAGAGCAAGCAGAGAGCCGCAGAGCGCATATCAGTCGGAATTTGTGCAGATTTCCGAAGACCAAGCTACGTCATCACGTTAGTCAATGCCAAAGCGAGGGGATAGTAGGGGACAAAAAAGATTCCTACATTCTTGATCAGTGCGAGGAAAAGAACAGGGAGTCCTCTCAAGTTAGCAGGGAACTGTAGGCCTCCGCCGCTCACACTTCCACCAGCAAGCTCCTTTCGGTAGGTTGCCAGAAGCTCCACAGCCTTGGCCTGCAGGGCTTCTCGGGCAGGGTCCAAGCCGCTTCCGAGAGCCCGTTCGACAGCCTTGTGGCTAAAGTAAGTAGCGATCGCCTGCTGATCTGCCGATGCATAGACGTCTGCAAGGCTCTGGGTAGTAGGAAGCGCCAGAGTCAAGACCCGAATTCTCCTCTCGCCATTGCATGTAGTATGAAGTACAGCCGTCTGCATGCAAACAACAGGTTTTGCAACAGTCTCATCAATGGCAACCTCAACAACGTAGGCCTGGTCGCGGGGGAAAGCAGGGAAAGCGCAGAGGTCGGAACTGCGATTGAAAAAGTTACCGTAAAAAGTGCTCATGCGCAAACCGGTCGTAGCACGGACACGAAGGACGGCCTCCAGGCCGATCTCTGACGAGAGGTACTCCGAGAACTCTCGTGCGAACTTGATCGCATCCTCTCCCCGTGCAGCGTTCCATCCAGGATAGAAGTACGTCTGACCGCCAGTATATCTTGGCAGGTTGCTAAGAGACGCCACATCCTGGTACTGAGAAGAGAAGAGGAACATGTCTACAGAGACCTGGGCCTTCGAACACTCCACAGCAAAGCTCTTGTAGAAGCTGTTTGCGGTCTGTAAAAGACCGCTCTCCTTGCTAGTGCCTAAAACCTTCTTGTCCTCTCTCATGGTCAGGGCACCATGTCCAATGTTAGGAAGAGAGGAGCTAAGAACGGTCATCTTGCCTCCAACAGGAGCGATCAACTTGTAACCAGCACGCAGTGCCGATCCCATAGCACAGCCATTGTTCTGGGTGTTCTGGAACATCTCCTGCAATTTATCCAGGAACGTTTCAATGTTTTCACGGCATTCGCTCAGAGTTACTAGCAAATCGCCAGGGATAGGGAGGAACGGCTCGTCCAAATCGCTGACAACAAGCATCCTTGGGTCCGAGTTCTCTGAGCCATCGCGCGGGATGCTGAAATAGTGGAGGCTGGAGTCGACCGCTATGAAACCAAGTCGCGTCCGACGGTCTGCATTAGGAATGCGTTCGAGAGTTTCCTTGATGCACCGAGCACTCGTAGCCAAGAGACCGTTGGTGACAGACGCATAACTAACGTCGATCAAGAAAAGGTAGACGAGTGGCTGCGGGGGGCGCACCATGTACTCCTGCGGCGCAACGAACTCAACAACCGCATGGTTAAGGTCAGGTCGCAATGCCCTATCCGCCGGTCGTTGCAGCGTTGTGTCCCAGTCAAAGGCCTGGGGTACGTCGTTTGTCAGATTGCACATGTTGCAACGCCAGCGGTGCCCATGATCAAGGAATGTCACAAAGGGGTTAATGTAGGATCGGCATCGGCGACAACGAGAGATAACTTGGTCTGGGATCACTGGGACTGGGTCTTCTGCATCATGGAGCGCTCCGTATGGCTGAATAACAAGAGCGAAAGGCAGCTTGGACTTCTTCAGGAGAGAGTGGGTGGTGGGAACAGCGTTGAGTGTTGACCGGACATATTTAGGGGGGCAGTTTGCAGTAGGGGAGGGATAAACGCTAGTCTAAATGAGAGTCAGTAACTGGCAGCACCGATACTAATACTTCTCCAATTCCGGTACATACTCCTTGGGGTAAAACGATAGGAGGTGGAGGATAGTCAAGTTCCGCGACATTGAATGGTTGTGTGAGGAGGTCTGTTGGGTAAAGATGGTTAAGAACAGGTCGCGGGGCCTGGGCGGCCTGGGCAACGGGCTGCGGTGGCATCAGATGCGGATCGGTTACCCCCATCGCACCGAATTGTTGGGTCATCTGAGCGACTGCGGGCGCTGCAGGGGCAGCATATCCTTGAGCAGCCGCTTGCATCTGAGTAGGATCCGCCCCGTACACAGGTTGCTGATATCCCGCGGCTTGTGGCTGAGCTGGATATCCTCCGTAGGTACCACCAGCTGGCAGTTGACCTCCTAGGCCAGCATTGGCACCGGACCCAAACTCGAAGGCTTCTCCGGCATATGCTCGTTTCTTTCTACCTCCATGTTGAGCCGGAGTAGCGGCTAGCCCCGCAGCTTGCTGTGAAGGAGACTCATATTCGGCAGGTTGACCATACCCTTCCTGGGGAGGGTAACCCCCTTGTGGTGCGGCCATGAATGTTTATTTCGATATGCCGTAGAGGTAACTGATGAATTATTATCTCCGTGGACTCGTGTAGGGGTTAACCGGAGTATATGTTAGCGTCGCGCAATCGTCACAGGCTCACTATATTGGCGGTCAACACACTGCTCTTCAACAGGAGGGGAACGAATGGTCCAGGGAAATCTGCGTACTAACAACCAAAATTCGTCAACAGTCCAACCATATAAATTGAGAATATCACAAGGCCACACGATTACGCCGCACTCGAGTTCAGTCGACGTGTCCTTGAGAAGGTTGGGGTAGCTGTGGGAGCGGAATGGCAACGGCGTCGAACTGGCAATGGTGGTGTACGGTGGCCTTTGCGGCGGCTGCTCCCCGATCGGCCAATCAGAGCCCCGCAGGCTAACCGACCTCACTGCCTGAGGTTGACTGATGATATACCTCTCTGTTATAAAGAAGACTCTCTCTGGCGAAATCGAAAAGGTATATTATTGAGCTTCTAAGACTACTGTTTTCATGGAGTATACCGTTTAGATATACTCCCACTGCTCAACTAGTGAGAATAAAGGTATCAAGCAGGTCACAGAACTTCGCTCGCATTCGAGTTATGATCTCATACTTCAAGGGGTGTGAATGGCAATACATACTGTCAGGGTACAGATAAGATTGATGAATACTAGCCATTCACTCAAATTGGATAAGAGTGAGCACTTAGTTCTTATTCACTTTACTGGGTTGTTTCTCTGTATATCCTTGCCATGACTCGATCTGATCTATCTCAAATCAGCACAGACATAGGTGACGGATATATATACTGTGGTGCTTGCAAACGCCAATTACCACGCTAAGGCTATAGTTTGCCTATAATGCTTGATATTCTAGCCAACACGGAATGATTAGCTACTCGAATCTGTTCTTACAAATTCTGGTATACATACAAGAAAATAAATTTAATTAGTCTCTTCACCATAACCACTCCAAACGAAGCCCCATAGCGTGACGTGGTATGTCTGGGGGAGGTTTGGACAGAGGTTGCCGTGCCAACAGCGTTGACCGCTACCAATCGCACCAAAACCAAGCTAAGTATCCTTGTCACACGAGAGCCTCTTCTGTCTCTAACATCAGCTCATGCCATTGATCGGCTGTAGTGCTTTTTTTCTGTTTTGTTTTGCTATTTGTTTCATTGAATTAGTTTAACTGATTTTTGTTGTTTTGTTTTCTGGCATAGCAGTGCTAATGCAAAAAGGACTTGCATTGTATTTTTGCTAAGTTCAAAATTGCGAGACAGCTCCCTGACGCACAAGGTGGAGCTGTTCATCGTGCCTTTCACTCTTGTTTAGATTGCGTGCATCTGCCTCCTATGCAGCAGGGATAGTGCGACAGGAACTTTGCCAAGGGTGCGAAAGGACGGCAGACGTCTATTTTCGATACGATAGAAAGGCATTCGGATTGGAAGAGATCTCTCTCAATAATTTCATACGACGTACAAGATGAGTGTCCGGGTCGTTGCGCGTGTGAGGCCACTCTTGAAGTCCGAGCGGGAACTGGATATTATCCTCCGTACGGGATCTACAACTCAAGCCGCCCCGAAGAAGACCGAGAAACAGAGTTCCCAGGAAAAGAAGCTGGCGGCATTGCGGGATCGGGATACCATTGTGCGGATTCCAAACCCCAAAAATGAGAACGAGGAATACTCTTTTCAATTCAATGCTGTCTACGATGCGGATTCTACACAGCAGGAGCTCTTCGATGCCGAGGGTTGGTGCCATACTTCGTTGTGTCTGGGATGGTGACGGTATACTGATCAGAATGGACAGTTGCTCCTACGGTTAAGCACTTATTCAACGGTTTCGATGTCACCTTGTTCGCCTACGGAGTTACGGGTACCGGGAAAACACACACGATGCGGGGCGGTAAAAGCCTGGCTGACAGAGGTGTCATTCCCCGTCTTTTAAGCAGCATATATAGGCGCAGCCGGAAGCTTGAAAAGGATGGCGACGGCGAGTCGACGGTGAATGTTTCCCTGAGTTATTATGAGATATACAATGACAAGGTCTTCGACTTGTTTGAGCCCCCAGAGAAGAGAACGCTCGCAGGACTACCTTTGCGTGACAATGGAGGAAAGACTGTGGTTGTAGGCCTGACGGAGAGGCCATGTACAAGTCTGAAGGAGTTCGAGAGCCTCTATGATCAGGCTAACACCAATAGGTCTACATCTGCAACAAAGGTTAGCACACCTTCGAATCTTGCAGGCCTGAGCCACGTGACTGACTTCTTTCATAGTTAAACGCCCATTCGTCGCGGTCTCATGCTATTCTCTGCGTTAAAGTAGCAGTCAGGTCTGGTGGTCAGACTCGGATCAGCACAGCATCTGCCATTGACTTAGCTGGTTCAGAGGATAATCGTCGAACAGACAACGACAAAGAGCGCATGGTTGAGTCAGCGAGCATTAACAAGAGTCTTTTTGTTCTGGCACAGTGCGTGGAAGCCATAAGCAAGAAACACCATAGGATTCCGTACAGAGAGTCAAAGATGACAAGAATCCTTTCCTTAGGCCAGAACAATGGATTGACCGTGATGATTCTCAACCTCGCCCCCATCAAATCTTATCACTTGGACACCATAAGCTCGTTGAACTTTGCCAATCGTACAAAGAAGATTGAGGTTCGTGAGGTGGAGAACGAGCCGATTTTCAAAGGACCTCCGAGACCGGCATCGCGTCCTTCAGTGACTGCCCAGAGGCAACCTCTGCGTCCACTGACCGCTACTGCCAATGTCAACCTTACAGCACTTGCCAGCAAAGACAAGGATGCGTCGAAACCTGGGGAGAAGCCAGTCAAGGCGTTCCACGTCTATTCTGACAAACCGCGGTCTAGGGATTCCATCCAATTGAGAAAACCTGAGCTACCAAAGCGTCCTTCCCTGGATTCTAACCACCGCTCGTTAAAGCCCAGCCGCATCGCGCAGCCCCTTCAGCCACAAAAGCACTACGAAGATATATCAGCCGCCAAGATTGAAGAGATGGTTGAGAAGAAGGTAGAGGAGATTCTAGCTGTAAGAGCTGTCAGTGAAAAGTCAAGGCAAACGCAGGTCCGTGAGTTAAATGAACAAGTACAAAAGCGCTTGGAAATGCTAGAGCAGCGCATCGAAGGCACGGAAGATGCAAGGGCAGAAGGATTGTCATTCTTGCTTATGGCCAAGCAGCACCAGGCCCGTGGCGAGGATAGCTTCGCACTGAAAATGTATCAGCTCGCGCTTCCGTTCTTCCCAGACAACGAAAAGCTTGCAAGGAAGATCAGTAGTTTGAAGCAGCGGGTCCAAAGCAAGTCCTGTCCAGATGCAGACACAACTGGCAATCACACTCTCACAGCATCCAAGAGGGAATTTGGAAGCCTTCTTTCACTCAAGAAGCAGCCCGCGGGAACGAGCTTGAAGCGTCAAGCTCAAGATTCGGATGGCGAGTACAATCCCGAATATGGACTCGAGGAACCCAGCGACGACGATATCGAAGAACTTACACACCCGAGGCGCAAGAAGCGCACCAAAACCAGTTCTCCGTCAGATGAAGGGTCTAACGTCGACTGCTACGAGGCCCCCTCACCCCGGACAATCCACCTTCTATCGATAATCAACTCTCGCGACGTGAGCCAGATTAAGCTATTGAAAGGTGTCGGCGTTAAAAAAGCTGAAGCTATAGTCGACTGTCTCTGCGAAATGGACCAGCACTTTGAGGAGCAGGACAGCGATAGACAAGTCCAGATTAACAGTCTTGCCGAACTGAGCACACTAAGAGGAGTCGGCGTCAAGACTGTTGAAAACATGAGAAATGGAGTCTTGGCATAAAGGGCATAACATATAGAAGTTGATATCTGCATCTGTGGAGTGTTGGGATATCACAATCATGTTGAACAAGCTGCATATCGCATATTGGATCATCTTGCATTGCAATTTTTGCACCATTGCAGGTGCAACTCACATGTACTATGCATATATTTGTTTTATCATTCATCCAGCGAAGGTGTTATGGTGTTGGTTTATTGAGATGTTGTCTGATGTTGTACTTTGCATTTACTTGGATATACTCCCAGCATGTCTTGCCTTATTAGAATAAATACCATTCATTATCAACATTTTCTGCATCATAGAATCACGAACCCGTAAACATTAGATTACCTTAAGTGAGATATATATACCAAACCCCAAACAATCAATACCCACCACTAAATCCTTAGACTTTATGCAAAAGTCCCCAACCGCTAATTCTTCCCCTAGCCCAGAGATAAAACAAAACTCCACCGAACATTACCACACCACAGAAAATCTCCAACTTCAAGTACGACCCATGTAAGGGATCAGGCAATAGAGCACCCGCGATTGGCATGCCCGTCAAAGCCGCAAAAGATACAATACAGAAATAAGTCCCACTACGAACGCCAATCTCGCGCATGTCCGAGATCTGAGCGACCAGCGCTGGCGCCAGGGAGACGGCAGCACCTGAGCTGAAACCGTACAGAGAAGTAAACACGATGGCAGGGGCGTTGCTTCGCGACGGAAGCCAAAGCGCGAGAACGATAATGACTGAGAACAGGGATGTTAGGATCATTAGGTTGAACCTGCCGAAAAGATCCGCCAGATAGGGCGGGACAAGACGGCCGAGGATACTGTACAGTTAGTCCATTAGCGTGTTGTTATGCGATATCGAGATGGGATATACGGACCTGGCTGCGTTCAGAATCGGGATCAAGTACGATGCCAGATAGGCCGACATGCCGTACCGTTCGGCTTGAGTTGGGATGAACGCGAACGGCAGGAACAAGCCCCAGTATACAAAAAAGGTCCCGGCTGTGGTAAGCAGGAAAGGCAGCTCGCGGAGGGGACGAACAAAATCCAGTGGTCGAAATGGTTTCCGGTGGTGTTGTAGTCTCGATTGGACCGTGACGTTGGCAATAATCAGCAGCCCTAGACCGAGGAATCCACAGATCCGCATTGTCCAGCCAAATCCTACTATGGGGATGAGTCGAGCCACCATGATAGGGAATATTACACCTCCGACGCTGGAGCCGCAGGTTGTCACACCTAGGGCCAGGGCACGACGCCGCCCAAACCAGGTACTCACGGAGGTGAGGCAGCCGTGGAAGATGGCACTTGTCCCGATGGGGCTGCAGACACCTTGTGCGAGAATGAATTGGTAGTATTCTTTTGAGATGGATACCATCATCAGCCCGAAGACGTGGAAGAATGTGCCAGCAATCAGAATCCAGCGGGGACCGAAGTTGTCGAAGAACACTCCTACGATGGGACCCTGTTTGGAGATACAACCGTCAATGTCTCGCTTTGACTGACACCGGACCTTGGTGTACACACCCCAAAAAACATCATGAAGATTTCTAACGAAGTGATCCACGTTACTGTACTGGTTGGCAAGTCCTGTAGCTGATGGGTTTTATAGTAGTCCAAGAAGACACCGATACCTGCAAACCCTGCCGTCAGCATAATCCAAATCGAGCTCAAGGCCCAAACAACATCTAAGGGTACAAAGCCCACAATATACTCACAATTTATCCACCCGAAACTGACGAACAACCCACAGAAAGCACCGAGCACTACCATCCATGCCTTGAAACCACCATCTGGGGGTGCGCCTGGGGCTTGAGCTGGCGCAGACTGGGTAGTCGCGCCTGATTTCTCCGGATCCCCGGTTTTACTAGACTCATCTTCTAGAATTGTTTGTGGACCCGGCTGGATATCCTCATGTGGATGTTCTGGCTTCGCGTCTTCCGGGTTTAGATGGGCACTCGAAGAAAAGACAGGCGTTGCTAATGGAGATGGTTCTATACTTTCGGCAATTATGCTTTCGGCGGAGTGTTGTACCTCTGGAGTTGACGACATGCTGGTCAAATATCTAGTCTAGCGGCTTGGAACAGGAGTGAGCGACGGGGTGCTGTGAGGGCACAGTAATGATCAAAATTAAGCTATGCGACTCATAGGACTCTAACAAATGTGTATGATACCGACCAACTGAAGGAAGAGAGTACAATCTATAGATTTGGATTCTGCCTGAAGGATGTTAGTCAATTGAGGACGGATTGACAGAGCAGAATTCAAAAAAAGAATCCGGTTGTGCTTGGATCGAACGGTCTATGGATAAATTGGATTCTCGAGCAGAATTCTTTCGGCCGGGGAGAGTCAATTACATGTTTGTTTTCCATAACATTGGATTCACATTCCTCATGTCTTAATATTTCACTGTAACCGTGGCACTCAAAGACTTGGCTCTGAATCAAGGGATGGATTTTCAAGTCTTGACGTTATTGGGTTACATTGTCCAGCGCAAGGATAGGGCTGGAACAGCTGATCCCGGAGAAAGCAGCCAAACGAAGGGAGCCGAAGCCCCTGCCGCTTTGCTTATTTAACGCTGCCCTACCCGTTGACATATGTGACTATCTCCTGGCTATTGCAGAAACAAGCCCATGGTTTTGCTCCCAGAAGATTGGTAAGGCCAGAGGGTTGATTGCGTGGAGAAACATAGCACGATGATGGTTTCCATGCCCAGTGAAGGGGGGAAAAAAGCTCATGTTGAAACGCGGAGTATGCTATCTATAATACATTCAGCCTGCAATAAGAAATTTTAAAATGAGAGCGCCTTATCATGCACCAACTGGAACAGTTGATGGCAAACGTTACACTTTAGTTTTGTTGGCCAGGTTTCTCAAAGATAACTTTGCCTTCCTTCGTAAGAGTGGCAATGCTTTGAGCTGACCCTCTGACCTCCTGTTCTAATTGTTCAATGGTCCTTGTGGGCGCGGGGGCAGCATTGACGGCCTCCTCGTCGGCAGACGATTTCTTTTCCTCCGCGGGCTTTGCAGGTCCAATGGTTAGTCCTCTCGGGGCGCTTGCAATTTCATTGACTTCGTGCGAGGTGAGGACTTCGTTGATACGGGGACCACGCGTTTGTAAGAGAATAGTCGAGGGGCCATCGAATTGCAGGAAGAGCTGGTAGCAAGCAACATTAGCACCGCTTCACTATTCAAATCAATATGAAAGCCATACCCTGTCTCCCCAAATGGTCATCCGAGACCAAGTACGGATTTTATGGAAGATGTTCATCGCGGTTTTCCATGTATCGGAACCCGACATATCCCGAATGAACTTTGAATCCTGGATGAAGCTAGGCAAGCCCTTAAGACCTGGGACCTGGAATTTCAAGGTTGTGGATTTGAAGCGGTAAGGACGAGGGGGGTTGTTTGTCATTGTGTAAGCAACGACATTGCTTGATTGTGTTAGCATGGCTTCGACGTAGTGGCATCAATGAGTATATGCGACCATACCTTGGGTGGACGACGTATTGCTCTCCGGCCTTTACCTCGACCTGGTATAACTGACCCGTACCAACTAACGCTAGCAATCCTCTGCCAGTCACTTCGGAGCTACCCCAGTGAGACACGCTCTGCGCAAGTCAGCTTGGCTTTTCAATTGACGACATCCCTATTGGATTAACAAACCAGGCTTGTGTTGATTGTCGGTTTGATAGAAAGAGAACGGCCCGTCCAGGCAAGCAACGCACGTCTCTGCGCCACCATCCAATCCACGGAACCATCCAGGTGTACAACAGCGAAGGACGTGGTAGGCGACCGAACAGAAACTAGGGCAGTTACCGGGCTAGCCGACGAGACCTACCCAGGTGTTAGTTTCACCTTCCTATTGCTGATGTGGAAAGGGCCAAGCGAACCTTCTGGTAGAGAAATGGCACACCGACAACTGCTCTCCGGAATGGTTCGAGCACGCTCAACGTAGAAACCACCTGATAAGGTACCAGTAACCGTCAATAGACCTATCGTAGAATATCGAATCGCAAAACGTGGAACTATCCCATACATTATCGGCCTTCCCACTCAGTCCCACCAATGTTCCTCGTCGGGTGAAGAGATTCTGCGAAGCGGATAGGGAGACGGACAATAACGAGTATGGAGCGCCGATAACGTCGAATCGCGCATCTGCATGCGTTAAACTATCAGCAGGAGTCCTTGGTTCAAATCGCCGGACAAGCACCTCTTGTACCGTCCCTGGAATTAGAGAAGTAAAATTACCTACCGGCAGACTCAGCTGAGTTAGGAGTGCCGACCACAGGCAGACTGTTTCCGTTGGCCGAAGATGGCTGTTCCGCAGCCGCGGCGCGAATCTGAAGGCATCTTGTCTGCCCTGCGCGATACAGTGATGGCCCTTGTCGCGCCCGCGGAGGGAGGACTCGGGTCCAGGACACAGCCCGTACACCTCGCCTCAAAGGTTGACTCATTGTCATGCCTGAGGAATGAGGAAATGGACCGGAGGAAGTGTAGGAGGAGGGGGAAAGGATTGAGATTGTATGTCTTTTGCCCGCAGGTTCAAGTTCTCCGCAACGGTACCAAAGACTGTATCGTAAATTCTTTGGTTCCTGATCGGGCAAAGCGTTTGGGTGGTTGGCCTTGGCGCCTGTGACGATAAAGGATAGCGGTAAGATTCAATTGCAGAAGTACGGATACAATGGAGGGTCGGGCAGACTGCTAGGTAGTTTACGGCCCGGGACCAGTAAATAAAATTCAGAAGAGCAACCACTCACTGGCCTTACGTCACAACGCAGTTCCCACTTCAGGCTAAGGTTAAGGCATCATTTATGGCTGCCAACACATCTGTTTTTTCTACTGTGTACTGCGACTAAAATCCCCACATTGATGTCTTGACTGCTGCTGCAGCTCACAGGGGACTAGCTATCGTGCACGTTAACCCACAACTTCCTTGTTTCCCCTTTTTTATTGTTTGATCATTCTGTGAAACTTTCAACAAGTTTAACTCATCTCCGAGACCCATGTCCCCGAATAGCTACAACTAGCTAAGAGCTCTCGACCCACCGCCCGGCTAGACATCGCTTTTCCACCATGAGCATCATCATCGTCGAGTAATCTACACCTGCGCGTGACGTAACTTTCTGCGCTGGATGCTTTTCTGAGCGATGGATTCGTCCATTCAGCGTTTGCTGAACGATAAGCTCTATGATCGGAGGAAACAGGGAGCCTTGGAGTAAGAGCAATGAAAGCTGTCAAAGCGCCTATGCAACGCAATACGTGCTGACTGAAGCCATAAAACAGGTTAGAGAAAGTTGTTCGAGATGCCGTTTTCAAAGGAGCACATGAAAATATCCAAAAAATTGTCGAGCAGCTATGCCATGACTACGCCTACGCAGTACATCAACCTCATGCGAGAAATGGCGGCTTGATCGGGTTGGCCGCAGCCTCCATCGCGCTTGGATCGGTGAGCATGCCGAAGATGCAGCATCTTTACTGTCGTTACTGAGAATAGGGTACTAGGAAGGTGTTGCGCCATACCTAAAAGAAATTGTAAAACCAGTGCTAGCTTGCTTCACCGACCAAGATGCGCGAGTCAGGTACTACGCTTGTGAGAGCATGTATAACATTGCCAAAGTTGCTAAGGGGGAGATTTTGTTGTTCTTTAATGAAATTTTCGATGCGTTGAGTAAAGTAAGTGAGCTAAGTATCATTAGTTCACCGCTGTCCTCGCTCCGGCCTTATTGCCTGTTCCCAACTGACATATTCCTAGTTGGCGTCCGATTCGGAGCTTTCAGTCAAAAACGGCGCAGAACTCCTTGATAGACTTGTTAAAGACATCGTGTCTGAATCCGCCGCATCTTATGTCTCGGTCTTGCAGCTTTCCGAGAAGCAAGAGACAGACCCGGAAGCTTTGGAAGACCCTGATCTTCCAACGGCATTTTCTCTTCCCATGTTTATACCGTTACTCAAAGATCGAATTGATGTTATCAGCCCATTCACTCGGATGTTCCTGGTATCATGGTTAACTTTGTTGGACACGATACCTGATCTTGAGCTTGTCTCATACTTGCCAGAATTTCTGGGGGGTCTGGTCAAATTTCTCGGTGACCCTAATAGAGACGTGAACGTTGCCACCCAAAACCTGCTAGATAGGTTCCTGTCAGAAATCAAGAGAATCGCTCGTCTCAAGAAAGGCATTGAAGAGAGTCGCAAGGGACAAGGAAGCGAGAATAGACAATCAACTACGAGTGACAGTATTAGCACAACTACTGATCAGACCGCTGCCGCCGAAACCGAGACTGAAACCGAAGATGGTACCAATGATGTTGCTATAGAAGATTCTGAGGTGGGCTCTACAATCGAGGAAGACGGCTTGCATGCGGACGGAGATTGGATTCCAGGACAAGATGTCCAAATAGATTACCCCATGATACTAGACATCTTGGTGGGCTTCGTTGACACATCTTATGGTAAGAAATTCCGAGCATGATCCCACTTAACGGACCTAGACTTACCGTCAGTAGAGGAAGAGATGCAGTTGACAGCGCTGCGATGGATCGATAGTTTCTTCGAAATAAGCCCCGAAGACATACTTCCATTCGTTCCACGTCTTCTGACCCAAGTACTTCCAGCTATGTCCAGTGGCTCAGACCATGTGCGGCAGGCCGCAAACCGAGTCAATACATCATTGCTAGAGTATATTGTGTCTCTATCTGAAGACACGTTATCGGATGAGACACGACAGTCATCATCTTCGAGACTAACATCTACACCTAACAAAGAGACTGAAAGGAGAGACTCTGCGCCAAACGCCAAACCCTCTGATGTATCATCCACCGCCTCTAGGAAGCAATCGGTGCAAGAGTCTACGCAAGAACCGACGCCTCGGAGCAGTGTCACGTCCACACCAGTGCCGCCTGCCGATCTTGATTATGCCGCGGCTGTCAACTCGCTTACACTGCAGTTCTTGAACGAGAATGAAGCTACAAGAGTAGCTGCCCTATCTTGGTTGATAATGCTACATCGGAAGGCTCCTAAAAAGGTGGTGGCATTCAACGATGGAACATTTCCTGCTCTGCTGAAAACACTGTCCGATCCAGCGGAGGCAGTAGTGACGAAGGATCTCCAGCTCTTATCCCAGATATCGCGGAATAGCGAAGATAGCTATTTCAAGTCGTTCATGGTGAACCTCCTTCAACTTTTCTCCACCGATAGGCATTTACTAGAGGTCCGCGGAAACCTCATTATCCGCCAGCTTTGTATGAATTTAAGCCCGGAGCGCATTTACAGAACTCTAGCCGACTGTCTTGAAAAGGAGGAGGTCAGTTTGCCTTGCACAAAGAGCCAATAGACATGCTAAATCCTCTTTGCGATATTAGGACATTGAATTCGCCAGTATTATGGTACAGAATCTTAACAATAACCTGATTACGGCGCCCGAGCTCTCCGGGCTGCGAAAACGACTACGAAACCTGGACACCAGAGTAACAGACCCGCTTCAGCCCACGCTTGGATGTTGTAACTAACAATATGCATAGGAGGGCCAGATGTTCTTTGTAGCGTTATTTAGGTCTTGGTGTCACAACTCTGTCTCCACGTTTTCACTGTGTCTGCTTGCACAAGCATATGAGCAAGCCTACAACCTTCTTCAAGTTTTGTCAGTATGGGCATATCTATACTTGCTGAAATGTCCTAACCAAATTTTCCAGTGCCGAGCTCGAAATGACTGTCAATAATTTGATCCAAATCGATAAGCTGGTCCAGCTTTTGGAGTCACCTGTCTTCACCTGTAAGTTGTTGATTTTTGGCCCTTCTGGTTGCTTTCGGTATACCTTATTGATGAGCGCTCATTTGTTGGTAGATCTCCGACTTCAACTGCTGGAACCAGAAAGTTATCCATACCTCTACAAATGTCTCTATGGTGTCCTCATGCTCCTTCCGCAGAGCTCTGCCTTCGCGGCTTTAAAGAATCGTTTAAATAGCGTTAGCAACATTGGCCTTCTCCATACACCTCGACTGTAAGCACACATGAAACCCACCACAAGAATGAAAGCCAGTCTCAATTACTCCCATACTGACAGAAACCATTCTCACAGTTCCGCGATGGTCTCAGCCTCCGGCTCAAGCGCCTACGATCGCTCGACAGGCAGCCGCCTCAAACGCGAAGAGAACACCATCCGCTGGGTCGAACTCCTGGATAAATTCAAAACCGTCCAGGAAAAGGCTCGCCGAGCCCTCCGTGCAAGGGAACGTCCCTTCGACGACGGCGTCCCCGGCTTCCAGGGTCATTCGTTAGCTGCCGCCCTCTCTGCTGCAGACCAAGCGCGGAACAAGGAACGGGCCAACCTCCCCGATACACCGCGAACAGGCCTAGGTCTTGGAGCCGGTGCCGAGGGACGGCGGAGTCCTGCTGATATGGGAAACCAAAAAGGTGGTTCTATCCTAGGTGCTGCGCATAGACATAAAACCAGTCTTCCTAATTTGGGACGACTGGGTATAGGGAGTAGGAAGTCGAAACGGTAATCGGGGTCGCTCTGTTGGAAGGTTGATGCTGTTTGTGACAATATGTGCTTGTTTCTGATGTAGCTACACGGAGGTTGTCTCGTCGGTCGCCGTGTATAGTGCTTGTTTTACGGTGTTCCTCAAGAAGAGTTTGCGGCTACTTGTCTGAGGTATCACACACGTCCGTTATCTAAACCTAGCGCCTTTTCACCTCTACCTCTAGACATATCACTTAGTGGTCATTGCATCTTTTTTCTCGAATTCTCAAAGAAGTGCGTATAGAATGTATGTACAGTTGAAGGGTCAAGTATTTGAAGAGAAGGGAAGCTCAGACAAGCTAAGAATCAAGTCGCTCAAGTCGAGAGAAAGTATGGACGAATCCAAGAAAAAAAAATCTACCATAGCGTAGTTCCTTTTGCTATACCAAAAAAGAATCTCAACGCTAGGTAAGTTGGAGTCGAAGGAGAAGGTAAAAAAAAATCGAACCAGATCGTACAAGGCAACACAGCGTTAACTAGAACACCCAAAGAGACTCCGGTGATACCAAAAGGAAATGCCAAAGTAGATATGACGTCAGTCAGACTGAGAAATGGACGTGCATGCCTGTCCTGCGGGGTACTGTACAGGTTTCTGCGTGGTCAAGCATGCAAGGCTAATCGGATCGTGCCGAAGGGAAATCAGGGGTGTGCTGCTTGTGTCTCAGATCGAAGGAGGTCGGTCCAGTTCGCCCCCTCAGATGAAGAAAGCATGAACTTTTATCTTTCGTTCATTTCTCAGCCATGAATGGAATAGCGGGACATATAACGGTCGGAAGTGTCGTCACATCCTCCACACGAAACGTAATGCCGAGGATATATAATCAAAAGCAAGCGCAGAAAAACGTCAAATTAAATGGTTTCGTCACCGGCAACGCGAATCGCTGGATGATGATACACCCCACGAAGGGGATTTCCAGTAACTGCCGGTGGAGTGCTTGGAGACTGACCCTGGCGAGTTCGATCCGTTGCTATATACATATTCACCGTCAACGTACTGGACACCTGAGAATGTGCTCCGGTGTTTGCGACGAGCATAGCGCTGCTCTAGGCGGTAAAGTTCGATTTCTAAGCAGAATAGCGGTTAGCAACGGGGCTATAATTCGAACAGTTCTCCCTGAGTCGAGGTCGAGATGGCGTAGGAGACATACTTGCTTGTAACTTCTCGAAGAAACCCATTGTGTATGTGAATTTTGCGAAGTAAAACTTTTGATCCGTTGGTATTCCACAAGTACTTGATCAGACAGTCAATTGGTTTGATTTCTGAGCGGGTATGCAGAGATGGTTCGACAGGAGATCAAGAAATTGCAACGTCCGCAAACGGAAGCAGTCGCTGGTTTCGGGAGGGAAAGGTGGTAATGGTAACAGATAATGATTGTAAATAAGAGCTTGTTGCTTCGCTAGAAATGCCGACAATACGGGTTAGCGAAGAAAAACAATGATGGCGACGTTCAGAACGGCGCAGGGAAGGAAACCGAACCAAGACGACAATGGCTTACCTGGTGGAGCTATTGTATAGTTCTATAACCGACAAAAAAAGGAGTGATAGGAGGTATCAAATACCAGGATTTTGAGGCGGAGACCAATTGCCGGATGGAGAAGAGAGAAAAAGAAAAGAAAAGAGGAGAGGAGAGGAGAAAGAAGACGTTGGGAGACGAAAGAGTGGAATCAATAATTCTGGGGGAGCAAGCCGTGGGCGGGAGAGGGCAAACACGCCAATTTGATATGGCCACCAATAGTAATTCAATAATGAGTGGTTCAGACAAGATAGTAGCTGGTGTACTAGGTAGCGTCAAAAGGACTGATGGCTGAAGGAATGTGGGTGGTTCGACGAATGACGTTGATGCGTCAAAAGCCACTAGAAACTATGCGTGCGACCGCAAGACAAAGAAAGACAGACTGACAGAAAGAAAACTCAGATGAGTAAGAACGATAAGGAGGGGGGTGAAAACAGGACAAAAAGATCAAAAAGAGAAAGAAAAGAAGATGGGTCACAGAAGAAGCGAAGAATTGACGGGAGTCTAGAAAGACCCGGCCGCACGTCGCCTGGTGGACGGTCACTGAACCGAGAGGGGCAAAAAAACGTGGGATGGGGTTCGCCACTAGCCCACGTCCGGTCTAGCCAGGGGTCGGCCCCGTCCTCGGGCCGCCAGTTGGCCCGAATCACTACCCAGAATCTGATATTAATCCCGCACTAACCGGCCGACGATGGCCCATTGTGTTCACTAGACTCACTAGACTCACTAGACTCACTCTAATACCCCTGAACGCGTTCTAGTTCCTTGGTATTTTTTATCCGAGACAGCGTTCGAGTAAGTATCAGTAGTACGTAGTCCAAGCTGGCGCAATCATGGCATATACCCTCCTCCCGGGTTCGTTCGGACCATCCATGCACTTGGGAGTACTACATATGGACTATGGAGACCTTGGGACGAAGTACGGCACTAGTATGATGTACCATCGATTTGGGTGCCGCCTCGCTGATTCGGCGCTGTTCTTTGATCTCCACTTAGAACTGGACCTAATCTCGCCCTTTATTTTCCCAAGAACGGTACCGAATGCAGCGTTGATTATGCTAGTGTATTTCGTCACCAAGGACAAGGAAAGTTGTAGTACTGTATAGGACATCCGAAAGTATAGTATATATGATCTGGGGACAGTTTCAAGGTGTCTGCGAGAAATAAGAAATAAATACTCTATAGCCGTAGAACCTTTCTCGAGTCAAAAATATATTTATTGCTAAATTGAACCAGCAACTACCCAACTTCCAAAGTCTAGTTTCCTAACCGGCTCACGTTTGTCTAGATTCTGGCAGCACCTCTTTCCCAGCACCTTCCTCAAACTCGGTGTTACCTTCGGTCTCTGCGTTTTCAGCGAAAGACATTTCTTGGGCTATATAGTGCAGGTGATATGTTAGCTTTCGGTTCAGTGGACCCAACAGCGGCGAATGACGGGCTCCTTACCGTTCCACAGCTCAGCATAGATGCCATCAAGCTCAAGAAGTTCACGATGCGACCCCGTTTCTGCCACGCGGCCCTCCTTCAGCACAAGGATTTGGTCGCTGTCACAGATTGTTCGCAATCGATGAGCCACGAAAACGCTTGTCCGCGCCTTGTCTTTGAGAATGCTGTTAATGTTCTGTAACAAAGCCTGTTCCGTGTATGTGTCGAGAGCCGATGTCTGTATTGGTCAGTTAATTACTCGTCAGGCGTAGGATAATCCGAGACAAGGACTTACAGCTTCATCGAAAAACAGGAGTTCTGGGTCCTTTAATATCAGTCGTGAGATAGCTAATCGTTGCTTTTCACCACCGGATATCATCATTCCTCGTTCACCAACAGCGGTCTTATATCCTTCCGGTAGCTTCTCAATCAGTTCATGGATGTGCGCCCTTTGTGCAGCCTTGTGCACTTCTTCATCAGTAGCGTCAATTCTTCCATAGCGAATGTTGTGTGCGATAGAGTCATTGAAGAGAGGGGTATCCTGAGGCACAACACCAATGGCTTTCCGTAAGCTTTCGAGAGTCACATCCCGCACGTCCTGACCATCAACAAGAATACGGCCTTCTTGGACATCATAGTACCGGAACAATAATCTCAGGATGGTCGACTTGCCGCAGCCACTGGGTCCCACGATAGCAAACTTCTGGCCAGCAGGAATCGTAAAGCTTGCATTCTTGAGAATAGGGCGGTCCGGGTGATAACCAAAAGTCACATTTTCGAATTTGATCTCCCCTCCGCGGTGGAGCTGTAGAGGCTTCGCATTTGGCTTTTCCGTGATATTCACATTGACCTTCTGTAGGTTGAATAGGGTCTCCATGTCCAGCAAAGATTGACGTAATTCACGGTACACAGAGCCAAGGAAGTTCAGAGGAACTGACAGCTGGAAGACAAGCTGATTGACCATAACCAGGTCTCCAACTGTCAACGAACCACTGGCGACTCCATTTGCTGCGAGGTACATCATGCCGGCAAGCGCACTTGAAAAAATCATGTTTTGACCGGAATTGAGAAAGGCCAACGACGTCGTCACCTTGATAGAAGCGTCTTCATAAGCTTTAAGCGCCTTATCATACCGTGCGACCTCAAATTTCTCATTGTTAAAGTACTTGACAGCCTCGTAGTTGATCAGAGAATCCACGGCTACTGTGGCACCGCGGTTATCCGCAGCATTGGCCTGTTTCCGGAACTTGGTTCTCCATGCAGTAGTCGTTATTGTGAAAGCAGTGTATGCGACCATGGTCGCAGCTGTGATCGCAGCAAATTGCGCGCCATACTGATATGTCTGTCAATACGTCAGCAAAAGCCCAGGTTCATGTATGTACGTCTGTGCTGTACCAATATTCCGCACACAAGAGATATCTCCAGAGCCGTAGGAACCACGTGGAAGACCATCGATGTCAGTAGGAAGCTGATGCCTTTCGTTCCGCGATCAATTGCCCGAGTCAAGCCACCGGTTTGCCTGCTAAGGTGGAAATTAAGGTCTAGCCGTAATAGATGCTCGAATACATTCCGTGCGACTCTGCGGATTGCCTTCTGCGCAACGCTAGCGAATACGGCGTTTCGAAGTTCTTGGAAAAGTGTAGCGCCAATCCTCGTAACACCATCTGGAAGACTATCATTAGACAGGGGTACTGCGTTGTATGTGTATGCCTCGCTTACAAGCTATGATCATAGAACCTGCAACTGTATAGGCCGTCCCGCCAATTGCGGCAAAGTCCACATTCATCGAGTCGACAATGCTCTTGAAGTAGAATGGCACATTCACGTTGAGGAGCTAGACCCCACAAGGTAAGCTTCAATTGCAAAAACTAGGATGATTGCAGAATTATCACCAACCTTTGCTCCAACGAGTAACGATAGGGCGGTTCCGACACGCAGCTTCGTTCCCCAATCATCCTATGATATCACAATTAGTATCAAACATTCTCCAACCTACGACGGCTGCTCCAGGCCTTACCTTAGGCCAAAGATATTTGGCCATTTCTTTCATTATCGCCCAATCTGCCTTCCTTTGCTCCTTCTTTCCCACCGTAGTTTCGCTCAGAAGATCTCTCTTCGGCGTGCCCGCAGCATTCTGGGCATTCTTCGTTTTCTCGTCCGGCGATTGAGGTGCGAGCGGAGAACCGGAATTGGGTGTCTTCGGTGGTGAGGAAGGGTCTGAAGTGGTATTTTTGTTCAATAGACCTTTGCTCGTCGAGAATACTCTGAACTGGATGCTATGCCGTGTAGCTATCCGCGGCGTGGAGCGCGGGACTGCGGGACCGCGATGTGCGAAGTGCCCGGGGACACGGAGGCATGGCGGTCGGGCTGCCCGGGGCAGCATGGTGGTGAAATAAATATCGCAGCGACCGAGATAATGCGAGAACTGTGCTCTTATTCAAGGAACCATCATAATCGTGGTGGCGCTGCTGCGGAACTGCTGTCTCGTGAGGACCGCCGGGTTCGGAGGAAAAAGGTTCGGAAGTAAATGATGACTTCACAGCTCGATATTCCGAGGAATTGCTTTCCAATTTTGCGACAGACGGAGAACTGGTGGAAAGTAAATATTTCAACCAGCAGATGAAGAGGACTATATCATTCACGAAGGGTATTTAGCGAAGCAAGGCAAGCGACGAGGGTTATGAGATAGCACCAGTTGCGGCGGATCTGTCGCAATCGCCGAATCCATACCCTCAAGTTAGTTGAATTCAATCTTACCGACCGGCGGTAATTACAGTACTTGGCATACATGAACCACACAAGTTTGCGGCATTTTCTGCGTAAACGTGCGTTCCATTGCGGCATTTATGTATATGACTTCCTGGCCTAATCAATTCCGTGCTAATTCGCACCTCAAATGCTTCGCTCGGTATCGCTTCGGGCTTCATTAATTCATTTAATGCTGTCGAATCCTTCCTAGTGATTGAAGTGAATCAGAAGAGCCATCAAAATGCTACTTTAACAGTAACTCTGGGTGAGGAAGTGGTAAAGCCTCGGAGAATCGAGACAGTCGTGCCTTTGGTTCGATAAAGCCAAAGACTGGCTTTAGAGCCGACAACTCTGTTCTATGTAAGCGAAGTATATGTTGAGTGTACAAATCTCAGAAGAGGATGACGTATACTAGACTTTGAATTGCAGGAATGCGATCGCTATACATTAGATGATTAAACTAGCTCCAATATATATCTCTCGTCAACTCCCCGACCTCACTTCTTCACCCAGATGTTATCATCCCCATAACCATTGGCAATCCACGACTGAGGGAAGTATGACTCCAGAACTGTTTGCACGTAAGACTTGTCATCCACGCACATATCTCCGCCACTCGGTCCGATATGTGGGCAATGCTCCTTTGGTCGGTACTGCACCATATGCTTGTGCACCTCCCGGCAAAGCAAGGTATCTCTTCCCAGCTCATATGGGTCCCCGAACCTCTTCTCCTTCGTCAAGACATCCATACACTGTTGGCGATTCTCATACTGCTTATTAGTATCCTTGCAGTAATTCTCGCTAGTCTCGCAGATAGCCTCCGCCAGCACCTTAGTCAAATTTTCCTTAATCACAACTGGATCCGTCGTATTGAACTTCACCGCTGCAGCTTCAAACAGTGTTTTAACGAACCAGTCGAACCAACGGAAGGTAGCATCGTATTGGGTGACCTTGCCATCTTCATTGAAGGCCATCCACGAGTCAACGGTCAGCGGGAGAAGAACACCGAACGAAGTCGAATTGAAAGTGATCACTGTCGTAGCCGAGGCCATGTTCTGGTTGGCGACGAACTGTGTGATAGTGTAGTTGATTGCGACACCAGTTAAACTGAGGGAGTCTGGCTGTGAAAAAAGGCCGAAAATGTATTCGTTGTTCAGTTCTCGGCCGGGAAAGGTACGTGTAATATCGACACGTCCTTGGACCTTGTTCCTGTTAGTATCTATGCATAGGTAGGGGGCTTTAGGCTGGGGTTTTGAGCGTACATCTTCGGTGAATACGGAGTCATCTGTTGCGTTGATTTGCTTCAGATTAGCTGGGTAAAGGAAGTTCGTCCAGATATTGTTCTCCAAGGACCAGAGTTTATCAAAACCGAGATCAGGAGGGTCTGCTGCTGCAATGATAGCAGGGAGACATGAAACTGCTGCAAAGACAAGAGAGCGCATGGTGAAGATATCAATGTCTTTCTGTCTCTAGGGATCGATGTATATCCCGGACACGAAAGGCTTTTATATACGCCACTTCCCTACAGACATGATCTTCAAGTCAGACAAGAGGGTCAGACTAGTGATTTTGAATCACAAATTGGGCTTGGAATGCTATACTATGCATCAGCTGGCCTGCAACTTGGCAATCTGACATGGAGAGTTTGTGGCGCATCTATAATACGGACCAGAGCTAGGAATGCATTTGTCTCCTAGCATCTATCCCTTGCTTTAACCCTTCGCGAGAGGATGTATTGCCCCACACAAGCTCGTACTTTTTATTTGTCGAAAAATGTCTCTAAGAAGTCACTAGCTTGTATTCTGTCCCATAATGTTTTCTGTTTGGTTGTTGAGTTGTGGGATTCCATCGTCAACAAGGTTATTATGGCGGGAGCCTATGAGCACCAGTGACCTGGTCAGTCTATAAGAAGAACGAAAACTAAGCGATCCACTATCTGGGTGATCAAGTGGGTGCTTTGCTTAGGATATGCAGCTTCTCCAAACTTCACACGCAGAGGTCACTATAGTCTAAGCCCTCCTGTTGCTTATGGAAACATGTGGTTTGTTCAAGCTTGGTAGGTGGTAGCCCAAGCTGGAAAGGGATAACAAAAATATGTGAAGATCTACTCCTTGGTACCAGCATAAGACATGTCTGAGGCGTATGCTGCCTGCATAAGTAGATGAGGAACTACGCAGCATGGATCCAATATGTGCAGCATGAAATCTACCTATACCTGTATGTGCGTAGGCAACTTCAAGGAGGATATCGATATAGTCATCTATATCTTGTATTTCACTTTCTGCAGCAGGACAATCAGCAAAACTAAAATGTAAAAAAGGTTCCAGAGTTCACTCGAATGAATATTTGGAAAAAAAAAACAAAAAAAAAAAAAAAAAAAAAAAAAAAAAAAAAAAAAAAAAAAAAAAAAAAAAAAAAAAAAAAAAGAAGAAGAAATTAATGAGATGGAATGATAGGTTCACCTCTATTCTGTGTCAGGCGTTGGCCCGTGTTTATTGAAATAGTCATGAATATGGATGCATAGATTTGGTCCGTTCCACCTATGAATATGCCTCGTATTTCGGAAGTAAGCAAACAAGCCAGCTCAGCAATAATTCCTACGTAAGATTTCGCCAATCACAATCTCGTTGAGCGAGCTGTGGTTCAAATGATCAGCCGCGGAAGCCCGGATTGCTACTCACTGGGTTCACGACGACCAACGTCGCTAAGGTGACCTAAGCTCATGACTTGAGCTGAACAAGGACATCCCACTGAGAACAGTGAACACTCATTGGTTGTACAGCATAATGGTAGGAAAGGGTGTCCACCTGGGCAGGATAGGATTTCTTTCGCTTTGAGCTATTGGTAGAAAAAAGCAATCTGCAAAGGAATGGGATAGTGGCTTGCATAGGCAGGTGATCTGCATTGCTTAATGTCCTGGTAGTACTGGTACGAAGAGATATTCATCACATTTACCGCTATTAAGGAAGTGACTACGGAGTACTGTGCTCCTTATGAACGATATCGTAATCATATAATTATTATCTGAAAATATGAAAGATTGGCATGATAACCTCAATCGGCATTGTTCAAGTGACCATGGTAACTTCACATTATAATAGGCGCCCAAAACTCATGATCATAGACCTCATGTAGCCTATGATAGCAAAATGACAAAAACATAATATTGTGCTCAGCTGCACTGGTTGCCTAAATTGTCCCAAACTCATGGCTGTCATAGCATCAACTGCTTTGAACATCTAGCCAAAGCAACGCAGATATTTATAAGAGTTATAGGTCAGTGACTGATGTACTGAAATACTGCTGACACATCTCTTTCGCCGCTCTCCTGGCGCATCAGTAGGTCCTGAATCTTGCTGAGCGCACCCTTCTCGCCATCATTAACAAGATGATTCCAAGTGCTGGTATCGCCATACAACATAGCCTGTGCCTTGATGAATTGCGTTCCATCCGGTCTGCATCTCTTGCACTTGAAGGTGTCATGTGTGTCACTTCGAGTTTCAGGTTTAAATTGGAACAATTCGCGTAGAGACTCTAAGGAAAAATGTCGCTCAACGTCCTCCGCTGAATCCACAACGCATGAGGACAGTGATTGCTTATGAGATTGCCGTTGGAAAATCTTCTCCTCAATTGAGCCGGTCGCGATGAAGCGGTACACGAAGCAGTCTTTCTTCTGGCCATCACGCCATACTCGCGCCAATGCTTGTTGATCAGCGGCTGGGTTCCAATCTGGGTCAAACAGCACGAGGCGATTGGCGCCTATTAAATTGAGGCCACATCCGCCGGCTTTGCTGCTAAGGAGGAATACAAACTCTTCCCCGTCCGGGTTATTAAACTTGTCGACGAGCTTTTGCCGCTTATTCACATTCATAGTACCATCTAGCCTCAATGAGCCATATCCCCTTGACCTGCATAGCTTTTCGAACAGGTCAAGTGTCTGTGTGTAGTTACTAATGAGAACAATTTTGTCGTTGGTGTCCTGGCGTATGCGTGCTAGCATTCGATCCAGAACCATCATTTTCCCCGAATACCAAGATTTGATATCACGGTCACGCCCTCTTGCCTCAGGTGGGACATAATCCTCAGGGAATGCGAATTCACACCCCGGAAGGTCGGTGGAAAGGTTAAGTAGATCAGGGTGGTTGCAGAGCTTCTTCAAAAGGCCGATTGCCTTAAGGGGTTGGCTTCCTTTGCCCCTAAGCAAGCTCCTAATCTCTGGACTTTGAATGAAGTGGTTATAGAGGTCGAGTTGGAATTGGGATAAGTTGCAGAAAACAACATGCTCATACTTGACGGGCAAGTACTTCGTCAATATGTCATTTGTTCGGCGGATAATGAATTTGTTGACAATGGTTGAGAGTTCAGCGAGACATTCATCGCCTTTCTTTTTGTCTTCGTCCGACCCTGCAGCATCCCTTCCTCTGAGAATAGGCAATTCAAACCTTTTCCGAAATTCATTCTGCGACCCTAATAAATCTGGATTGGCAAAGTTAAGCAGGGCGAAATATTCCGAAAGGTCGTTTTGAATAGGGGTTCCTGACAAGATAACACGACGTTGCACATTTAGACTGTTTAGTGCAGTCCATGTTAAACTATCCTTATTTTTGAGCCGATGACCTTCGTCGCAAAGAAGTAGCCCTATGGGACTATCTTTCAATACTTCAACATACATCCTGAGCGTTTCGTAGGACACAATGAGCACAGGTCGTACAACGGCGCGACCGGAAGCAATAGCCCATTGCTTGATCTGAGATGTGAGTTCTGTTTTCGAAGCTTTACCATCCACCGCAAAAGGAGTGATGGCATCTTTACCTAGCCATTTCACTGTGGTTGTTAACAGGCATTCAAAGTTCCAGGGCGCACTACTTACCAAGTTCATTGGCCCAGTTGCCAACCAGACTTGAGGGACAAGCAATGATACACTTCTGGATAAGGGTCTTGCCTGCCTCAGGAGACTGCTTGAGCAATGTCCACATCAATGAGATGCATTGTAGCTATCGCCGTCAGTCGAGACCATTGTTCAGAAGGGTCTGTTGGCCATACCGTTTTCCCTAGTCCCATGCCATCTGCCATTATACAGCCATGTGCGTTCTTATCGATCATACCGGTTGTGCAGCGGTATAAAAACTAAAAAAAAAACAGTTATGGTTAGTCTAACATCGCAAGAGAGTGTTGACTGGAACCGTCATGTTACCTTTACACCTTCAATTTGATGTGGACGTAGAACTTTTGCCAACCTTGGATCTATCACGACAGGAACCTTTGGACCAGATTCAACTTTCTTCTTGAGACCAAGTATGTCTGCTAAGCTCTTATGCACAAGGGGAGCGTCCAACTTGGGCTGTTCTTCTTCTGGCTTTCCATCGGCTGGCGACTTTGTTTCAGTGTTCTCACCGACATCATCAACAGTCGGATCATACAGCACTATCGCGAATTCTCCGCTAGGATCATGTAGAGGTTTCACAATAAATGTAGCACCTTGTCGCATCCCCAGAGTTGGTGCTGCTCTAGCGCCATTGTAGCTGTCAACCGCCTTATTGATTAAAGGTATCTTGAATCGTTGTTTGAATGTTGTCTCTTTATCTTTAGGTTTGAACACAGGGAACCTGTTCACATCTCTGGTGGCAAGTGCTAAACGTTCCTCGTTGGTATATGGTTTTTCACTATTGTCGTCCACACTCTCATCAGCTCCCGCATAATTCACCTTTCTTCGTTTTCTCGCAGGTTTATCAGACGTCCGTGTGGGTGTAGCAGATCCAGGGCATTTGAACGGTTTCGATAGGCGGTCAATGGACGTCGAGGACGGGGTCTGGAGGGATTTGGATAACGGTGTGTTTCCACCATCTTCCCTTCCACTCGGTCGTGGTCGATACCTTAAAAGAATTAGCGATTTATAGCATTAGGAGGTTGAACAGTTTCCTCCTTACATTTAAGGTAGTGATGCTACCTGGGCAGCCTTTCTGATACACGTACTAATAGGTAGGTTGGTGCCTGGCAGTCAATGTCACTTCCATAGACCCAAGAACAACGCGTTGCCGCTTCTTGGCGCGCTTCCCTGTGATTGCCCTAACACCAAAGTGTCACGCTGTCACGTGGTGATACCAGGGCTACTATGGAACCCCGCCACTATGACGAGCTCGCACCAAATGGAAGAAATGAATTAACCTTAAGACTACCGACTACAGTTGAGAGGTCGAAGTTTGATCTCATGTCCTCAGACTTCTGGGCTGGCTACCTTAGTGGGGCCATTGGGATCATCATCGGAAATCCTCTGGACCTTATCAAAGTTCGATTACAAGCCAGTCATGCTACACATGCAGGTGCAACATTGCCACACCAGCAATTGGGCCGTTTTGAGAGCACCAGCTCACTCGTGCGAGGTTAGCCAGCCACTGTGAAGTTCCCCGACAAGACGCATCAACTTACCTGCATATTAGGTGCTGCGGCCCCAATTCTCGGATATGGGGCTTTAAATGCTATTCTTTTTGTTGCCTATAACCGGTCATTGATGCTCTTGGACAGTTCTGTGACAGACCCCACAGACCCTCAAGGAATTCCACTGTATAAATTATGGCTTGCCGGTGCTGCAGGCGGAGTGGCCAGCTGGACTGTGTCGTCTCCGACTGAGTTTATCAAATGCAGAACGCAACTTGACACACGCCCGGGAGTGTCATCTTGGACCGTCGCCAAAGATACCATAAGAACCCTTGGCTGGAGGGGCCTTTATTATGGAGGAGCCATAACCTGTGCTCGAGACTCTATTGGCTATGGATTTTAGTACGCACAATGCTTCCCCGGATTTCTTCCCCCCCGCATGTTCTACTTAGAGTGCACTATTTACTTATAGTGTCACAGTTTCTGGACTTATGAGTATTGCAAACGTCTCATGGTTTCTAAGGATGATGATGCACAGCAGGCGGCAATCAAAGTACTGCTTTGCGGCGGTGTTGCCGGAGTAGCTACATGGGCTTCGGTTTATCCGCTGGACATGATCAAAACTAGATTGCAGGCGCAGGGGCTCGGGACACGTCCTGAAGACCAGCCTCTGGTGCGGTCTCAAAATGATAGACGGGCGCTGAACAGCTTTCAGCTCGCTAGGGAGACCTATCGGACAGAAGGGCTGAAGGCCTTCTATCGCGGGTTAGGAGTGTGTAGTGTAAGGGCTTTCATAGTAAATGCTGTCCAGGTATGTTTTTCCACATATACAGATCGGGGCCACAGCTAATCAAGCAATGTGTGTAATAGTGGGCAAGCTACGAGTGGCTCATGGTGTATCTCAACAACCCATGGAATCAGACACATGCGCAAGTTTCATAAATAGGGATATACTCGGGAGCAGATTGTCCTACGAATATTAAGTTATGTCCATGTATTGCGACTTGTAAGTAATACTCGCCCTAACTGAGTAGTGGCCGATATAGTGGAGCCCAATATACGAATGTCCGAGAAACGGCGATTCCGGTCGGGTCACCGCAACACGGAATCAGCGTACTCGGTAAATCGGGCGCCAAACTCTGGCGGTTTTCGGCGCATGTGGTTTCACGTGTTTCATGTGACCATGCCGGTCGCTGATTGGGCGAAAGGACTTGAGCTTTGCAACCAATAGCATTGTCTTCAAGACAACATCAACCCTCACGGATGAATTTTTTTCTGTCGCTTGCTTCTCGTTCAGCCTGTCCAAGAGACATATCCCCCTTCATATTGGCAATGTATATCCGATAGCTGCGGACACTCGTCAAGCGCGTATTAGTTGTAGAAGCTTAATCCTCCATGTCGACAACATTTTCTTCCAAGCGAAGGCCCTTATCGGTGCCTAAACCCACAGCGGCTTCAGCGACTTTCTGTGTATGAGGCTCTTCACGTAGGAGGCGAATTCTGTATGCACAGGATGCGCTCGAGTCAGCTTCAGATTGCGTGCGAAAGCTTGCGCCAATATGCGCTGGTCTGTTACTGACCTTCGTTTATGGTTTTTACCCTTTGTGTGGGCAACCAGGTTGTGTTCACTCTCAAACCATTTTGAGCACTCAACGCAGTAATGTTTTCCAAGTCCCGGTAGGTCCTCGGGGTCCTTGGTGGCTTTGTATTGCGCAAGGTGTTTGGGGGATTCAATATCAGCCCGAACCTGATCGTAATCCCTGTAGGTATCACTCCAGTCAGAATGTTTTTCGCAAATCCCTAAGACGTAGACAATAACTGAGAGTTGTAGTACCTTGTCCTGCGCTTTGTCTTAATTCTTCTCAAAGCGCCCATTTTGGATACCTATCTATCAGAACCAGCCTGCAGGTACTTTTTTTTTTTTTTGGCGTCGCAAAGTATTATCACCGATATACGGAACGATGCCAAAGCTTTAGTTGTTGCGAGAGCGGGTCAACAATCTCAAAATTTCCGCCTTTGTGTGCGTGAAAAGAATTTGGTGAAACATATCGCTCCTGATTGGCCAAAAGCCGGTCGGCTTGGCACCGGTCCGCGGGAAGGATGACCATCGGTAGGCCTCGGCTCTGACTCGGCTCTGTCAGCAGGCTGGGGTCGCTGTTACATCCATCTTTCGCAGGTTGTAATTTATGACGTTTCCATTTTTTCGGCACATTGCTCCGGAACAGCATCGCCCAGTTGCGTTTTAGGAGAAATAAGACAGCAGGGGCCCAATGAAGTTACTGCAGTAACGAATTACTACTAGTAATATCGCCTTGAACCTGCAATGAATCATCTAGAGGCCTTTGCACTTTGCCACATTACGCTACTATCCATCGTAGTCCCTATAGAAGCTGCCAACAGTGGGATGTTTTGAAATGTCAAAAGCTGCATCTATGATGTACTCTGAGTACTGTAGCTCAAGTTTGATGTAATAAGTCATTCATGATTGGTCTATGACGATCTCCGCTCACATGCGTTGGTCCACTGACTGCGCTTGTATTGTTACCATGTAACCGGACACGGGTAAACGTTAAGGTAGGATACTAGTCCTAAGGAAGAGAGCTATTCTAAGTATCCAAAGACCACATGGAGACTTGTCGAGGCCATTGAGAGTGAGCGCTTTTCGAATCAATGAGAAACCTTCGGTCTCCGGTTAATGACCTGATGGGTCCTGGAGTAGGAATGTGTGTAGGTAAGCCGAATTTTGCAGTACTTGACAGGGTAAAGAAAGGGGGCAAATTGCGGGTTGCCCAGCCACTTCCTTGTGTCCGGTCGCATGCTTAGTTTGGTCCCAGGTGTCCCGAATGCGTAAGGCTCCTGTATTGTCACAAGCGGTTACGGGTCCTGTTCGCCGGTTCAGTACTGGCTACTGTCAAGCAAGAATTCTTTCCCACTCTGAAAAACACCAGAGCTTCCTTTTATTTGCTCCATTTTCCCTTCTCTTCTGACCCTCTTTCTTCTCTCTCTTTACTCTCCACTCCATCTTTGCTGCTTCCAACTGTTGAAGCTAGCTGTTGTTGCATAGCTCTTGGATGTGTTGCGGCCTTGCTCACCTCGCATAGAGAGCTTTCACAAAATGATCTCCACAAGGCTCGCGCGCATGGGTGCGCTGGTAAGTCGTCCTCAATATATCGCTTTGTTCAGCATCGTGGCACCTGCATCGTCTCCTATCCGATGCTAGGTTTCCCCGGCTGATCTACGCTTGAAGCACCCTAAACTAACATGAATATCTTCCACAGGCCCCCAAGTCCCGCCTTGTAAGAACACCTTGTTGATTGGTCTCGCTTCTGCGGGAATTTGGGATCCTTATGATACGGGTGTGGAATTGGAAACTAACCTATTTCATAGTTTCTCGGGGCTCGGGGTCTGGCCACTGCCAGCGAACACCCTCTCGACAAGAAGGTCGAGATGTCCAATGTTGAAAAGGTGAGCAATGAGAAGACTACTCTCGGCTGCATCGGGAGAGCGAGCGCTACCCTATATGGAAATCGGAATTTGCTGACAATGTATCTCATAGGGCAACTACATCAACTACAAGTATGGCAACACCTTTTACTTTTCATTTCAGGAGCTCCTATTTCATGAATGCGCCATTATGGTCCTTTGATGCAGCGACTAACAGTTGTGCCAACTCTTTAGGAAGATGTCTGAGAACTTGGAAATCGTCCGTAGTCGTCTGAGCCGTCCTCTTACCTACGCCGAGAAGATCCTCTACTCTCACCTTGACAACCCTCATGAGCAGGACATCGAGCGTGGTGTTTCCTACCTGAAGCTGCGCCCCGACCGTGTCGCTTGCCAGGATGCCACCGCTCAGATGGCTATCCTTCAGTTCATGTCGGCTGGCATGCCCTCCGTCGCTACCCCTACCACCGTCCACTGTGACCACTTGATTGAGGCTCAGGTTGGAGGTGACAAGGATTTGGCTCGTGCCAACGAGATCAACAAGGAGGTCTACGACTTCCTTGCCTCCGCTACTGCCAAGTACAACATTGGTTTCTGGAAGCCTGGCTCCGGTATCATCCACCAGATCGTTCTGGAGAACTACGCTTTCCCCGGTGGTCTGATGATCGGTACCGACTCTCACACTCCTAACGGTGGTGGTCTTGGTATGGCTGCCATTGGTGTTGGTGGTGCTGATGCCGTCGATGTGATGGCTGGTCTCCCCTGGGAACTTAAGGCTCCTAAGGTCATTGGTGTCAAGCTCACCGGTGAGCTGTCCGGATGGACCACTCCTAAGGGTAAGTCACAACACGGTGAATTTCTTACAGGTGAAAGGAGAAAAAGCTTATTGATTGTGTGTAGATATCATCCTCAAGGTCGCTGGCCTCCTCACTGTCAAGGGTGGTACTGGTGCTATCGTTGAGTACCACGGACCTGGTGTCAACTCTCTTTCTTGCACCGGTATGGGTACTATCTGTAACATGGGTGCTGAAATTGGTGCTACCACCTCTCTGTTCCCCTACAATGACCGCATGTACGACTACCTGAAGGCCACCAAGCGTCAGCACATTGGCGACTTCGCTAGGTCCTACGCCAAGGAACTTCGCGAAGATGAGGGTGCCGAGTACGACCAGCTGATTGAGATCAACCTTTCTGAGCTGGAGCCTCACATCAACGGTCCCTTCACCCCCGATCTTGCTACCCCCATCTCCAAGTTCAAGGAGGCTGTCGAGGCCAACAAGTGGCCTGAGGAGCTCAAGGTCGGTCTCATCGGCTCTTGCACCAACTCCTCCTATGAGGACATGTCTCGTGCCGCCTCTATCGCCCGTGATGCCCTTGACCATGGCTTGAAGTCCAAGTCTCTCTTCACCATTACCCCCGGTTCTGAGCAGATTCGCGCTACTATCGAGCGTGATGGTCAGCTGCAGACCCTCGAGGAGTACGGTGGTGTCATCCTTGCCAACGCCTGTGGTCCTTGCATTGGACAGTGGGATCGTAAGGATGTTAAGAAGGGCGAGGCCAACTCCATCATCTCCTCCTACAACCGTAACTTCACTGGCCGTAACGACGCCAACCCCGCCACTCACTCCTTCGTCACCTCCCCCGACCTTGTCGTTGCCATGACTGTCGCCGGTACTCTCAAGTTCAACCCTCTCACCGATACCCTGAAGGACAAGAATGGCAAGGAGTTCAAGCTCAAGCCTCCCACCGGTGAGGGTCTCCCCGCCAAGGGCTACGACCCCGGCCGTAACACCTACCAGGCCCCTCCTGCCGACCGCTCCACTGTCAACGTCGCTGTCTCCCCTACCAGTGACCGTCTTCAGGTCCTCCAGGGATTCCAGGCCTGGGATGGCAAGGATGCCACTGACATCCCTATCCTCATCAAGTGCCAGGGCAAGACCACCACTGACCACATCTCCATGGCTGGCCCATGGTTGAAGTACCGTGGCCATCTTGACAACATTTCCAACAACATGCTCATTGGTGCCATCAACGCCGAGAACGGTGAGGCTAACAAGGTCAAGAACGCTTTCACTGGTGCATACGATGCCGTCCCTGCTACTGCCCGTGACTACAAGGCCCGTGGCATCAAGTGGGTTGTCATTGGTGACTGGAACTACGGTGAGGGTAGCTCTCGTGAGCACGCTGCTCTGGAGCCTAGACACCTTGGTGGTCTTGCTATCATCACTCGCAGCTTCGCCCGTATCCACGAGACCAACCTGAAGAAGCAGGGTATGCTTCCTCTGACCTTCGCCGAGCCTGCCGACTATGACAAGATCCAGCCCGAGGACAAGGTTGACTTGCTCTGCACTGAGCTTGAGGTCGGCAAGCCCATGACCCTCCGTGTCCACCCCAAGGATGGCAAGACCTTCGACGTCAAGCTCAACCACACCTTCAACGAGTCCCAGATCGAGTGGTTCAAGGATGGATCTGCCCTCAACACCATGGCCCGCAAGGGTAACTAAATGTGCCACAAGCTGGGTTTAGCGCTGGGGTCAACATTGGTCCGTTTGTAAATTATACTGTATATGTTTCTAAACACTCAAGGAGAAGCATATCAGCTTAGTGCCTTGTCATGCGACTTGGCACGTTGAGAATGAGTGGCAGCTCTGGGGATGCTAGCGGCTGCTAATGGGATTTCTACGATGGGGTATTGCGGAGTCAAGTTTCAAAATTTAACGACCTGTTTTGTTATCTCCACATTTGTTGGACCCCTTTGAGTTTGGGTGGACTATATGGATATAGTCTTGTGTCATTTTTCCTATATCATCTACTGTATGTTAGGGACAGCAATCATACCATATTTCCTTTTTGTTCAGATTAATATTCTCTTCTTCCGTTCTGCCTGAACATAACTCAATAGCTTGATGAGCTGTAGATGAACATAATGATGCATAGCTCACCCAAGGTGTTCTCATGGTTTAATTTCGACATAGCTGACATAAGATCGCGTGCTCAGCCGAGGCTCAAACTTAACCCCCGCTCTCGGTATGTAATTCTACTATATCAATAAGATACGGAGTACGAATGGTAGACTACCTCTGTTGTCTCGTCAGTCAGTCGCGGTCAGTTGACATTGCGGAACTCAAAACCACATTCTTTCGCCTCACAGGTAGGAAGGTCTTATCTAGTCCATTTCCGATTCATCCGGCTTGGGCAACTAAGGCTAAATAAAAAGCGTTCGGCGAATCCTGAGTAAAGTTGGATGCACAGGTGGTGTTGGAAGATACTACTCTATCTAGCATTGACAGCGGTGTAGCTGTAAGTCCACAATTTGGAACAGTGCCGTTTTCCCACGGTGTTGAACACTCCGTCGGGCCGCTGTTACCCACCACTCTCAACTAGATTTATCCTTCATATTACTTATTCGCCCCACGTTTGTCGAATCCAGACTTAGGGATACCTGAAAGATAAGGCCCCGGACTATCCGTTGCACTTTGATTTGACCCGGAGAACGTTCGTGCCCAACTATGGCTACTCAGCTCGTTCCTCTGCCGGAGGTGGAGAGACTCAGTGCTTCAGTGGTGCGGATACTTGGTGGTAATCCCGGCAAGGTAAGGTTCGAACCTGAATTTTGATATTCCCTGATTCCGGTGACTGCGAGTCCAAAGTACCTTGAACTATCGTGTCTTGATGCACATTCTGTTAAGCTCGATAAAACAAGAACCTACGTTAATTTGACCCTGCATATAGTTTACACTGCAGGGTGAGTCACTCCACCTTCATCCAATAGGGCTCGCAGCTTTGGACCTAACAACATCTTTCAGGAACAAACACATATCTGATAGGTCGTGGACCTCAACGGATTCTGATTGACACAGGTGAAGGCAAGCCTTCCTGGGCTGCTCACCTGAAGACAATCCTATCGGAAGAGAATGCCACCGTGCATAAAGCACTCCTGACGCACTGGCACCATGATCACGTCAATGGCATCCCTGACCTTCGCAAGCTTTGTCCTCAAGTTACCATCTACAAGAACCAACCAAACGAGGGACAGAGTGGTATCGAAGATGGACAGGTATTTTCTGTAGAGGGAGCCACATTGAAAGCTTTTCATACACCGGGACATACAGTTGATCATATGATATTTGTGCTAGAGGAGGAAGATGCCATCTTTACTGGTGATAGTGGGTTCTCCCTTTCCCCCAGCTCATACCATACTGTGTTATAGTCGTGCACAACTGATCTAAAACCTATTAGACGTTCTGGGACATGGGACTGCGGTATTTGAAGATTTGAAATTGTATCTGTCCAGCCTCCAGCGTATGCAAGACCGAGTTTCGGGTCGCGGGTATCCTGGCCATGGAGCGGTGATTGAGAATGCAACGGCGAAGATCACTGAATACATCAAGCATCGACAACAGCGTGAAGATGAAGTGATCCGCGTGTTGCGTTATGGAAAACTTGATGTTCCTGAGGATGAACCATCACCGGAGCGGAAGGCCTCTTGGACCCCCCTCGAGATAGTGAAAGTGATATACTACAACGTCCCGGAAAGCCTTCACCTGCCAGCGTCGCACGGTGTGCTGCAGGTGCTGATGAAATTAGAAGCCGAGGGTAAGACAGTCCATGACACGGAATCAGATAAGTGGAGGCTGGAAACCGGGAAGTCTGCGCTATAAACGCCCTTCACTATAGCTCTGTGTGACATTACAATCATGTTCTATCTAATGACAATCTATGCAAGTGTGAGTGCCTGGGATGTTATGACGCGGCCTGGGTTTGCTGGAAGTAGAAAGCATAGACAACCACTACACAACCAAGAAAATTACACAGAGCACCGGGGCATGCTAGGTTTGCCCAGACCGTCTTTCACACATCAATACCAGTACTATCAGAAGAGGTCTGGACTTTTCTGGCAGGGAAAAAACCGCAAGTTGAACGAACACTTTTTGGCCCAGTCTGGACCTGTCAGAAATGCACTTTGTACTTGGAGGTGGGCTATATAACGCCACCATGAGGGAAAAAAGACTACACAGTACTCCGCATTAAATTAGGCGGAGACAAAAAAAAAAAAAAGGGAAAGGTAAGAGATGTAAAAGGAAAGAAGAAAAAAAGCAAAAAGAGTTGCAGTACCATACATAACTTTACACTAGACTGAGGGGTTGGCATTACATTGGCAAATCGTCATCCGACCAGCAGGTGGGCTCGGCGCGCCTAATATTCCCAGCAGAAAAGTACTCAGTGAATTTCCCTGTTGATTGGCATCATATTTAAGCAGCTGAGGGGCTCCTCACCACCTTCCCATGGGAGTGTTGGCATCATCCGCAATCGGTGAGTGGTTAACTTTGCGGGCCCGTGACCTCATTCATCATTAAATTCTTTATCCGTGCAAAACTAGATTTCTCCTTCATGATTCAGTTTCATCTAGGAATCCCTTCTTCGTATATTATCAGAACTTGGATCCAAGTCAGACTGCCCCTACCAGCTATTTTCAAAGTAACCAACTTGTCTTTTGGTATATCCTTCCTAGTCGATGAACTCGCTAGTGAGGAGCGTGCGCAGTTCATACTACAGTCACTCCAGCTTGTCCTTATTACCCGACTGGAAACTTTGGGTCAGTTGGTCCGCGCGTCTGGTTGATTGCTGAGCTCTGAGGTCACTCTTTGCCCGTTTTCTCCCCACCGGACCGCCTTCTTGTACTTCACAAAAGCTCCCCGCCTTCGTTGTAGGGCCGGCATTTATTGTCATTTTAGCAGTGTTTGGTTTCACTGGCCAACTGTCTGATTCTTGGTTCCCTTTAGGCTGCGGCAAAGCTGTCAATCGTCGTTCTAATTTGGCGTTGACTTAACTGTCTTTATACATTACCCCTCTATTTCCTCTCTTACTTCCTTTTTATTTCTTCCAATCTATTTTCTTTTTTTTTTTCTTTTCTTTCTTTTCTTTTTTTTCAACAGGTTTCTTTGCGAGAAACTTAACATTCTCATTTCAATTTCATTCAGCCATCAAATCCGATTTCGCCAACAATGCCTTCTCTCGAAGACGGTTCTAAGAATGAGTCAAGACTACTCCTCATTTCAAATCGGTTACCGATTACGATAAAACGCTCCGAAGCCGGGAAGTATGACTTCTCCATGTCATCTGGTGGCTTGGTCAGCGGTCTCAGTGGTCTATCAAAATCCACTACGTTCCAATGGTATGGCTGGCCCGGCCTAGAGGTCCCCGAAGAAGAGATACCGGTGGTGAAGCAACGGTTGAAGGATGAGTACAATGCAGTTCCCGTATTTATCGATGATGAGCTAGCGGACCGGCACTACAATGGATTCTCTAGTTAGTACATCTTACCTTGCATTTAGATCGCAGACTCAAGCGCATCAAGTTGTACCAAGTGGCTAATAAGTTTCTATTGATCAGATTCTATTCTGTGGCCCCTTTTCCATTATCATCCTGGTGAAATCACCTTCGATGAATCTGCTTGGGACGCTTATAAGGATGCGAATCGCCTATTCGCGCGGGCCGTCGCGAAAGAAGTTCAGGATGGAGATCTAATTTGGGTGCATGACTACCATTTGATGCTTCTCCCTGAGATGCTTCGAGAAGAAATCGGAGACCAGAAACAGAACGTCAAGATTGGATTCTTCCTACACACCCCCTTCCCTAGCAGTGAAATCTACAGGATCCTCCCCGTCCGAAACGAGCTGTTGCTTGGGGTCCTCCATTGCGACCTCATAGGCTTCCACACCTACGACTATACAAGACATTTCTTGAGCGCTTGCTCGCGCTTATTGTACGTTGAGACCAGCCGTTGTGTACAAACGTGGGAGCTAACGATGGGTATCTAGGGGATTGGCGACAACTCCTAACGGCATAGAGTTCCAGGGCAAAATTATTGCCTGCGGAGCTTTCCCGATCGGTATTGACCCTGAGAAATTCCAGGAGGGTCTTAAGAAAGAGAAGGTCCAGAAGCGGATTGCACAGCTTGAACAGAAGTTCCAGGGAGTGAAGCTTATGGTGGGCGTCGACCGCCTTGACTATATTAAGGGCGTTCCGCAAAAGCTGCATGCGCTGGAAGTGTTCCTTAGCGACCACCCTGAATGGGTTGGTAAAGTTGTACTGGTTCAAGTTGCTGTCCCCAGTAGACAGGATGTCGAGGAGTATCAGAACTTGAGGGCTGTTGTGAACGAGCTGGTCGGCCGTATCAACGGGAAGTTTGGTATGTGATTTTACTGGCAGGCCATGGTAACGTGTTGCTGACCTGATTAGGTACTGTGGAATTCATGCCAATCCACTTCCTACACAAGTCAGTCAACTTTGATGAACTGATTGCCCTGTATGCCGTGTCGGACGCGTGCATTGTTTCGTCAACTCGGGATGGCATGAATCTGGTCGCGTACGAATATATTGCAACCCAGCAAAAGCGGCACGGTGTTTTGGTCCTCTCAGAGTTTGCCGGTGCAGCCCAGAGTCTCAATGGCAGTATCATTATTAACCCTTGGAACACCGAAGAACTCGCTGGTGCCTACCAGGAGGCTGTTACCATGAGCGACGAGCAGAGGGCCCTGAATTTCTCCAAGTTGGACAAATATGTCAATAAATATACGAGGTATACACATGCGTGTCATTTCGATGGATAAACATCGCTAACCTATTTCAGTGCCTTCTGGGGCCAGTCATTCGTAACGGAATTGACGAGGATATCTACCCAATCTGCGGAGAAATTCCAGTCTAAAAGGGCTTCACTTGCCGGCGCATACCACGAACAAGTCAACGGTGTAGAATCCGAGGGATCGTCTTAATTGTGCGCCAAAAGATACTTACCTTCTATACTGTCTCAGTTGGAGTATCAGAAGAGGAAACACAAAGATGTGTAACGAATGGCTTAGAGCTTTTTTATTGACGGTCTATGAGCACTGGATGGCGTGAATTGTTTTTGAGTTTGCTTTGCATTGGTTAAGATTCTCGGTCACTCCTTTGAAATGTCATAAGAGGGTAATATTGTATTTAGATTCTCGGGTCCGGGTCATGGATGGGTATAAAAGGTTGAGGTGTTGCTGGTGTACTGTACATTAAGCGTTCTGTCTAAGCTCTCAACTCAGCGTGTGTTACCATTATTCTATTTGTATCCGATAGAACAAAATGACATGTTCTCGGTCCGCTACCTAGTATTAGTACGCAGTAACTTCATTCTGGAAAGATCTGACCTCCCAGTTGTATATTTGCATGGTGCGGTATGCAAACAGTGCAAACACCGGCGAGAAATTCTGGAAGGCCTCGTCCGCGGATTTGACGCTCCTCCACCGGAGACGCCGCCTGAGTTTTTGTTGAGACGAGAACATATTGCCCAATTGTACTATTATCGGACTAAGATTGGGCTTGAGTCGAAACTTTGCGGACGTGAAATTCACTCTCGATCCGCGACAACCGCACGCGCCTTTGAGGAATCACCGAGTCGGGCTTTATCGCACCCATAGGAACAAGCATTAAGAACACAGAGGAACCACTCTACTCATACGAAAATGCGTCCAAGCAACCTCTTCCGGGCGATGCAGCCCCTTCGCTCTTCTATCGTCAGACCTACTTCGACCTCATCCTCCGCCGCACACATCTACTCTACCATCTCGACACCAATCCGCCGCTTGAATTCGACGACCGCTACACCCACGGAAACCCAATCGTCTACAGCACCTTCCACTCCATCGGTGGCTCCTCCTTCCCTCCGCAGCTACCCCTATACCTTGAAGACCGGCACTGTGGTCTCCGTCGGCCGCATGGACCGTACTGTCCGCGTCTCCCATCGCCACACCATGTGGGACAGTCACATTCGCAAGACATATCCGAAGGTTACGACATATCTTGTGTCCGACCCAAAGAACTCCCTGCGCGAAGGGGACGTCATCGAGTTCTCCTCTGGATACCCAAAGAGCCGAAATGTGCGTCATGTCGTTGAGAGGATCATTGCGCCGTTCGGCGAGGCAATTGAAGACAGACCGGCTGTTATGACACGTGAAGAGCGGGACGCAGAGCGCGTGGCCAAGCGAACTGTCAAGTGGGAGCGCAGGGAAGCCAAAAGAGCAGAGGGTGGCGAGGGCCAGAGCTTAGGAGGACAAGAGCACGTTGGACGGATCAGGAGGCTAGTATATGAGCGTACTGGGGCCCAGTAGAAGGCGAGTATACTCCGCTTGTCATTCTTTGGCATTTCTCTTTGACTGTATAAGATAAATATTGGGCTCAGAGAGCTGTGTTCTATCTTTGTGTGTCGACTCTTTCCGAATGTATTATATCTCACTGCGCATGTGTGCTACCAGTCTTTTCTTTGCAACACTTACTCATATTGGCCAGTCGTATTATAGAAATGTAAGCTTTGGAATTTGACTTTGGCGTCTTGTAATGGTTGATCGAGAAGCTGACATGTAGCTTGAACTCAAGGAAGACAACGTATAGTCTGTTTCGGATTGGAGTCTGGCATTAAGCTTGGATCTCAGAAGTGCTAATTCTGGACTATCACTGACTGAATGCGTTTCTATAGGCCTGTATCCTAACGTCCAGTTACTGGATGGATTGAGTGATCACTGGAGACTAGAAAAAGCGTATCTCCAAGGTTTCGATCAAGGTGCAATTGACTAACATGCGAGCTAAATGGAACAAAACAGGTCTCTGAGGGAATACATCCGTATTCTTGGGATGTGCTTGGGTAGATTTGAGTATAGAAGACTCACTATTTTAAGAACACTTTCAGTGGGAGTATCTGTTTTGCAGATATACTTGCTAGTAGCTCGGAGTCAGTCAACATCACCCTATCACTAAGGTATTATCAGTAGATTTATCATGGCCTTAGACCCATGGTTCCAGCTTATCTTTCCGGGCAAGCACCTAGAGTCGCCGGGGACAGGGAAAATAGATAAGACCCCGCGTCTCATGATGCTAGTGCTATCTGGTACGATACACTGAATTTTAAATAGGCCGTAAGAACCATTTCATATCCATGGCCTATCAAACTCAAAGTACAGCTACTTGCTTCTCTGATGTGCAAAATGCATATGTTTACCTTGCCTATTACCATTCTCCTGTGCTTCTTTCAGACGATCCTTTCGAGTACGATTCCCGATTCAATGCTAATCACCAGGGATATTCCTCTCTCAACTAGAGCGTACTGGATGCGTCGAGCAAATGAAGCATTGGGCGAACTAAGCGGCTCTCCCTGTCCATTCGCTGCGTTTGGCACTGCCGTCGTTAACCACACTGACACTGATGGACTTGGGGATCTGATATGCATTGGCGTCAACCAGAATCGCCAGACAGGAAACCCGGCCTTACACGGTACCATACCCCAAACCTCCCTCCCATAGTAGTCTCCCCCATCTGTTGCTGATGGAGATCGATACCCTCCAGGAGAAATAGCAGCCATCACAAACTGCACTGCCATTCTGACAGATCCACATGGCCGATTTCGACTAACGGCCTCTGAAGCTCAAGCTGCATTTGTCGATTTGACATTGTATACCAACGCCGAGAGTTGTCCTATGGTAAGTACATTGTCCCCGACGCTTCATATTGCAAGACATATATCTGGAGGTTAACGATGAGAAAGTGCGCCTCTGCCATTCGGTGGGCAGGGTTTAAGGAGTATGTCTACGGGACTTCAATTCACACGTTAGTCCGGAAGGGCTGGTCCCAGATCCATATATCCTCGCTGGAGGTCTTTCAGGCTTCTTTAGACTTGTCGTCCCAGACTCTCTTGATGGGGGATGTTCTTGCGAATGAGACGGATCCGTACTTTTTGTGGCAGTTTGACCCGGCTTACCCTTGCCCTGATGGCTGCTCGCGTTCTGGTAATGGTACTACGTGTCGTGTTTCTACAAGGGATGAATTGAAGTAGGATGTATGTTAGAGATCTGAATTGTGTCCATCCGTGTTAGGGTTATATGGGCTGTGCGAGATAGTCTCTAGCTATGATAGTAGTATGTTGCGTTCTCGGAACGGCTCCGTGGATAAGAATGTTTACTGGGATAGTCCATGGACTGTGGGAGGGAACAAGCTGAAGGTGACCACGCCGAATGGCGAGGACCCGGAATGGGGATATGAGATTACGCAGTTTGGAGGATCGGGGCAGACTAGTGGGCCTTTGGGGAATGTGACTATCAAGTTTAGGCTTTATGCTTAGGGCAAGATGATTCTTTGGGGGAATTTGACATGGTAGGGCTGATAGGGCTGATGTTGGTCTATACAATATTGGCAGGAATACGTAGCTGCTTAGTTGTTGGCATTAGTCAAGGTGAGTTCTTTGCCCTAAGCTGCTTGAATATTATTCGTGCATTTTCTAGATGAATTATGAGCCCCTAACAACAGTCTCAACGTGGTATTGGTATGCCAATCCACCGGGTTTCTCTCTACCTTATAGAGACAAGCTCGCATTCCTCTGGGGCAACAAGCGTCTTTTTTTTTCCAGCTATATTGTGTAATATAGAGCTTTGTTTCTGACTTCTATCTCTATGGCAGGGCGTTATTCGTGGATACCATGAGGACACATTATTGAAGTCCAGGAACCTGTCAGCGTATGGCATCCTTTGGCGATAATATGGAGTATATAGTTACGTCCCAATGCGAAGGATCACGTGTAATGAAAATGATCTCCAGGGAATTCTCCTCGGTGAATGACAGCCACAGAAGATGCAATGAAAAGGGGTTTCTTAATGTGGAATATTACTGTGGTTAGAGTGATACATCGTATCTGCCTTGTCAGAGCGTCTTTAACTCTCATTAGGATTCAATGTTGACCCACCTATCAGTTCTGTCTACTGGTCTAGCGTGGTCTGTGGTGCATTAAATGGCGAAATCGCCCCAAAGGTCTAAGAATATATTGCAGTAAATCATACGATGAATATAAATTGTCTTTCTCAGAGGGAGTACTCAGTAGATGGTCAAATAATGGAATTCTCGATTCAGGGGTTGTCAATCAAACTTTAATAAATCAAATCACCCCAAGCGATCAGCCATGGGAGGTGTGAATAACTTAAGTAAATAAGTTACAGGAAAAGAATAAAGTGTGTTTGTTTTTGTTGATCCGCGGGGAAGACAAGCCGGACAAGATTGGCAGAAAAAAAGACCAGTCCGTCCACTCTCCCTTTTGGGTCGCGAAGTCACCGGAGCGACTTGCCCGTTGTTTACTTCGTCTCTTTCTCTCTCCCACTCTGCTGGTCTGATTGAACTTCCATCCACCCTTTGACCCCACGGGTTCTGTCCGGTTCCTACTTTCAACGGCAGAACATCGATCCTTGTCATCCTGACTCCCTCCGACATTGAGTTATACTTTTCTTTGGATACCCGTTGTGCGTGGCTTAACATACGGTTAACTGCCCAACCGCACGAGCCCTGCAACCTTCTGCAAGTTTAAGGTGTGTGCGATGTATAAGAGAGAATCTACCCAACCCTCAATTTGTACAGTGGTATCTGTATACCGAAATATATAGACATGTTCTACTGTGCCTGTGACCCTTGAGATCGCACACAGATGGCACATTTGCCGTCGCAGAATCTCAGGACTTGACTGACTAGTCTCTCTCCTAGTGCACTTTAGATCGCCGTCATTATGGCTGACGGAGAGGAGGACTTCTCCTCTCTCCCACTGCCCGAACGATTCGCACACAAGGTTAGCCCCGCCCTCGACGATTTCACTCGATTCCCGTCGACTAATATCTCGTCATCGCCAATGTAGAACTGGAAAGTGCGTAAGGGAGGTTATGAAGATGCCAAACAACAGTTCGAGAAATCCCCGGATGAATCAGACCCCGTTTTCACACCGTTCATCCAAGACGCGGGCCTATGGAAAGGAGCGGTTGCAGATTCCAACGTCGCGGCCCAACAAGATGGCCTCGCGGCCTACTGCGCTTTCTTAAAATTCGGAGGTGTTCAGGCTTGCACAAGGTATGATGTTCTTGGATGATTTACACTGCCCTACGATAGGGGTGGCTAATGTTTCCCCGAAAAGGTCTCGTGCCATCACAGTTTTTCCCATTGTAGAAAAGGGTCTTCCATCTACAAGACCGGCAGCAAAGACGAACGCTCAAGAAGCCCTTCTACTATTAGTCGAATTAGATAAAGCAGACCCCGTGATCGAAGAGATACTGCCTGGACTATCACACAAGGTACCCAAGGTTATTGCTGCGACATTGACTGGCTTGAGAACAATCTATCACAACTTCGGATGCAAGATTGTCGACCCCAAGCCGGTTCTTAAGGCCCTGCCCAAGGTATTCGGACATGCAGACAAGAACGTTCGCGCAGAAGCGCAAAGTCTCACAGTGGAAATGTACCGGTGGTTGAAAGAAGCCATTAAACCTCTTTTCTGGGCCGAACTAAAGCCAGTCCAGCAAACCGACTTAGAGAAACTCTTTGAAAACGTCAAACAAGAGCCACCACCGAAACAAGAGAGATTAACTAGAGCCCAGCAGGACGCGATGGCTGCCGCCAGCGCAGCCCCCGAAGATGGTGAAGCCGAAGAAGGAGGTGAAGAGTACGGGGATGAAGACGGCGAAGAGGTTGACGCTTTTGACCTCGCAGAACCTGTTGACGTGATGCCCAAAGTTCCGAAAGATCTACACGATCAACTATCCTCATCGAAGTGGAAAGACCGGAAGGAGGCACTGGATGCTCTCCATTCAGCACTGAACGTCCCGAGAATCAAGGATGGGCCATACGACGATATTGTGCGCGCGCTAGCCGCTCGCATGAAAGACGCCAACATTGCGGTTGTGACCGTCGCTGCCAACTGTGTCGACTTACTCGCTAAAGGCCTTCGGAGCGGATTCGGCAAATACCGCTCAAGCATTATGGCTCCTATGCTGGAACGCCTGAAGGAAAAGAAACAGAGCGTTGCAGAGGCATTGGGCCAAGCTTTAGACTCGGTCTTCGCATCGACTACTTTGACAGACTGCTTGGAGGAGATTCTGGAGTTTTTGAAGCATAAGAATCCGCAAGTGAAGCAAGAAACACTCAAATTCCTTATCCGCTGTCTCCGTACCACCAGGGATGTACCGTCGAAAGCGGAGGTCAAGTCGATTGCTGAAGCGGCGACTAAGCTTCTCACCGAATCCAGTGAGGTCAACCGGTCGGGAGGAGCTGAAATCCTTGGTACATTGATGAAGATCATGGGCGAACGAGCGATGAACCCCTACCTTGAGGGCCTCGATGATATCAGAAAGACGAAGATTAAGGAGTTTTTCGATACCGCCGAGGTCAAAGCGAAAGATAGACCTAAGCCTATTGTTGGTGCACCCAAGGCTGTGCCGGCGGCTGGTAAAAAAGTCGTCGGTGGGAAAAAGCCGGCAGTGGGAATGAAAAAACCCCCTCCAGCTGCGGCACCGCCACCAGCTGAAGAACCAGCGCCTGCTCCCTCACCTCCTAAGAAGGCTGTACCATCTAGATTGGGCGGTCCTAAGGCTGGTGGCCTTCCCGCACCAGGTTCTGGTCTTAAGAAAAAGCTGGGTGGTCCCGGAGGTATAGCGTCGCCACGACGGGTTGTTTCTCCTCCTTCTGAGGAGCAACCCGCGGCTCCTGCTGCCCCCAAGTTTGGTCTTGGTAGAGGACTTGCAGGCCGTCCTATCGCCAAGCCAGCCGCTCCTCGCGAGCCTTCGCCTCCACCAGCGGCGCCTCCCCTGACTGGAATGTCGGCTATTGAGCGGGCCGAGTTAGAGGAACTGCGTCTCGAACAAGAGAAGTTTACCCGACTTGTTGAAGACTTGAAGTCAGAGAGGACCAAATTGAAATCACAAGTGACAGAACTTCAGGATCAGAATGCACAACTCATTGAAGATCACACGAGGGATGTTCTGAGTATCAAGGCCAAGGAAACCCAACTGGTTAGGGCTCGGAGTGATGCAGAGACCGCAGAACAGAGTGTTCAGAAGCAGCAGCGGGAAATCGACCGTCTGAAACGTGAGTTGGCAAGGGCCCTTCGCGCTAGCGCTATCAGCCCGCCCAACACTCTACCTGAAGGGATTAGTATGGGATATGGAGATGCCGGATCAGTTTATCAGGACGCAGCCAGCAATGGCCAGGGTCCTTTGGCACGTGGTTACCACATGGGGTCACGATTCGAGAGTTCAAGGCCAAGGAGCTATGCTTCAGCCAGCCCAAGTGAAGAGAAGGAGAACAGTGGTCTGGAATCTCCAGGCCTGGGCAGCAGAGATGGAGGTCTCGGCCGACGGAAGCTAAGCCCTACTTTTGGCACCAGTTATTCCGGAATGGGTAGTCCCACCCGGTCTTCAATGCTGGGTTCTAGTAATGCTTCAGGAGATGACCAGCCAACGAGAAGTACGGAGCCAGCGGAGAACTGGAAGCGAGCTGCCGAGGTGACGAGCCAGCTTAAAGCAAGGATAGAACAAATGAAGGTACGTATCTCCAATGTCCCAATTTTTGGATCAACTCTGACGTAGAATGGTGCAGGCTAGGCAAGGACTCACACGACCACCGGCTCAACGCTAACGACTGAACGAATTCATGTTTCCTCCTTCTCTGACCCTCTTTAATCCTATCCCCTTTCTACATCCTCTCCCTATTGCGTTCTTGTTGTTTTACATACGGTTTGGCGGGTGCTCCTTGGGCTTGGGTGGGCTGGCTGGCTCTTAATTGCTTGTTTTGTGCGCTTCAGATTGTGGGCTTTTGCTTGTCTTCGGTGGATCATTAAAATACGTTTAGGGGGGTGGGCATTGTCTAGCTGCATTTTATTTTGGGTTTGACTTCATACCAGGACGCTTTCTTTCATGTATAGATGTTTCACCATATGTACGCATGCGGTGTATTGTACGGGCATGGCATTACCAGGGGGAAGGGTCCCCAGGTTATAATCATTTATTAACTTGCAATCCGGGCGGGCTCCACATTGTTTCCTAAGTTTGAAGCAGAAGAGAAAGTTGTAAGACAAAGTATCATAGCATGAATTACTTCTACGACTGGGAAGCTACTAGAGCAGACCGCACATGAATGCTTATATGAAGGCGTGCTACGAGGGCGGTTGGGTTGAAGTGTGAAATAGCATTCATGGGTATCTGCGACGTGTACATAAGAGTGAAAGAAACAGAGTGGACCATCAAGATGGATTGGGATTGAGGATTGGGTGCCAAAAGCTCTCCAACCATGTAAGCTATTATGCCATCAATAAGTTAACCGAGCCCTTAACACCATTCCCAGAAACCGTGGCCGCGATTTGCTTTTGAACAATTAATCCCAATTTTTGGTATCCGGAGCGCAAAATTTTGTCATTAAGATCGTTGGAAAACCCGTCCTTGCGGAACTAGACTAGACATATGGACTAGTTTAGATCTTGACAGCGGACTCAACGGCCTTGCGCTTCTTCTCCTGGCGGGCGACGGCCTTGGCGCCCATGATACCACCACCCCAGTGACGGCGGGACTCCTCGTACTTGTCGGTGTAGCCCTCCTTGATGGTGGAGAGGAGCTTGGCGAACTCAGACTGGTCCTCAGAGCGGACCTCAGTCAGAGCGAGGACAGCAGCGGTCTGAGGGTCGGATTAGTACTGATTCTTAATACATAATCATGAGAGATTCTTACCTTCTTGTGGACAACGGTACCGAGACGAGCCTTGCCCTTAACAATGGCGTAAGGGACACCCATCTTGCGGCAGAGAGCGGGAAGGAAGACAACCAGCTCAATGGGGTCAACGTCGTGGGCGATGAGGACAAGGGAAGCCTTCTTGTTCTCAACGAGGCCGACAACGTGGTTAAGACCGTACTTGACGTGGTAGGGCTTCTTGGAGACATCCTCCTTCTTCTTGCCCTCGGCAACGGCGGTAGCCTCAGCGAGGAGACGCTCCTTCTTCTCGGCCTTGGTCTCAGGGCGGTACTTGTTGAGGAGCTTGAAGGTCTGGGCAGCGGAGTTGCGGTCCAGGGTGCTCTGGAACTGGGCAATGGCAGGGGGGACCTTGAGACGGAGGTTCAAGATCTTCTTCTGGCGCTGAAGACGGACATACTCGGGCCACTTAACGAAACGGCCGAGGTTGCGCTTGGGCTGGATGTCCTGGCCAATGCCGAAGTTGCGGGAGCGCTTCTCGATGAGAGGGTTCTAGTCGCATATTAGCATCCTATGTGCTTCCTAGCTAGGGGGAAAATCCTTTTTCTACATACCTTAGGGGCCTTCTTAGAACCAGCCTTGCCCTGGGGGTAGGGCAGAGGGGCGGCCTTCTTTCCGGACTTGGGAGGCTATCATTGAGAAAAGAAGATCAGCACATCGTGTCCACCAACGCTGCATCTTCCTTGAACTCTAAAGAGAACACCGATCTAGTGTGTATTTCAACTCCTAGACCGGTGTCTCCAGCCAAATCATCGCTGACGCTCGCATCCCGAAGGACTTGTGCGAACAGCGGAATATGCTTCGAGACTTGCGAAATGAAGCCGACGAGATCGTCTCACGACATGTCGCAGAGGTTTTCGAAAGCTAGACAACCAAATCAACTGGACGTTATATGCTTACCATTGTTGTCGACTGAGTTCCGCAACGGCGCTGGGTGACGGGATTGACGAAGAGAAGAAGAAGGGAAGGTTCGAAGTAATTTCAGCTTAGCAGAAAAGAAAAGCTAGTCGCTTCGTGCGTGGGCCGCGCTAGTGCGGATAAATTTACTAGCCGATCCGGTTCCAAATCACACCCCCACGTGACCTAGGGCTAGCCCTCTGACGTTTATGGTCCCTTTCCCTATCAGGAAGCCTCTTCCTACATTGAACTCCTATTCGTTGCATTTTACAAGTATACAATAGGACGTCCTTCCTTTCATCAGCTTACTCATGAACCAATCGTTAATATTCGTAACCACTCTATTTATCCCAGACTTCATCTAAGTTGATATCTTGGACTACCACATTGTTGCGTGCCAACCACCATGTTCTCTGCAGTAGTTTCGCCGTTCGCGTTAGGTCTTGTGTTCTCCCCAAATCACAGTTGAACACGCCTAGCCTTCAAGAATTCGTAATCTGGCATGGCTGCTAGGACCGCCTTCTCAAGAAGAAGACTGGTGTCCTCACCAAATTCCTCCCTCCATTTGAGGGCCTCAGTAGCGACGTCCAGTGTCACTGGCGCCTTATCTTTCAAAACCCCAGATGATCCCGCTAGACTAGAGAGCATGATTGCATGAGCTTTCTGGCTATGAAAGCGCACATCTTGCCCAGTAGAGTCTCTCTGTTCGACCGGGCTTCCGTTATTCGGCGCACCATTAGCATCTGCCTTCTTCTCCCACTCAAACTTGAGTTTGTTGGAATCCAGGCCCGCCAGCTCGCAGAATCGAGCTATCACATCAGGATTGTGAATCACATCATGGGCGTCCAGCAACAATGGCTGGGAGTCGGAGTCATTGTTCTCCATGCCGTAGTTGTAGAGCATCCGAGTCCACTTCAACGACATATTCGTCTCTAAGACGCCAGGCAGCTCCTCTTTTTGAAGAACACCAACGGCCACCATCTTCATCATTGCACGATAAAGGGACGGGAACACCAGCGCCGGATGACGAATGATGAACGCTAGGCGCCAGGTGCGCAGATACTCGTCCGGAAAGACGGTTTCATTATTTGGGGAGAAAGTCTGGGAGGCCCCATAGGTGGCTGGGACTTGGACATGGAATAGGGAGTCATAGCTACCATTGGTGCCATGGATCATCCGGCTGAATGCCGTTGGGTTGCAGAGCCAGAAAGCATGCTCTTTGGTGACCATCATTTTGCCTTCTTTTTCGGCACGGCTGCTGTATTCCTCCAGGTTGTCCAGACATTCCTGGAAGGCAGACCGGACTTCATCGCACTCTTCGGTAGTCCATTGGTCGACTGGCTTATAAATGCGACCATCCTTGGAGGCAGTAGTATAGGGTTTCATGAAGAAGTAGCCTCCCTGCTCATTGGAGATGACATTGGGTTGATCTGATAGAGCAAGGATCTTCAGAAGGAGATTGGATGCTGTACGGGGATAGCTGACGAGGAGAAGTCGACGGGGGGCCATATTGAAGTATAGGGGATCGATAAGCTTAAACGTGACTGGATCAATCAAAGAAGAACTGGATGGTGAAATCCCGTAAAGCGATGGTGTGATCGAGGAGCTTCGATGCTATTTAAGTAGGTTTATGCTCCACTCACTTCCGTTAGAAACGCCATGATTACTCCTGCCGGAACTTTCGCGCAGTACATAACCGCTGGTAGCCCTCCGAATAACGATCATCAGCCAATCAAACATGGTTTTAGGGAGTGGATGTCACTCTGATGGAACTTCGGCGTAGGGTATGGGGACTTGGTAAGTCATCTCCGAGGTGGATGATTTCGTTTCTTACAGATAGCTGAGGGACAATCTTGTTATCATGCAGTAGGCTTGGGCCTGGTCAGCAGACCGGCGCCCCGGACGAGCCTGTCATAATCAAACCCCGGTTATGGGGTTGCGACTACGCCAATCAGTGCTGAAAAGCCTACTCCACCATGGCGGATCTTTACATGACACTTTTGTCACATTAATGCATTGCATTGATGTTCTGGTAACAATGAATGGCCTCGTTCGGAGTTTTCGCTCCATTCCAAAGGCCGAAGCCGATAGGTATTGTCTCTCTATTGGGTCCTTAGAGAGGCATCTCCACTGCAGATCGACAAGGGGACACCGAGCCGAGCCCAATGGAGGGCATCAGTGCTGGGTTCTGGCGTACTTTTCTGGGGCCCTTTCGGCTGTCCTCTTGCCTTTCAAGGCTAGTGAGCCCACTTGACATTTGCCCAGTGTCGGAAAGCCAGCTTCCGACAGCCGTCGCCTGTTTCGCTTCATTCATTAAGATGTGCGGAACATACTCCGCGGAGGAAGATGCATTGATCGCAGCCTTTGGTACTGTCTGCAGATGACAGAAGGTTGGTTAGTTGGCCATGTACGGGGCGCATGGGGCGCATATGTCTATTGATGTGTGAATCTCCCATTTAGATCAATTGGGACTAGGGCCATGATAACTGCGGTATACGTTGAAGTACAGAATAACTCATATATTTGGGAGTTCATTAATCTGTTACAACAGTTGTTCTATCACATCCATCTATGGTCTGCAATTGTTGGGTAGGTTGGAGACCTGAACCCTAGTCAATAGAAGAATGGTTATACTCCCAATGTCTCAGACCTTGCATATACAAGATTATATGAAGAAAGATCTAGATCTGGAAGATAGCTACTATAATGTTTAGAGTAATGATATGGTTGCTATTGTATAATATCACAGGCAAGAGAAAAGGAAAATACGCGTCAAAGTTTGCCCAGACCACCCTAATCGAGGGATACGGAATAATATGAAAGGCTATAGGCCCTTTCTGGTATTATCTTTTGCCCAAATAATGGTTCCCGTCTATGTACTCAACATTGCAATCTACCTGATACTAATGGAAAGAAGAGCCCCTCCTGACCTATTCTTGCAACCCAGCTCAAAGTAAGCACTCATTCAAACGTTTAGGTTCTGGGTCCTGACATGTTCGCACTACATATTCCAGAGCAGGTTCTGCTATTCTAGATCTATCCTTTAAAGCCACTGGCCTTGATAGTTCTAATGCAAGGGTTGAAGATATAATGCTACTTGTTCATCTGCCATAGTTCACAAGCCAGGTCTACTTTTCAGGCAGCGTATGCGTCTAAATATAGAAAGGAAGTGGATACGGGCCACGGGTCCTTTGCCCTAGTAGCCCGTATTGGTCTATTGCGATATCAAGATCGGCACAGATAAAGATGGTTGCAAGAGGGAAGGACTAGTGCTATATGATCACTGATTGCTGTAGATTAATAAATGCACACCCCACCAACGGACAGTCACACAAGATAACCTCTATAAAAACACCAAGTAACTGCTAGTAAAATGTGATCAAAACCCATCCCACCGTTCGAAATTCCCAGCATCCAAGCCAAACATATCCAACATCCTGCCCACACTCTGCGTAACGATATCATCCACGCTCTGCGGCATCGTATAAAACGCAGGCATGGGCGGAAAGATCACCGCTCCATAACGGGTTAGATCTAACATATTCTCCAAATGAATGCCACTGAGCGGCGTCTCCCTCACGACCAATACAAGTTTCCTCCTCTCCTTCAACGTTACATCGGCTGCTCTGCAGATCAAGTCATCGGCGAACCCCGTCCGCACCGCGCTCAGCGTCCTCATACTGCACGGCACGATGATCATCCCGTCAGCCTGAAACGAGCCGCTCGAGATGGCTGCGGCGGCATCATTCACCGGGTAGGTTCGGGTAGCGAGGGCGCGCACGTCGTTCGCTGTATACTTGGTTTCGTATTTGATTGTCTCGACCGCCCAGCGGCTGATGACTAGGTGCGTTTCGACGTTCATTTCTCGCAGGCGTTCGAGGAGGCGGATGCCTAGGATTGCCCCCGTTGCGCCTGTCATTGCGACGATGATTCGCATTGGCCGGGTTGGTTGGGTCTGAAGACGTGTGGATTGTGGGGTTGTTTCTGTCATCGCCATAGCTGGTGCCTTTGTGTCCCATTTGTAGGGAAACCGAGATATGCGTAGATTCGGGAACCGGTTTGTTAGGTAGAGAAGGCTCCCTACAAGGACGATGATAGCACTGCCAATCCAGCCCATCTTGTGCGACGGTACATGTGGTGTTCTGAGGTTGGAGTTTGCGATGGACTGCAGTGCCGGCCTTATACTGCATACCTATGCGGGTATACTATAGGACAGCCGAACTGAACTAGCCTATAGCTATCTTTCTTGTGGATTCCAGGTTATGCTTTGGGAAATATCCTCAACATTTTGGTAGTTACCTCCCCATATTGTTGCCGTGATATCTAGAGCCTGTCTAAGCGAAAACAAGAATTGGAGAAAAATTCTCAGCAATTCTACCCCATTGACGACATTTAATATTCTTGCAACAGCGTATGCAGCAGCTATACCATAGCTGCTAATATTATAGGGTCAGCTGCTCGGTTGCGGGGCCGATCAATGGCGAATTGGGGTACGTGGTGGTCTCGAGATCCCCAAATTGGGGAAACTCGGGTGATTGTTCCGACTGCATGTTGACGTTGAGTTATGCAAGGACTATGGTATGATGCATGTCGTAGCGCACGAGACAGAGGGCGTTACTATTTAAGTGGAATGGAATTACAATGTAAACTTTAATGCTTTCGGTTTGTTACGAAGACAAAGAGCGGACCTCGTCTAAATTTGCTACCTAGTCCTATCGTCGATTCCGTGCCCACGAAGGTTTCCAGGCAATATGGACTACACTGCTGCTGCGAAAGACTTCCGCCGTTTCATTCAAGAGCTGGAAGATGAAGGAGAGCTCCTGACAATTACCAAGGAAGTCGACCCCAACCTGGAGCTCGCAGCCATCGTGCGAAAAGTGTGTGAAACCGGAGAGCGAGCCCCGTTGTTCACAAACCCTAAAGGCCGTAAGGACAACGGGTTGTTTCGCGTCATCGGAGCCTCCATAGGGTACAGCAAGCGTCCTGGCATGCAGCTTTGTCGATTAGCTAAGTCGCTTGGGCTTCCATCCTCTGCTACTGGCCATGAGATCATCCACAGGATCAACGAGGCCAAGTCGAAGCCTCCAATCCCATGCCGGAAACTCGAGACCGGCCCCGTCAAAGATCATATTATTCATGGTGATGATATAGATCTGACGCAGTTGCCTGTCCCACTTTTGCATGAGCATGATGGAGGCAAATTCATCGAAACAATGGGCATGCATGTCGTACAGAGCCCTGATGGGAAATGGACTAATTGGTCCATCAGTAGGGGCATGGTTCACGGCAAGCGTGAGCTGGTTGGACTGGTGATCCCAAGACAGGACATTGGGACAATATTCAACCTTTGGAAGGAGAAAGGCGAAGACATGCCATGGGCTGTATGTTTCGGGGTGCCGCCTGCGGCCATCATGGTCGGCGGCATGCCCATTCCCAAGTGGACCAACGAGCCGGAATTCATCGGTGCCTTGACCGACGCCCCAGTTGACATTGTTAAGTGCGAAACAAACGATCTCTGGGTGCCGGCCAATGCAGAGATTGTGTTTGAAGGGGTGGTTTCGATTAGTGAAACTGCTCCAGAAGGCCCCATGGTCGAATATAATGGCATGGTTTTCCCCGGACATCAAACTCAGTGCCCTATCTTCAAGGTCAACACCATTACTTACCGCAACGATCCTATTCTCCCAATCTGCGTCGCGGGCCGAGCTCCAGACGAAAATTCCACCATCTGGTGCACAATGCAAGCTGCAGAGGTCCTTAACATCTGTCAGAAGGCCGGCCTTCCTATCAATATGGTTTGGTGCCCGTTTGAATCACATTGCTTGTGGTTTGTTCTCCAGGTGAATCACTCGAAACTTGTGGAAATGGGCACGAATATGGAGGAATTCTGCCACAAATTAGGACATACCGTATTCGGTTCCAAGCCAGGATGGTTTATCCCGAAGATCTTCTTGGTAAACGACTACATTGATCCAACCAATCTCTCAGATGTCATCTGGGCTGAAGCAACACGTTGTGAGCCTGGCAGGCATGAGTTTATTTTCACCGAATATTCCAACATCCCCCTCATACCCTATGTCACACACGGCTTGCCGTCCAAGTCCGGAACGAATGGGAAAGTTGTCAAATGCTGTATGCTGCCCAGTGAGTTTACAGAAAAAACGCTGTCATGGAAAGAAGGGTCTTTCCAGGGTGCCTACCCGGAGGACGTTAAGAAAAAGGTGCTTGAAAACTGGACAGCGTATGGCTTCCCGCCTCTCTAGGTGACACGGTACTTCTATTTCTCTTGTTAGATAAACTCCTCTGTCATAATAGCAAGTGCCAGGGACATACTATCATATCACATTTCGCCTGAACTCCAACCCATAACTTGCCATTCAAAGAACCAAACATGCATATTGTAATTTAGAAAAAGACAAGAAGATATATATATCATAGAGAATCACCTCCAAGCACCTATACCAGGGAACCCGCCGCGCCCTACGCTAGAACTTGCCGCCTGGATAGCCTTCTTCTTCCCTAGAGAGCCCTCTTGACTCCGCACCCCAGCAACAATCTTATCGATATTCGTTTCGACGACAACGCCACCGACAATCATCTCACTCAGCACCGCATGCATCGTTTCATACCCGAAGATAAGATCCAGCTCGCATACATTCTCGAATATGCGGTCCAGCGCCTCGACGAAGACTTGAATCAGATCAATAAGCGCAAGCGGGGACTCGGTAGATGTTGAAATCATAATGAAAGAAAGAGTTGCATATGTCCGGTAGGTCACTTGTGTTGGGGCATCGGATGGGCCCTCTGCGCCGGAGCTAGCACCCCGAGAGAGTAATGGAGGGAGAGGCAGGAAGTTGCAAGCGCTTGGTGGACGCTGGGCGACTAGAGCGTAGGTCTGTTGTATAAGTGATTGTTTCGTTTGTGTATCCTATTTTCAAAGTGGTCTTGTATTAGCTAGTTTGCCTAGGAAAGGACGTGCATATTTAACCAACTAACAATCTGGGTGTAGAACTTGCTCAGCCGCGGCTGCCCATTATTGTTGAAGACGAGAACCGCGTTGATCATTCTGACGTTTTATGTATCGTATATCTCTGTTCAACTGCGCAAAGGGATTATAGGATATTGTATGAAGTTGATATTAATATATCAGTTGACGCTACGGAGTTATTGTAAGCTCTCTTATCGGCCTGAATCCGCGGGGCGGCATGTCGGCAGAAATACCCTTCCGAGATTTCCCCAGTGCTCGGAAGACTTTCTTATCCTGGATTTTATCTGGAGAAGCTCTCGGAGCGCAAACACAATGCTGTCGTTTCTTTACTGATCTATATCTTGATACTCCACCTATCGCTCTCATACAAGACCAAAATCGGTGATCTCATGATGAAGCACACAATATACAGATGTACAGCTTGCTCGAGCCAACGACTTCCTTTCACTCTCCGACGAGCCCTCTCAACCGCCATCACCCCGAATCCTCCCTCGAACCCGAACAAAGTTCCACTCCACGACTTGACTCCTGCGGATATCTCCTACTACTGGGATACTCGAGTACCAAATGAAACTGACTTAACCTACGCCGACAAATTCTTCGCACCTTCTCGCCACTCCCCGATCAAAATATGGTCCGCTAGCAAATTCCGCACTACTCCTATGTCATCAGTAGAGCCTGAAGTTGCCTTCCTTGGTCGCTCGAATGTCGGGAAAAGCTCATTATTGAACGCCATCATGGGCAAAGAGATATGCTGGACTTCTTCAAAACCGGGGAGAACGAGAGAGATGAATGCGTTCGGAATCGGGGGTACGAAAGGCGGCGAGTCGAAAATTGTTCTGCTTGATATGCCGGGGTATGGAAAAGCGAGTAGGACGGAATGGGGTATCGAGATTATGAAGTATCTTCAGGGAAGGAGGCAGTGAGTACATCCCCGGTTGTACTCGGGATATTCGATCCACCCAAGCTGACTTGTAAACCCGCGATCCTAGACTTCGACGGGCTTTCCTCCTTATAGATAGCTTACATGGTCTTAAGAAGAAAGACGAGGACATCCTCATGCTTTTTCGGAAACATGCCATTCCGCACCAGATCATCATGTCAAAAGTGGATAAGATTTTGGCTAAGAAGAAGAGTCAGGTGAAGAGCGGAGCATCAGCGGCAAAAGTCGCTACACTACAGAACTTGCTGCAAAGTTATAGACCAATCCTTCAACCTGATGGTCGGATGGAAGGACCTGGTGCCTTAGGTGAGATCCTGACATGCAGTGCAGAGACGCCCATCGGCCCCGGAAAGTCGTTAGGGATCAGCGCAATCCGCTGGGCTATTCTGTCGGCTGCTGGATTTGATGGGATTATGAAAGCGCAACCCGTACCCACCGAGTCGCAGGTTGCTCACATCTCTACCACTGCATCTTGAAATGTAGTTCAAGAAGCACTCCTGTCTTTGAAAAGGAGTCAGTTAAACCGCGGAGGTGACTTGCTTATAACATCTAATCACAGGGTGAATCCCATAAGGTGGCAATCAATGCCAGGCCCTGCAAGCAGTACTTACTCCTTAGTAGCAGCTTTGAGGGTTGTTAACATTAGGTTGCGGTCCGTCAGCATGGCAATTTACGGCGGATCTCTTTCATCTAAACTTCCCCACGGAAGTTTTGTGTCTCCTAGAGCCACCATTGAATAGAGTCTACGCCCGCCTTTTCAGCCTAGGTAGCTATATTGAGTTGGCATGGTTGTTGAATAACCACTTGTCGTGGAGAACTCGAAATGGGTCTGATCTCATGACGGCGAGGGATTGGTCCTTCGAAACCTAGAGATCCAGGCATGAATATCTTTGCTTATTCATCGTTAGTGATGGCACTGCTTCTATCAATGAGGTAGACCACCTTTTTGTCGGTGTAGAGTTGGCATCCAGACTGCCGGCATTTGGAGCTTATAAATACATAAGAATATCACCAAACCAATGTCCTCCTTTTCGTTACTTGTGGGACTCATAAAATAAAAATGTCAATAGTATGTATTCTATAAGAACCGATCATCAGGCATACAGGAAAAGCTGATGCGCTTGTCTCTGGTGATCAAATTTAGAGATATGCATGTGAGATATAGCAGTGGCACGAAACATGGCGCAAAGGTGAGGGGTCATAGTAGGATATAATGTAGTAAACGGGTAAGAGTGTGATAAAATAATCATTTTGGATACCAAAACGCCTGGTCATCATAACAGCATGTCAAAAGTATGCCAACCGCGCTATGCAAAGTATAATGAAGAGAGCAACTCCTTGAGATTGGGTATCATTAATATTTCATGCCTCCAAGTCCAGAAAAGAAAGAAACCACCGGTGGTGATGATATTCGTCAACGTCAACGCAGGGCATGCGCGGCATACAGGGCCCTACCAAGCGGTGAAACGAGAGCAAGCTCTGGCTGCTGCGATAGTATCAGGCGTCAGACAGATCATAGTCTTCGTCAGCATCGCTGACTTCCTGGCCCCAGCGATTAACGACTATACGTCTGCCTAGCTGATCTTCTGGTACCGCGTCGCGAGAAGCACCAAAGTCGAGAACCTGCACGAGAATCAAGTCAGCGAGGGAAAAAGCAGATACCTAACCAACTGAGCCTACCTCGATATAAGTCAAACTATCACGCTGCACCGCAGCAACACATTTTCGGTCGTTGAACTTGACCTGCCATACCCCGCTAAGGTCGGTGAGAAGATCTCGCACGCACTCCCCAGTCCGCACATCCCACATTTTTAATGTCCTATCAGATCCTGAGATAACCTTCTGGCCATCATGCTGAAAGCATGTGATAGCACCTGTATGAGCGCTCAGCATATTTTTGCATTTACCATTTTCTGGATCCCAAATCCTCAGGGTCGAATCTGCAGCTGCTGAGACCAGTCGATCACACTTCAGGTCAAGCAGCCCAACCAGGGAGGAGTGGCCCTCAAGGTCGTACAAAAGAGCTCCGGTTTCGAGGGACCACACTTTCACCATGTTATCCATGGAGCCACTAATACAGCGGTTTCTTTTGTGGTCTAGCACCACGCTGTACACTTTTAAGGAATGGCCTTGGAGTCGGTGAAGAGCTTCTCCAGTGGAAATCTTCCAGACTCTCACCGTGCAGTCATAGCTTCCGCTCACTAGAGTATCCCCGTGCGCAGCGATCGTGCGGACGGAGTGCTGGTGCCCTGCAAGAACGCGGACAAAGTAGGGGCAGTCAGTATCGTCGCCGTGTGGTCCGCTTTGGTAGTAGACAGGATCACCCGGTTTAGGCAGCTTCCAAATTCGAAGATTCGAGTCTCGTGAGCCAGTGATGATCAAGGGCTCCTTTGGCATCATCTCAGGGGTGCCGTCTGCCTTTTTCCCCACTTCTGTCGGTAGAACAATTTGCAAGCATCGTACTGTGGACGTATGACCGTGAAAAATCTGAGTACACCTCGCCCTTTCGATATCCCAAACTCTCACTGATCTATCAGTCGAACCAGAAACCAGAGTATTACCGTAGTACTCGAGGGCCCAAACACCACCCTCATGTCCCTCAAGCGTCGCCCTCAAAGCTCCAGTCCTAGTGTCGTACACATTGATATTGGTATCATCACTGCCAGTCAAAACCTTATCCGTATCAAACTGGAGACAAGTGACAACATGACGATCATGGGCTCGAAAAGCGATATGACGTGGTTTCACATTGGGTTTCATCCAACTTGTATGGATTAAGTGGTGCCGCTGGTAGAGGGATTTGTAAAGATGCAGCCCTCGCAGGGACGGTAAGCCAATATCTGGATATGGAACAGCTGCGGCTGCAGCGTTCGCGGCAGCATAGGGCCCTTCTACCGCAGTGACTGACATTCTCCAATCAGAGGATTCGGGATTATCGGTCCCGCTGGATGATAATTTTCGTTTCGCAAGCTTGCGGCTAGAGACTCGTGTACATGCTTTTCTTTTCGGGCGGCGATGCGCAGACGTCGGCCTATCACTAGGCCCTGGCAGTGGTTGCAGAGAAGGAGAACCGGACTCGGGATCAGGTTTGATTACAGGAGACGACATGCTTAGGTCCCTCTCGTAATCTTCGCCCCCGTTGGGAAACTGCCATCCCCACCCTTCCCTAATTGCACGCTCCAGCTCTCCTTCTGGGAGAACATATCCATCTCTATCGAAAAGTTCCTTCCAACTCTTTTCATCAGAATTGATGATATGCCTCCATTTCTTAGAAACTTGTGCGGCACGGCACATTGTCTGAACGTCAAAGTATTTCACAATATTTAGGCTTAGTTCAAGCGGCAGAAGAGCCAGGAAATCGCATTTTAAGGCTGGATTGACGACATCAGCAACGAAATGCAGAGTCGGCTTCGGACACCGCCTCAGCAACTGGTACATAAGGTAGGTCTTCAGCCCTTCGGGAACAGAGTCAAAGAAGTCTAACACACTGGGGATATCCATTAACGACGTCGGCCGTAGTGTATCGGAACTTGTGGGTAAAAGGTTAGGTCTGGAACGGTGCGGAGCAGTAGTCCTCAGTTCTTCTGCACGTAGAGAGCTCACAATGCGATGATCGTTGTTGTCGAAGCTGGAATCTGTATCGGCTTCGGGATCCTCGGCCGAATCAAAGGACGAGTCGACATTCATTGCATTCATCGCAGCCACGGGAGACAAGCTGGGGCTTGGTAGGCACATGTCCTGGACAGTCACGCCACCAAGGTTTGTGAATTGTGATATCGACTCCAGAGAGCTTTGCTGGGGAGCTTCCTGAGACGTTTCATATCCAGTATCTTGGCTCGTGGAAGTTCCCGATTCATCTTCTGGCCCGCCGTCTGTCTCTAGCTCTTGCGGAATGGCTAGCCTGCTTGGGTCACCCTCTGAACGTGTCAAGCGTCTGCTCCTTTCGGGGACAACAGTCGATTCAGGTTGGTCTTTTCTAGTACTGGGAGCTCTGGAGCCCTCCTGGGATTCGACTCCGGAAGACAGAGGTGGGCGTAGCAGTGGTTCCCTGCGAGACGCATTCGCACTGTGAATTCTCCTCCTAGGTAATACGCTTTCACCTGCACTATAGTTGTTGCTTTCCGTTTCAGGCGTCGCCAAACCAGCCACCACAGGATGTGTTGGTGTGGAGCCATGTGAACGGGTCGAGCGAATCGAATGTTCTGATGGAACTCTGGCAGGATACGGTCGCAAAGAGCCCTGACGAGTTTCTGGGACTGCTAGTGCACGATGTTGCTTGGAGTTCGACTGCTGATTGGATGGTTGACTAAACCCTTTGGGAGGAGCAAATCGACGAGGAAGCTGAGTATCATCAGAACATATTGAAGTCACAGATCGAACTAGGCCGTTAGAGGCTCTCAACGCATCGTCCTTTTCCCTCAACTACGAGCAGCACATTAGTGAAGGCCAGATGGGCAGAATAGCCAAACCAGCGACAACCAGATAAAAAACGTACCTCATTGACGGCGCTTACGGTATCATCTGGTTCATTGAATACGATGGAATGACCTCCAATCTCAAATTTGATGTTCTTCAACGACGAAGGAGTGGGGGATGATGCTAGAGGATACAGCTTAGGGTCAAGTTCTCGCGTTGCGCGGGGTGGCTTTATAAATAACGGAGGGAAAGTCGTCGTCGTAGTAGTCGTGGTGGTCACAACGGTAGTTCGAGTAGCAGGGGCAAATGAAAATTGACCGACAGAGCCAGTCTTTGACACATTATCAAGCCCACTGTTATTGTCTTGATCGTCCATATTGTATGTCCAGCGCGAATATATCGAGGGTCCAGTGAACGATGTCTAGCTGAGGTGCATGGGAGACGCGTCTCCTTGTGCTGATAAGGGCTCGACTTCGGCGATGTCGGCAGTTATAGGGACATCAAGGTACTGTCGTTATTTTTTTTTTTCTTGTAGTCGTACTCAACAATAATAGAACGCAAAAAGAGTGAGTTGCTATCAAAAAAGCCGGTGATGCTCATCCAGGGAAACGATCCGGTATATCGAGGGCGGTCAGCACGGTACATACACGCCTGTAAGAACCATCTAAGTGCCGAAGAGGGTGAAAGCGGTGATTAAAACACGGCCATAAGGACGGCGTGTCGTACTTGACTAAGAAAAGGGAATGGAGGAAATAGAGAAAAGTGGGTGAAAGAAAAAAGGACAGCCGTGGCGTGCTCTGCTGACAAGGAGGTGGCGGCGGAGGGAGAGGTGGAGGTGCCAGGTTGGTCGTGCCTCCTCTGGTGGTCTTAGTTTTTCAGTGTATTAGATCCCGTTAGTTACCCAAGGGAGACACTAGGGCGGATTAGCCCGATTGGGCGGACTCCCGAGGCTCTCTCCCCCGCAGGGACTTGTCAAAGCACAATCGATCGATATTAATCAGAAAATCTTCTCATAACTAATAATACTAACACATAATCATAACTCGATTACCCATGGACGTTCGGATACATCAGACAAAACACCAACAAAGTCTCAATCATATGTTATATATAGAATCCCCGATTCTAAGCGCATCTTTACCCCCGAAATATTTTTCCGGTATTACTTAAGGCGGTGCCCTGGATATGAAAGAAAATATATATATCAGCAGAAGGATTCGGAGGTATGTAGCCATAAATAGAGCATGGCCATGACCTAAAGATCTACAAACTCTACCATGTTAAGTCATTAGTGATGTACCTTATTCATGAGGGAACGGTGAGAGATACTAAAAGCTGTACACGTACACATACTCCCTAGTAGACATGTATCTCTTCGCTTAGCAAATGCTCAAGATGAGTAATTTACTTGGTTGACAGTACTACTAGTACCTAACTATCCTGTCTTTTTGACATATCATCGCTTACATGCTCTCTAGACTTGAATCGTTCATTCAGTTTCCCTTCCCCCCCCGGTTCTTTTTGCCTTTCTGTTGCCCTTCCACATAACTCTCCTAATCAGGAGCCTCTATGCTCAGATGACTTCAACTGGAACCTGCACGTCCTCAGGGAGGGGCCACTATACGTGAAATACTCCGAAAATTACAATACGATGCAAAGGCCAGACTTATCAGAAGCCCTCGACTGGAATGATAAGAAACTGACTTCTCTGATGCAACCAAAAAAAAAAAAAAAAAAAAAAGAAAGAAAAAAAAAAAAAAAAAAAAAAAACAATAAAACAAAAAAAAAAAAAAAAAAGAAAAGACAGTGGATGAAGCAAAGAACGGCGATGATAGTGGACCCAAAAGTAACAAGGGCCCACTTATTTTTCCTTACAGATACCAGGGGTAATCACAAAGACGTAGGGATGCGATGCAGGGTGAGAGGGTTAAGCAACAAATAATAGGGATAAGCATTAAATGAGATTCAGGTTGTTTTCCATAGAACTACCTAATTCGAACCTTACTAACTGGAGTTGATGCTATCTTGGAGTTATGGGAATACTTTTCCTGAAAAGGCACGCTATACCCTTTTCGACAACGTTTGACAAGCACTGCACTGGGCAATACTACACTGACTAGAATAGATGCCAAACCACGAGATGGGTGGGTATTACAGAGTGCTTCCTTTAGGTACTAGTATTCTATTCTTATTCCCAAGAAGGCTAGAACTTTGACACAGATCTGTAGAAAAGTTTATTGGCAGGAACTGTGACAGCGGAGCAGTCTTGTAATATATCCACAGAATAGTACTGTGTTGCGGGGAAGAGAGTTACGTACTTCGTACAATATTCTATATGAGGGGGGACTAATCTGAAGTACCATGGAAATTTGCCAGTTTGCTGTTTCAGCCGGAGTTTTGTTTCCCAAGGTAAATGCGTACCGTACTCTCTCCGGTCGCGTATACCAGCCAGATGTCCTACTACTAAGTACTTTTCTGCAAAAGTGTCAAGCCGTCAATGTATTCGCTAGTCCCCGATAACCGTCCGCTTCTATATTTAGCTTCCATAGTAGTAAGCTTCCTGGAGTCTTCTAGTAACAGTGGAGCTGCGTTTTACCCCAGGATAGTTGGAACAGGTCGGATACCTTCACTGAGGTATTCTCAATCCTCGGTGGGGACTGCAGAAAAAACCTTCTTTCTAGGGAGAACCAAGACCAAAAACGGAATTTTTGGTACGAATGGTTCACATACCAAAGTCACGGGATTTGATCGGCTTCTGAACACATCTATATTTCCAACTTCACCTCTTGCGACACGAACTTCTGCTTCGTGCATCGGCTTGAACTGGATGTATAAAGGAACCCAAGTCTGAGGAATATGTCTAATAAATCAATAGGAAAAAGTAAACTATAGCTCCAAACAGAAGGCAATCCCTGCATTACGGTGGAGAAAACGAAGCCGAAACAGCTCATGACAGGAAACAACCCGAGCCTCCCGTGACCTTAACCTGTATTCACCTTATGTCGTCAACTTGACTCTGGATCTATGATAGACAGTCCGCTAGCTGAGTGCGCAGTTTGACCAATCATCCCGCAACAATCGTTGCTCTCCTTGCCCCAGCTTCATTCTTTTCTATGCGTGATTCCCCATCATGGCCCGTATCAAGTTTACTGTGCCTGCATCGGCTGTTCAGGTACAGTCCGCCCGAGTTCTTCACGATAAGCAGAGCGCGACTGCTACCCGGAAGAAGACACAGACTGAAGTTGAGAATCCGACCAAGTCGGCCGTATCCGAGGGCTTGTCTCTGAAGCAGCAACAAAGTTTAGAGATGGTACAAATTATGCTACATGTATCGGTAAGCGTATCCAAGTTGAACTATCTTGAATACTTGCTTACAAAAACAATGACTAGTTTGGGACATTGTTTTATCTTCGGTGCGTGTCGCCGGCCGTGTTCCCTAATCTGATTGCCATTCTCATGTATCCATCATAGGGAGTTCTTACCACTTCCCTGCTTTGACGACCGAGACCTGAAAGAGGCCCAACGAGAACGCAGATATTCATACCGAGAATTCCTCGACCCTAAACCACGTCATGAAACTAATGGAGGCGACCCAGATATCGCATTCGGTAATGGAAAGAGAGGCCAGCCACTCAAGGTGATGATACGCGGCACGGATCCTAAGGCAGACATGATACTCGACGTTCTGGTACGATCTGCGAATCACTCCTACCCTTCTCCTTTTTATCTTAATACACACTCCCGCTATCTTTCACTAGGTGTTCTCATTGACTGATGTAGGAGAATGGCATCTTCGACGCTTTGCGCAAAAATATCCTTGAAGCTATCCAATTGACCATTCTTGTCGACAAGGATGCGCCGCAAAATGTCCTGGAGTCGTATACATTTTCATTCAAATATGCGAAAGGATCAAGAGATGTGGACCATTGCTTAGAGAGCTTGTCGATAGACCCTGTGGGTTACGTGGCTGATATGAGATCGGCACAATCAGCCAGGGTAGGGCTGGAAACGATAGTCAGGCGTTTGATAACACTCAGCACCTTTCTACCTATTCTGCCTAGTACAGCAAACCTCCAAGAACCACAGAGATGATGACCTAACTTGATATAGATAAACGCAACTTGGGAGTGAACTTGTTCTACACGGAAGACTGCCCTTCTGATTATGAGCCTCCGGGCTTTACTATGGCAAACAATGACACGATAAGGTATCCACTTAATGAGAACTGGAGAAAAGAGACTCAGTCATGTGGGACGATGAACAGTGGATGGCATACGTGAGCATGTCCCGTGCTTGCCAAATCAAATCACTCCTACCTAACGAGACCAGTGTTGGGCTTAGGGTCACATCTCTTAAATGGACGGGGCCAGACCCTGAGGGGTCGGAAACACTACCCACAGTACCTTCACAGATCGAGTACACAGATGAGGTTTCAAGAGCAGACGATATTGGATTTGGCGAAGAGCCGAGTGATTTGCGCCGCATTGAAGCAGGAAATGGCGTTGACTCAGATGATCATCTGGCTTTGGACCGGTCATTAACGTACCATGACGATAGTAGCTTTCAAGAAACAACGCAAGACATTGCCGATAGGCGAAAGCTACAAAATATGATGCAAGTGGGTGCTCCTGAATCTTGATAGTCGTAACTTCGTTTAGAATACGAATTCTAACCAAAGCAGACCCAGGCATCTTCCTCTTACTCTGATAGTGACCTCATACCAACACAGCCCATCAACCCTGATGTCGCAATCGAGGATGAATACGATTCTACAACACAATTGCACTCAAAGTGGTTTCTCCCGGAGGAACGAATTACAAAAATCAGAGAACACCTACGTTTGCAAAAGCAGACGCTCGATCTACCTCGTTCTGAGAGCCAATCTCAGGGCCTGGTCAGATGTCAGTGTGGGTGGAACGGCGAGGAAACAGAGATGGTACGTTTATAGGGGCGTTGAAGAAGCAGGGCTAATGTTATCAGTTAAAATGTGTCTTCTGTGGCACGCATCAGCACCTCCTGTGCTATGGTTTCGATGGCCCGAATGACCCGAAAATCCCTGACGTTCATGCTTGTTATAAGTGCTTGCTGGGGCCAAATGATGCCCAGCTGCTCCAGGAAATGAACAGCCTCGTACTCCTAAGACGAGCTCTAAGGATCATTTTAGATGAGGGATTTCCGAATAAGATCTCAGAATTTACACAAAAGCTTCGTAAGACGACACAGAAAACTGCGCTGGGACCAAACTGACCGCGAACAGACTGTAACGGGCAAACCATCATCCAAATAACCGACATTCTGAAGAAGAAGGGGTTCGTTCAACCCACACCAGGCTATAAACTCAAGGGATTTGCCCGACGGGGGTTGCCAAAGTATAGCGTCCCACAATCAGAGAATGTCCGCCAAAGGTTAAAGAAGGAAATATTTCACCCCATGGTGAAAATTAAACACCTTGTAAGTTGCATACTAGTCTTTCAAAAGGTAGCAAAGGATACTGACGATCATCACAGTACGCCCTGACTAGTCCGGATGGTCCGAATAACCTGGATCCAAATTCCATCAGCCAAGAGCTTGACCCCCTTGATGCTCCTACTATAGCTGGGAACACGCCATTTGATGGGCTCGGACAGAAGACACATAATTCCACCGGAGGCCTGCAGGATCTGCCGGTAAAGAGCCCGGATCACAAGAGAAAGCCGTTACCGGATAGTGATAAAAATGAGAGCTATGAATCCGACGACCTTGATAAGAATGACCGGGCTGCAGAGGAGCAACTGCATAACAGCTTCCTCACTGATGAGAGCATGAGCTCAAAAGCTAGGGTACCGAGCCAGCGGACATCTGACAGTCAGGGACCTCGACGTAGTGGCAGGAAAAGGCGTAAGATAAGCAATTACTCTAAGCTTATCGATGTTGGGGCCGAGACGAGCGACCATGAGAGCATCTAGACTGAGAGGATGTTTCTGATAGCGTATAGTGGTTGTTTGGCATGATATTATGGCTTTTAATGACGGGGAAGATAGGGTGCTGGGGTCGGATCAGAAAAAAAGCAACAAAAAAAAAGGGGGAAATGAAAAGAAAAGGGAGTGGCTAGGTACTTGAAACATGGCAAGCACTTGAACAGGGCGTCAGAGGCAATGGAGGCAAAGTGTTTCTACTGAGAATCACCTTCATGGAGAGTGTTTTTAAAAGGCTGAGGCTTGGTTGCCTCGGCAAAAGCAATGTGCGTCTGATGGATTGTTATGGGAGGGTACCCAGGAAAGATATCAGAAAACCCAGAGGACTGATACCTAGTGTGTATTCCACTTTTGAAGGTGGGTTGTGAAGAAACTGGATTTCATAGTGGAGCATCTTGTACCCGTAGGTCACATATTCGCATATACAATGGGCTGAAACTGGAAAATAACGGGTAGTTGCTCCAAGAAAAAAAAAGTGCCGCTGGTATGTAACGAGACATCAATCACTGATATATTCAGCAACAATGAAGCTCTCTAAAATTACCGTAGTGTCTTCAGAGACCTCGGATACATTCCTGCGTCATTGATTTAGGATCATCCTGTAGGGCAGATATGCTTTCTCGGATCTCTGATGACATTCGGTTATGTGTCATTAGCCCGGAGGGAGGACGATCAGATATGTTGAAATGTTGAGATCTTTATCAACTGCAAGGCACACTTTGACGGGCCCAGATCAGCGATTACCCCTTGCACCGTGATCGTGCATGGAGCGAATCAAGAGCTAGAGCGGAGAATTCTGATGGGGAACTCGTCAGATTTGGAATCATAATGAGGGGTACGAGAAGGCCTGAGCTCAGCCGATCCACGCCTGTATTCCGTCTTTGTCCTGTGTTCTCCGTATTGTGGGCTGTACTTGATCGATTGTTGCTATGGTTGGAGTAGTCTAAGTGGACGGGTGGGTTTTTCTCAGCGTGGGATCCATGTCACCCTCTGTGCGCCTGATCAGATCCAGGTCGACCATACTCTGTATTGCAAGGGATGTGGGATACTTATAGATCAGCCGAATGAAGACTGAAAAGAAGAGAGAAAAAAAAATTCAAAAAAAAATTCAACGTTAAAACAAAGTCATCCACTGGTAATGGTCGCGACCGGCAGTTACGAGCGGCTCTTTTGCAAGTCCATTATTGCGATTGCTCGAGGCTTTCAATACATTGGTATCAGACCGTGGTTGAACTCGGAATAGTTGCACTTTTATTTTTGGCGATGGAGCAATTTGACACTGCCGAGTTGAATGGCATCGCCTGTCAGCATCTGATCGGTAGCGAGCGACTCCTTTTTTGTGGCTTCGTCTCAGTTCATTAATGCCCCGCGTGGGGAATTGGTCACCCAGCAGACCGACGGTCGAAGGCGCATAGACAGGGTGTTTTTGCTGAGCCCCTATTGTCGACTCTACTACTCCGTACCGAGTGTTTAAGTGAAACACTAGCAATTTGTCATCTTTAGTCGATCCCCTATTTTCGTTCTGCGGAGAACCCAATTGATCCCAGCAAGTCGGATAGACAGAGGCGTTGGTGGCTTGGCAGATCTGCACTACACACAATAGACCAGAGGACAGACCCTTGATGCACGTAATCAGGGCAAAATGCGAACAGTTACTAGTTCTGCGCATCATTATCTCACTAACGAACGCCTCAGATATTCTACCGTCCGCTTGAACAGCGCATTCGACACCAGTACAGGTGTGGTAGGTACATACATACACTCTGGTGGCTGCGGCGGATGAAGTAGGGGGCTAAACCTTGCAAGTCCCATACTTTGGACGCATGTAAGATGGTCTTCAATGCCGAAGAGCATCTCTGTGGAGTAGAGAGCTTGAGACCATTATTCAATTGCTAGCGTGAAACCACAAGTAGCCGGGCAGGTTCATGACAGCATATCTTTGCCTCCCACGGGAAAGTGAGGCCTAATGTTTATTCCGCCCTGCCATGGAAATAATCAAATAGACTTGACGACTATTGATGACGATCCCAGCATCCTGGGGCAACACTGGATCGTCCTTTCAAGGTTGGGATTCAAGCACATGCGTGTCAAGCACCGAACCCCGATCATTGGACGTAAATCCCCTGCTCAAGTCGTGCGAACATCAGCGGGAAACAGATGGGTCGGACGACAAACCGCATTGCTCCATTGGTGTAGGACGACGTATCCGATATACTCCGCGGCACGGTGATCACTGTTGAAAACCTTTGTTCCTCTGAGATTGAGAGACTATTGCACGGGAGGCACTTGTGACTCCACCGATATGACGGCTAAAGATGGTATTGGCGCGCGGGAAGGTGATCAACAACTGGATGTACTCATCGGGTGGGATAGAAAGACGGGCGCGGCTTGAGGAAAGTTAAATGAGTATTTCCAGAGTTCTTCGTTCTACTCCGTAGTAGTTCGGGATCGAGCCCATGGATCGAGTGGTTGTCAGAACGGGTGGAGAACCGATAGTGCTCCTGGGTAGCCCCTTAAAGGGGCCTTAGGTGTGGAAATTATGGCTTTCGTGCCCTACCATGCAAAGTCATCCGCAATCTATTGCTTTGTTCTATCAAGGAAGGTTAGAGAGAATAATGAGACCAAAAACAATACCATTGAGACTATTAACGTTATTTCAATGGAGACCGCGACCTTTCAACCACAGTGAAGGATTACATTGGGATTGCCGGCGGACAGCCGCGTGGGAGCTGAGCTGCACGTGTCCGCCTCGTGTATCTCGGCCGCGGAGGATTGATTTGAACTTTGCTGCGTCAACGTCGACGGCAGTAATTCTCCTAGAAGGATTTAAATTTAAGATGAAGAACGGAAAAGAACTGCTATGAACCAACCTTGTTGAACGTACTAGTGATGCCTGTTATATTAATTGACCCTGCAGCTATACCAAAACCAAGAAGGACCTATCCTGGACCATAGTATTGCCCACGTATCTCGAGTTACCTGGCTATTTGATATGAGAAACTTTACCCATTGAAAGCCATTTGTCGCCGTACACACGTCACTGAAGGGACAATTGACCATGATTTGGCTAGTTTTTCTTTTACGTGAGTGGTGGTATGATTGAATGGTGGTCGCCTACTACGTATAGTACTAAGTAGTACTAAGTAGTAGTGCACACTCCTGGTCTCTGACCGGTCCACCGCACTAACCCAGAACCACTCTGGACTGAAGACAATGGATAGAACCATGGGTGGTACCTGCCGATAATTACTGATATTGTAAGAAGCTAAGACAAGGACTATCGAGTTGTGTACTCCGTACTATGGACACTGAATTTAAGTTGGCTACCCCGTTTATTGTTTGATGGAGCTTATTCAGTGGCGGTTTTCCTCTCTTTTCTTATTCGGGCTTTATCGGTACTGCCCTCAATGCTCCACCAACAAAGGTGAAGTCCCATCTGAGAACACGCACTCAATGGAGTACGTAGAGGATACGTGGATCTCTCTGTTTCGGGTTCTCCAGAACAAATCGCGCGTAACTAAGTTGTTGGTCCATGCGTGCTTTTTAGATTGCCTGGGGGCTTTTTTTTTTTTTTTCATTTTCTTTTTTTTTTTTTTTTTTTTTTTTTTTTTTTTTTTTTTTTTTTTTTTTTTTGGATACCTTTCCCATATTAGCCCCTTAAAAGCTAGAATTAATTTACTAGTACTGAGCGTTCTAAATCCTTTCCCACCCCGTCTTCAGCTGTCCAAATGTAATCCGAATTTATAGTGCCTAATAAATATCCTAGGCTCGCTCGGGCGGACTCTTAGTCTCCGATCAATTCCTTGTCTATTTGCTGTGCCTTTGCATCATTAAAAGGACATCTGTGACCCGCTCCTTTTAGCAATATTTGACGATTTTCTTACCAATTCTTGCCCGGGTCAAGACCCCCCACCAGTTAGAACCCCTGTTCCCTGCTCTCTTCACACCAGGGACTTCGATTTACCTAAATTGGATCTTGTATGCTGTCGACGAGCTAGTGGCGATCGGAAATGAAAAGTTCGTCGTGATTGAACCGAACAGCTTCTCACCGACTCACTGTGGGGAAGGACACTGGTATTTTGGGGTCGAAAAGTGCGAAACAAAAGCCCAATCCTGGACCAAGGGTAGAGAACAAGAAAAATAAACCAAAGCATATCTATACCCACGTCAACCAGCACCTGAGACGCATTGGGTTACACAAAACCTCGTCCTCCTTCGGCGCAGCATTAGAACTTCTCGTTCGACAATCGCCGCCAGCGACAATCGCAATTATTGATACAACCGGTTTGGGCAAGGCGAAAATTTCAGAACGGAAGTTCAGGTGATCGAAGCTTCCAAGATGCCCCAGCAGACCATGACGATACCAATGCGGACATCGAGTGTAAACGCGTTGTCGAACGGGATGCATATGTCAAATGCTAGCCATGAAGATTTGAGACGCGAATCAACGTCGAAAGCCCAGAAGATATTGGGTACGACTGAAATTCCGATGCCTCAAGATCAATCCCGGCGAGAAGACCGAAAATCGCGAGGGGCTAGCTTCATGAGAGCCCCGGATATCAAGTCGAAGAAAAGCGGCGGTTTTGCTGCGTTCCCTACGCCTACACCTGAAGCAACTTTACCACCACCACATCTCCGTGTTCGAGCATCATCCCCACTGCTCGGGCAGGAATATCGATCACAAGATGCCATGCCACCGTCTATCCCCACGCACTCTAAAAGGGTTCAGCAATCCGGCTCCTCATCTACACTGTTTTCCTATTTCAATTCCCGCAACTCTACTCTGGACTCTAATCCAAGTCACAATACGACAAAAGATTCCATAGCGACTGAAGAGAAGGGCTTTCGAGCGCAGCACAATGTCGAGCCACGCTTTGGTTTGAAACAACCGAAGGGTCCTATGAAGGACTCGAAACGGAAAATGCGCCCACCCAGAATAGATCTCTCTCTCCTATTCCCAAAACCACGAGTGGATGCTGCTCCCATGCTGTCGCCGCAACGATTGGTGAATTCGCCGTCTGCAATATCAATGACCTCCGAGCATCCCGCAGTCAAACCACAGAATTTTGACAACCCTGAACCTACAAAGAGAGTCACCAAAACTCCTCCTTCGGGTCACAAAATGAAGGGTCATCAAGCCACTGACGTCGCCAGCGAGTCTTCACCGATTTATGAGTCAGGCACCACAAACTGGCTTGATCCATCACTTGAAAGAACAGTACGCACCAGTGAGATGGAGATGGCTTTGAAACGATACAGCCAATTCCAGAAAGCTCCTCAGCCTAGTGAACCGACCCGATCCAGTCAGTTGCATTTACGACCACGGGACCGTGAACAACCACAAGCAAGTGATACAAAGTCTACAGGGAGCTCTTTGCGAAAGGTTCCATCTAATAGCTCCGCCGGGGGATGGAGCAGGGAACTATACTTGTCTCCCAAGTCTTTCTCCCGCCCACACAACAATCGTACTTCTGACTCGTCGAACGCACGGCACGCTGACTCACGCGAAAACCTCTCTGCCTACAAAAGTTCAATGTCGAAAAAGAGCAGTAAAAGTACTCTGAAAAATGTGGATCTTAATAAATCGAGCGTGCTTTGTCTTTCATCATCAGAAGACGAAGAGGATGAGGAGGAAGCGCCAGCCAAACATGACAAAAACATAAGAGACAGCGTAACGACCTACGCTGATTTCGAGGCTGAGATATGTACAGCTTCTGCAGCACAAACCACGAAAGGAACACTGAGACGAGTTGAGAGACCTTACTCAATGTCTGCTAGTAGCCGTGGGTCTCAGTCTGCCCGTCAACAACAGCAAACCATATTACGAAACCCATCAATGTCGTCTGCGGGAAGGTCGACCCTTGAAACGAGGAGTCACCGTTCGAGCGGTGTACCCACGATATCAGAACCCGACTTCCTCAATACCGATCCTATGGCTAGCCAAGCACGAAAACCTTCTCAGAGGGCACGTCTCCAGCAGAGCCAGTCGAACCGCAGAAGCCGAGTTATAGCCGTGACAAGGCAAGAAGAGCACTTACTCGAAGCAATGAGACAGCGGAAAGGCAAAATAACCCCTAGTCTTTTCCATGAAGCCCGTTACCAAGATAGCCACGAGCCCGATAGAAATTCTATGCTCTCGGTGCCTTCACGGGACTCATTCTACGGGTCCGACATGTCCTTCCTTCGACTCAGCCCTGGACTACCTCCTATTATGACACGGAAAGGCCAAGGTGCAAACCATTTTGATAAGGACGGCTCCATTTCCCAGGGCGCGACTTCTGATGCAGAACAGAAAACCATAAACTCGAACGCGTCCCCTCGAGTTAGCTTGATCTATTCGGAAAGTCTTCCTTCGCCAGCAACCAGTGGAGCTTCCCCATTGACACCAACCCTTCCTATACATCGCTTTTCTCCCCTCCCATCACAAAAGCCGCCCCCGCGCAACCCGCCTCCGGCTATACCACCAGTTCAACGGCGACATTCAAGGCGACGTACCGATAGTAGCGAGGCCATCGTTTTAGGCGACGCCGAGGAACGAAAGGAAACGGACGATTTCCCAATTTGGGCCTTGGGGTGGGGAGGTAATGATAATGCCAACCTTACAGCAGTACACTGAAAGTCAGACTGTACCCAGTCACATTCCATAACACCCCGGTCCTTTATTACTGTCATGAACGAATCACTCATCCGCCATTATACCCCTAGGTCTCGTCATTGGTTGACGCACCTGCAACACATGTCACACTTTTCCTAATTCTTATTATATACACTCATTATTTCTATCACTATCTCACTCTCTGATCTTTTCCCATCTTGATTGATTACCTACCATTCGCTGTTCCATACATTTCCTTGTCGTTCTTACATACCACACGATGACTGGCTAGACAAAGCCATTTTCTTATACATTGTACTTACTCACAGGTTCTTAATGCCCAGGGAGAAGGAATAAACATAGACTAATCTAGCTTTCTATGTATATATAATATTTGCCCATGAATTCAAATATGATTCAAGATGCTATCTTTATTCTGTAACTTTTATATCCGGGTCCGTAGGCCTAAGCGTAGTAGATACACAGTCTGTATAGTATACTCGGCGCGGGATCAGCTATCTCCGAGATTTGGCTAGGATACATTCCAGTGGTCTGTATCCCTTACTTGTCCTTCTCTTGTCCTTCAGATCGGGCACCTTAGTCGAGAAGCACAGAAGCCATGACCCACTCGGGCAATGGGAAACATACTTTGATTATGAATTCAGACTCAGCCACTCTATGCGTCCAAGCTCAGCTTCGCTGCCCACCTAAGCTAGTCACAAGTCAAAAGCTCTCACTCGATAGGGTTCTACTTGCAACAGCTCTTGCATGTCTGACGATCTCGGAATGCAATAGAGTTAATCTGTGAAGTTTATATTTCAAACGAAATTCAACTAGAAGGGCCCCTCGTATATGCAAGGGAACAAAGTGCATGTGGTTTCATGGAATAGAGAGCAAAACGAATAAAAGGTGGAAGGACGATGCACAAAAGGTCGCGTGAGCTCTATGAATGATAGATGACGGGCTGATATATTTAGATCCACCAAGAGTCACTATTTCATTGGCACGTTAGAGATAGTGTTGAGCAGAGGACTTCTGGTTCCGAGTCCCGTGGGTATGGCCTGTGAACTAAACCTAGATCCAGTTTGTAGATGATACTTAGCTCCCGAAACAACCTAGGAAATAACAGGCGTTCGATCGAGGCCTTAGCTATCCTAGGATCCATCCATTTTAGGGGGAAACTAAAAAAAATAAAGAGTCATAGGTACTTTGTTGGAAAGCTTATACCCGGCGCAATTTCTCGAGGACAAGTGTCTGCTGGCTCTTTGTGCATGTATCGGCATACATTGTTGTGCTGAATCTCGATCTTGTGTACAGAAATACCGTCAAGGGTCCATCGCGATCTCTCGGCTCGATACGACGAGGGTGGCTTGAGTAGTCCGTGCTTTGTACTAGTTACAGGAATTAGCAGTCGAGGCGTGTCGACCCAAAGGGGCACTACATTCTACCCAATTGAAGGATGATTCTAGGCAGCTGACGTCAGAGTGCTTTCGAATGGGTCCAAAAAAGCAGAGGCGATGCAAATCCAAGGACTTAATTCCACTTCTTCTTGACACCAACCATGGAATGAAAATCAAATGGCTGAAAAGAAGGAAAACTAAACCAACCACTAGAGTTGAAGGACTCCACACCGCTAAAACTAGTTAAGCGCTGCATCACGTTCGACATGAAGGAATACGAATGCCATAACCTGACCCCAGATCTTCCTTTTTATTAGTAACGGCTTGTAAGCCTCTCAGCTCAGATCCCCTTTCATCCTAGGTCCTCGCTTTGTTTTCGTTCCTCTTTGTCTCCTGCCAACCACCCCCTTATCTCACCGTGAGTTATTCACGCCGGAGTTGAGCTCCACCTGTGTCCTATTTTGTGCGCACGCGCAAAGGACTTCTCTAACTCGGTTGTGCGACGATTCCCGTCTAACGACTCAACGCGCACAGGTCGCATGTAACACCCTCGGCAACCGTCAGACGAACTGCCCCTGTCGACTTGCGGATAGAACTCTCGAGAAAAGGGGTCGATATTAATTGATTGCCTGCCCCGTTCTGTCATTGACACGGAGGAACGGACCGAATCTCGCCTGAGGAAATACTGACTTTGCTAAATTATCAACATGGGAGAAAGCGCACAACGCCCGTCTTCAGGGCCGGGGCAAGTTGGGAAGAACTTTTCATGGATTCTGGTAATGCTCTTGGCGTCCCAGCATCAGCAGCATGGCTGCGCGATCATGTCCATCTCTGGCTGACTGTATGTTCTCTTTGGCTACAGTTAACTGCACAGTACACTACGTTTGTGCTGGTATGTTGCCCAACTTCTGAAGTACCCTCGAAAAATAGACCGTTAATCTATCGCTTTCTACACAGTTATTACACTACTCCCGGGTAATGCCGCCAGCTAATGGCAAGCGATATCTCACGTCTACCGCGGTCTTCTTCAACGAGGTTGTCAAACTTGCCATCTCTCTTACTATAGCCTTATACGAAGTTTCCAAGACGGCGCCCCCAACAGTTCCTGCAACATCCCTTTTCTTCTCCCTCACGTCTGCTGTTTTCTCTGGCGACAGTTGGAAGCTCGCAATCCCCGCTAGCCTTTATACACTTGCCAATTCGTTACAATATGTCGCTCTCTCGAATTTGCAGGCGGCACCCTTCCAAGTAACATACCAGTTGAAACTCATCGCGACCGCTATTTTCGGCGTGATTTTATTGAACAGGGGCATCTCACTGCGCAGGTGGGGTCTGCTGTTGCTCCTGCTGGTGGGCGTTGGGCTTGTGCAGATACCCATTAGCAGTACCGGGGATGTTTCTCTCCAAGATGAGGCGGCCGCGCACCATGCCTTTCCGCGGTCGCTGGAAGAATGGAAGGCCGCCAAGCTGGATCGGCCAAATCTCCATAAACGTTCGGCAACATATGAGGGTATTGAAGAGGATATGATGAACGCCTTTCCGCGAATGAACGCAGTTGTTGGTCTCCTAGCGACTCTTGGCGCGTGCGTCGCATCTAGCCTTGCCGGTGTATATTTCGAAAAGGTACTAAAGGATAGTGCGAAGTCGACCTCGCTTTGGGTCCGCAATGTCCAGCTGGCCGTGTATTCTATCTTCCCCGCTTTGTTCATCGGTGTTGTCTTCTTGGACGGCGAAAAGATTGCTGCCAACGGCTTCTTTGGAGGGTATAATTGGGCCGTGTGGTCTACCGTGGTTGCTCAAGCAATTGGAGGGATTGCAACATCTTTCTGTATTGGCCATGCATATCGAGATGCAAGAAATGTTGCTACCGCTACCAGCATCTTTCTTACTACGTTAGGAAGCGTCTGGCTCTTTGAGTTTGAGCTAACTGGTAATGTACGTGCTTGTGTAGCTTTTTCTTGGAAGATCCTCCGGGGAATCTAACATGGGCTGACCGGCCCCCTGCAGTTTATTCTCGGAACGTTTGCAGTACTTGTGGCGACCTATCTTTGCGAAGATCCGAGTTCGGCTTCCAGCACCAGCAAGCGCCAGGGACCTCGACCGCCACCGATTCGCATCGATCAGTATGATAAAGAATCCAAAAGCGATGATGTTTCGCCCGTGTCCCCTCCGCCAAACGAGTTTTCCATTAAACTCCCCGGTACGCCGTTCCTTTCTGATGCCGGCTTGTCGACATCTAGGCCTACGTCACCAGGGCATGTTAGGGTTAATGCAGCCCGGACCGCCAGCGGTGGTTATTTCGATAAGCAGCTACGAGACCAGTGATTTTGACGATACGGATACGAGCTCAGATTTGCATGCAGTGTGTATATTACGCTTTGCGTTTGGACCAAGTCCTAAGGGAAGTAAATAAGCATGGATAGAAGCGAAGCTTTTCTTGTTTCATCTTGAATATCAACATCTCTCTCGTGCATGTGACTTTTTGTTTCTGTTCTGTTCCCCCCGCCCTTCATCTCTTCATTTCTTTCCCTCTCATCTTCACCCTTTTCTAAAAAAGAGACTATTGAACGTCGTGTTTTATGTTTTAGTATATATCCGATCACCCTGACCAAGCGCTCAGCTGTTTAGCAATGTATAAGTGTATATCGTCCTGAGGCTCTGGAGACACCTGTGACAGAGACCACTTGTGCCAATCAAACTATCATACTGCTCATTTTCTGGGTAGCTTCCATGTGCTTCCATGTCACTCGTTCTCTGTTAGGAGCAGGTGACCTATTCTCCCGTCTGTAATTAAGTAACCTTTCAATCTCTTTTTATCAGCTTATCTACTACTCATCCCTGCTTACTAGCAGCCGTCTTATCATCATGCGAAGAAAAAATTACTCGTCCTTTCCCGCACCACGCCAAGGTATTTCTTATAGACGAACTGCCGGCACCCAGCTCCGTACACCCATCCGTTCCAATGTGCGCACTGCTCTTGATCAGAGATGCAGCGAAGGGGCTCGAAACTCGTCATATCTAAGCGGATCTCGCAGAGAAGAGCTTCCTGCCAGTACACCCGGACCAGAAGCGCTAGGCCGGGATGACGACTTGCTGTTTGATGCATTCGGTAAGTAAGCTTAACAGATATCATATTGACTATACATCTAGGATAAAGGCTAAATGCGGTGGATTAAGATTTGGAATTGCTTGCACAATCGGATGACACGGCGAGGACGCGACAGTCTATCTTCTCAACCGCAGACAGCCATTTGCACACAGGCGAGGTACCCCAGAATGGCGCACCAGCTCTGGTCTCTCGATATTTTTGTGGTAGGTCTTCTGTCTCTGCGAACTATGTTTAATGTCGATATCTCTATCTTTTTGCACTGACAAACATGGTTCAGACACCTCTCATACCACACCGCATCAAAGTGTAGCATCTAGTTCCTCAGACATTGAAACCAGGACTCCTTCTAGTCCCCTGCTCAGGCTACAGGTTGGGAGAACCCGACCATACGTGGCACAAGATAGTGGCTCCAAAAGGCACAGCCAAGATTATAAGTTTCGGTCTGAACAATGTGAAAGATCACACGTTGCTGCGACTCTAGAACAAAGGACGCCATTTCAGGACATACCGGTATCAATTCGAGGAATCGTTCTTGTGTCTGTGCATGAGCTCCCTGATAAGTATCGGTCACTGTTCCATTTTCCTGCCTTCAACGCGATTCAGTCCAAATGCTTCCAGCCTGTTTACAAAAGAGATGACAACATTGTACTTGCTGCTCCTACTGGGAGTGGTAAAACAGTTGTTATGGAGTTGGCAATATGTCGTTTACTTAACAATCTGAAGGATGAGAGGTTCAAGGTCATTTATCAAGCACCCACCAAGTCACTCTGCTCAGAGAGGTTCCGTGACTGGAACAGGAAGTTCCACTCATTAGGCCTTCAATGTGCTGAGCTGACCGGTGATACTGATTATACACAGATGAGGAGCGTTCAGAATAGCCAGATAATTATAACGACGCCCGAAAAATGGGATAGCGTGACACGGAAATGGAAGGACCACGCACGTTTGATGCAGCTAGTCAAGCTCTTCTTAATTGATGAAGTTCATATTCTCAAGGAGTGCCGCGGAGCAACATTAGAAGCCGTTGTGTCACGCATGAAAACGATCGGGTCGAATGTACGATTTGTTGCACTAAGCGCTACCATTCCAAATTCCGAGGATATTGCAACGTGGCTCGGTAAGGATTCGACAAACCAACATGTTCCGGCACACAGGGAGCATTTTGCAGAAGAGTTTCGCCCCGTTAGGCTACAGAGATTTGTATACGGTTATCAGTCCCAGGGAAATGACTTCGCATTCGACAAGATGTGCAGCTCGAAGTAAGTAGACACACCCAATTTCCGATTTGGTCTGACTCCGAATGCTAGACTTCCTGATGTGCTTGCAACGCATTCTTGCAGAAAGCCCACCATGATCTTCTGCTGCACGAGGAATTCATCTGTGGCTACGGCAAAGGAACTTGCTCGGCTGTGGTCAATGTCCAACCCTCCAGCTCGGCTATGGAAAGGACCAAGCACATCATTCGAATTCAATAATGTAGACTTGAAGAGTACGAAATGAATTCAATGAGTGCTAAAAAATATGCGGTTGCTGATACGGTTTATTCAAGTTACAAGTGCTGCAGGTGTCGCATTTCATCACGCTGGTCTGAATCCCGGAGACAGACAGACAATCGAAAATGGTTTCTTACAAGGCCAAATTAACATAATATGTTGCACATCCACGCTTGCAGTTGGTGTGAACCTCCCGTGTCACCTTGTGATCATCAAAAACACAGTCGGATGGCTAGACGGCGGCTGCAAAGAATATTCGGATCTCGAAATTATGCAGATGCTTGGTCGTGCTGGAAGACCTCAGTTTGACAAAGATGCAATCGCCGTTATCTTAACCAGAAAAGAACGCGTCGACTATTATGAACGACTCGTCTCAGGCTCTGAAAGCCTTGAAAGCTGCTTACATTTGAACTTGATTGATCATCTGAACGCTGAAATTGGGTTAGGCAATGTCACAAGTGTTGAATCTGGTATAAGATGGCTTGCTGGCACCTTTTTATTCGTGAGGCTCAGACGGAACCCAACATATTATCAGCTAAGGGAAGGTGCCAATAGGGAAGGTGCCAATAGGGAAGATGAGGACGAGATGCTTCGCCAAATTTGTGAGAAAGACATCAAGCTTCTCCAAGAGAGTAACTTAGTCTCCACTGAACATCTTAGATCCACACAATTTGGTGATGCAATGGCGCGCTATTACGTGCGATTCGAGACGATGAAAACCTTCCTCACATTAAAGCGCCACGCCACTATGTCTCAAATCGTAAGCGGCATACATTGAGCCCATGATACAAGCTAACAAAAGATGTCCCAGCTCTCCGTGATTTCCCAAGCAGAGGAGTTTCGTGACGTCCGTCTCAAGGCTGGTGAGAAGTCGCTGTACAAAGAGATCAACCGCGGAACTGGCATAATATTTCCGATAAAAGTGGATATAGCACTTCCTGCCCATAAAGCATCACTACTAATCCAGTCTGAGCTGGGTGCGGTGGAGTTTCCAGATGATGAACAGTTCCAAAAGCACAAGTTTGCGTTCCAGCAAGACAAAGGCTTTGTATTTTCACACGTTAATCGGCTTATTCGATGCATCATAGACTGTCAAATTGCTCTCGAGGATTCAGTCGCTGTTAGAAACGCCTTGGAGCTTGCAAGAAGTTTCGGAGCTAAAGTGTGGGATAGATCTCCATTTCAGATGAAGCAAATTGAACAAATTGGTGTTGTCGCGGTTAGAAAATTAGCAGCCGCTGGAATAACAAGCATTGAAGCTCTAGATTCCGCAGAGCCTCATCAGATTGACATGATCTTGAGCAAAAATCCTCCCTTTGGGTTGAAACTTCTAGGGCGTCTTTCGGAGTTTCCGAAGTTACGCGTGTCTGTCAAGATGATAAAAAAGGTATGGATCTTATATCGCCGTCAAGGGCTTGGCTAACACACCAGTAGGAGGCGAAACACGGTAATCCAGTGAGAGTTCATTTTAAAGCCGAGGTCGCATTCATGAATGAAAAATGCCCAACCACTTTCCAGAGGCGTCCTGTACATGTCTGTTTCTTAGCGGAGACCTCAAACGGTTTGATGATCGATTTCCGGCGTATGAGGTTGGTTAATAGAGTTCACGTCTTCCATATTTTTCAAGGCTAATATCAAACCAGTGCCAGTAAGGTCCACAGTATCCAGGAGATACCGTTGCACGTAGAAATGGGAAGCCCAGAGCAGCACATTACGTGCTATTCTATGTGTGATGACATTGGTATGCGTTTGGTTCCCAACAGGATTAACTAGTCTGTGTTGCTGACTTCTTACAGCCGGGACCTTGAGATCAGCAGAATTGCGACTTGCCCTCCCAGCTTCGCTATTTCCCTTTTGTTCAAGTAAGGACTCAGACGAGACGAGCCAGAAGCACACGATGAATATGTCACGCCCACGTAGCAACACTTCTTTGCGCATCAAACCCAATAAAGAATGCAATCCAGATAGTTTCGGCAGTGATGACTCGCTTTTCGATGACTTTTTGGAAGCTGGTGCGATCCCTCATCCTTTTCCCTTCGTGTAGTGACTTAGTAAGAATTATTATGAGCAGGCAAAGCCACAGATTGGACAACCATGGATCATATATCATCTCCGGCGAGTGGGAATAAAACACAGGAACCCCCGAGCAAGAAGAGCAAAAGATCCAAGGAGGCAAAGGGTGCACACAAAGCGGAAGAGCCAACCCAGCTTGGAAATGGTAGATGGAGCTGCAACCATAGGTGCAAAGACAAAACAATGTATCTTTTCTTCCCCCCCCTCTCTCCTTCTGGATACGAGACTTAACTGTTTCATAGGTGCAAGCACCTCTGTTGTCGGGAAGGGCTTGAGAAACCCCCAAAGCTGAACAGAAAGCACTCTACTGGAGGGATAGACCGCTCAAACGGACTCAGTCAAATGACGTTATCTGCAAGTATCACCAAGAACAGCACAAAGATGAATAATCCCGGTAAACCACGGGTTCGAGAGGACAGTAGGCCTGACAATGGGTCACAAGAAATGCTACAAAAGCCCTCTCAAGAATCAGAGATAGGTTTGAGAGGTGCTGCTTGTGAAGACCCAATATGTCCTGGCTCTAATACTAAGGACTCGTCGAGCGACTATGGAGATGACAGCTTCAGTGATTTGCCTTCACCGTCTGGTTTGCTCCTTGGCCACACTACTGGAAAGACAGACCGGGATGACCAGACCACCAGCAAAGAGACCTGCTTAGAGAAAAATGTCAAAACAAAAGATGATTGGATTTACGCAGATGAGCGATGGTTTACACTATCATCCTCACTTCCTGACTCGCGTTTGCAAGGTAAAGATGTAACCACTACCGAGGCCGCAGGGACCTTCACGGAATCTGTGGGTGAACCAAGGACATGCAGTTCAAATGGTGATCAAGGGGCCAAGTATAACAACCAAGCCACTACTGAGATGAGAGAGGTTGGACACCTTGGAAAAAAGCGAAGGCGCTCTTTGGCTTCTGGGGACAAAGCTTACGATAAGAGAATCATGAAGAAACATATAGACAACCAAGCCACTGAGGCTTCTGCAAGTCAAAGCCAATACTGCAGTGCTGACACATCAAGTGGCTACAATCAGAATCCCCAGTCCTATGAGCCTCCTCATTCACCTGAAATCTGGGATGACATCGATCCGACTCTGCTAGACGAGTTCAAAGACATTGTTAGCTTCTTCTAGAGTTGAAGCTAGGCTAATGGATAAGCAGTACCTAATGCAAATCTTTCCCAAGGGTTGGAGAGACCTACTACTACCCACCAACCTGAGATATGGATACATATCCCTTCCATATATATTATAGTGTATTGTTAAGCTATCCCTTCTACTGATACATCCCTAACTACCCATCATTGACCTGTGTTTATGTCTATCTTTTCGAGATTGTGATAGGGAGAACACCCTGGGGAAACCCACTGTATCTCAATTATGTCATAAAAACAGTGCATGTTCAAGCAGTGAATTGAAGATAAACTCCGTTAAGTCCAGTCTGCATGGCAACAAAGATACAATGTCTCAGTATCACGTCTCGTCACAGGACAACCTTGTCCCGCCCTCTTCCGTATTCAGCGCGCACACTTTCTCTGCTATCACCGCGAGACCATACTTCCAAGGCTACATTGTCTCTTTTTTAACGCTTTCTATGTAGCTTTCTTGTTCAAACTACTTCTTCCTTGATATAGGATTATCAGGTATCGTCACCCCATTGCTGATTGTTGTTGTTATTGTCTTTTCGCTTTGTCCTTGTCTCCTTGTCTGCTATGTTCTGCTTAACGTAGGACAACAGTCACATCCCTACTATACTTGTTTGTGTGAGCCTATGTCTTGTCTAAAGCCTCTGCGCGCCATGTTTCTACTTCATATTTGATATGTAGGGAGATTTCCATGTTACTCGAAGCAGCCATGTCTTGTCTGGCCGGAAGCCCGTCCCGTTTGTAAATATGTTCATCTTTTATATACAACTCTCTGCGGCCTTATATGATTTGTTCTGTCCCCTGATATTAATGGAAGCTAATACCCATCATGAAGAAAGATCTGAGTCGACGACTTACTATGCAATCATGGGGAAGTTGAACTATTCAGCGGTGAGGGCCCCTGCCTTTATACTCCATATTGAGTTCTTGAAGCCAAATACTGAGACCAAGTGACCATTAGAGAAAGATTGACGGCGAGAAGTTCGCGCGGGTCCTCTCCAGGGACCTGGTAAGTTCCATCGTACAAAATATGAACAAATCTAGTAACACAGGGTGATTCGCATGCAGAGAAAGCGACTGCCAGATGGACCCGGCTTTAAAGCTGCAGCACGGGATCCGACTTTAGAGATCGACATTTCAAACAAGAAGCTGACAGACAAAGATCTTTCTGTGTTCATCGATGACCTCCTTGAATGTATCAGGGAGGATCTTGCAAAAGTAGTTGAGTTCCATCTTCAGGGAAACAACCTCACCGTTAAATCTCTACCCAAGCTGGGCGAGGCAGTTGCGCTAAACGCAGGCGAGATGAGGGAGCTTGACATTTCCAACAATAATATCAGTGTCAGCCCAGACCCTAAAGATAAGGCAATGTGGTGCAGCTTCCTCCATTCCTTCAAGAACTGTTATGTGCTCAAGAAGCTCGATCTTGGGGGTAACCCTCTGGGGCCTGTGGGGTTGGAAAATCTTGCTTGTGTTTACATCAAAAGTGACCTTCACTTCCTCGAGGATGATGCTAACGCCATTGTCGAACATAAGCATGAAGAGAGGCCCTTCATCGAAGATCCGGTTGCAGTAAAGGCCGCACCTGGGAAGGAGAACGAACGCAGCACGAGGGGTAGTCGCCCTGGAAAGTCGCCAAACAAGGGGAAGAAGGCTTTGCGACAGACTTCTGGTAGGTACAAACCACCAGAACAACAAGATGGAACAGACAAACGCTGACTGCCTTGTCCAGGCCAGCCCAAATCTAACCCTCTTAAAGGAACGGCACCCGACGATCTCAAACGCTTCTCCTGTACCCGCGGCCTTCGCTCGATTGCCTACCTCATCTTGTCCAACGTTTACATGGCAAAGAGTGGCACGGTACACCTTGCGAGTATGCTGAGTATGCAAAGAACCTCTGAGCAGCTCATGAAGTTCCTTCCCGGGGGCAAATCCCTAGTCTTACCTGAAACCGCACACAACAAAAGCATCGTCTGGCTTCCCAACGACACTATTCCTCAGATCGCGAGCGAGTTCCTCGAAAAGGCCGAAGTCATTAACGAGATAAAAGTCCACATCGACTCGGATAGTGAACTTTCGAATGACGACTCGGACCAGGGACTTGTCAGTACCATCACGGAGATGAACGCAGAGCCTAATCACAAAATCGACACTGCTGCACAGAGGGAGCTTCAGAACAAAAAGAACACCGCGTACGTCAGACTCACCAAACGTGTCCGTATGGAGGCACTGCATGATGAAGGCGTGCGTGGCACAGATCTTTGGATCACTGCTCTGCGAATGATGAACGTGTCCCGAATCCTCCTTTGGCAAGGCAAGGACAGCATTGCTGGCTCCCCACACAAGGAACAGGACCAGCAAGGAGAAGAAGAAGACGACGACGATGACGACAGAGACAACCCCAGTCCCTCCGCAGTCCATATTGAAGACATCGCTCAGCGATTCGAAAAACTGGAAGCAACCGACTCTCCGGAATCACCTTCTTCTCCCGTTGAGATCCATGTCACTGAACCTGACTGCATGGGCCCTTTCTATCCCGGCACAGACTCATTCAATGCCAACTTTCCCATCCTTCATTCGTCCATCACCACCGCCGAGAGTGTTGAGACTGCATTCACCAGAAGTGATGAAGAAGAACACATTGTCACTGCAAGAAACAAGTTGTCCCCATCACCACAACCCGCCCGCTCTGGAAAGGGCAGCACCCGCGCTACATCCGGATCCCGAGTCCCCCGCAAGGAAAAAGAGACCTGGCGCTTCGGCTTTACCCTCGAGATTTGGCGCAGAATCATCGCTGGTGCGGTCGGCGCGGAAGGTATTCTGGACTTGGAACAGCAGGCTCAGATCATGCGTTATGCCACTGATAGGAAGACTCTTAAGGACGAGATGGGTATTACAGGCCTTGAGGATCACCAACAAATCTGGAGGATCTTGGAGAAGAATAATTGCTTCGTTTATAGTCCTTTGTAGGGCTGGGACGGGCCACCATCTGGTAAATACAGTTTCTATGAGAAGCTAAGGTGGGTTACATACTATGAACTCCGCTCAAGATTCAAGAAAGGGGAGGAAGACTTAAACATTAAGAAACAAAAGAAAAAACTAAAAGAAAAGAAAAGAGAAAAAGAAAAAGGAGAAAACCCTACAGACAGCTAAAAGGAAGTTTCGGCGAGACAGGACGAAAGGGCTAGAAAGGATGCCTTGGTAACATGCTTGGTGGTGATTAATCATATGGATTCGAATAGGTGTCCAACATACATTCATTCAGCATAGGGACTAATCATACTATCTGACGTGTTGCGTGATTCATAAATCCTGGCACATTTACCACATAAGCTATACTAGATCTAGAGGTGTTGAAGCTGTCTGAAAAGTAGTTCACATGATCACAAGACCTTCATCAAAAGAAGAAATAGAAGAAAGGCAGACTACTTCGAAACACGGACAAATTTACTTGAGTTTACCACACTCTCAGACAAATCAGCCAAGCTTCCCCAGGTCATCATATCAGTCATGGTAATATCAGCTCCAAGTTCTTTTACCAACCAGGCTCTGAGCTCCATTGCGACAATTGAATCTACTTCACTGCCCTTAATGGACTTCACTGAGTCGATATCATCTTCTGAATAGATTATCATGTAGGCCAATTGCTTTTGAATGGCGTCCTGCGTGAGCGCTGCTGCGATCTCTCTGGATTGTGCGGCGCTAAGTAAAGCCGAAGGATTGTAATCCTTGTTATGTTCTTCTGTTGGTGCTCCTGGGGGTCACTAGTATCTCGAAGATGAGTAAATAAAGGGTACTTCATGTATGCAGGAACCGGTACGCGCCGGTCATGAAATGTTGCTTCTGGAACTAGCCTAAAAGCTAATTTGCATGTCGTCTCTGTCAATGAATTACAAGGGTTAATGCAATACTCCACAAGAGCATGAATCTCTTCCTCCTCCACTTGGCCAACGGAACTTTTAATGTGCCGTGTAAGAGACTCGGGGAGTTCGACGGAATAACCGACTGTGGTAACGAAGCTAAGATCTATGGTAGCTGCCCGTTGTCCGTTCTTAACGAGATGCCTGGCGAAAGCATCCTGAAAAGTGTTCCCAACGGCATAGTTAGCTTGGCCACGGTTACCAACAATCCCACTGGCGGATGCTATCATGATGAAGAAGTTTAGTGGTCTGGGAAGTGCTTCATATAAGTTGAGAGATCCGATAATTTTTGGTTCTGTTGTTCCCTGCCAATTCTCGTACGTCATCGTTTCGAAGATTACATCCTAAGGATAGTTTAGTCTCTAAAAAGGAAACGTACTATAATTTAGTATGATACTCACTTCAAGAACCATGGAGCACTGTATGCACCCTTTAATTGGGGGCAACTTTTCTCTGCACTCAGTGAAAACAGACATGAGCTGAGCCTTCTTAGTGATGTCGACTTTGAAGATCCGATACTCGCATCCATGTCGCGCTATGAACGAGGTCATCTCTTCGACTTTCCTGTTAACTCTGCCTGAGCGGGATAAGAAAACAATGTGCTTTGCTCCTCGCAAAGCCATCCACTCAGCCAGGCTCCGGCCAGCACCACCTAGCCCACCAGCCAAGACGTATGTAACATTTGCATCAAGAGTATATGGAGGTGCAATAATAGGAGCCACGGGGATGATGTCACTATCACAGGGCTGAAACACGATTTTGCCCATGTTCTGTCCGGATCGCAATTGCTTGAAACCGTGTTCAAGCTGTGCAAAGCTTAGCACGGTCAGTGGCTGAGCTGAACGTATCTTTCCTTGGTTCCATGATGAAACGACCTCTTCTAAAATGTTCTTTATCACATCTGGTTTGTACTCCATAATGACAGTCAACTCGACTCCAGTTATGCTAGCACTTCGAAGAAACGGCGACATGTCGAACTTGTCTGCAATTAGGTCCATGTTACCGATCTCGACAAACCGGCCAAACGGCGCAATGCACTCCCAAGATCGCCGAAGAGGTTCACCATGACGGGAATTCAAAATCATATCAACACCTTGATTCTTCGTTAACCTCATGACTCCTGTGGCGAAGCTCAGCTCCCTGCTAGAGAAGATATGATCTTCAGCAATCCCGTATACTTTCATCAAAAGCTCCTTCTTGGCCTTGCTAGAGACTGTCGCGAATACCTCTGCCCCGAGTAACTTGGCATACTGGATCGCAGCTTGGCCAACACCTCCTGCTGCTGCATGTATGAGGATCCTCTCGCCTGCCCTCAATACCCCTGCATGTTTTAAGGAGTAGATGACAGTACTGAAAGCCGTTGGTAGCGCAGCTGCAACACCCATCGACATCCCGCTTGGCATCACCGCAAAAATCCCTTCGATCAACTCGAACGTAATTTCCGAATGCCGTCTTACCTGGGTCGGCCATGAATAATACACGATCACCAGGTTGTAGATTCTTCACTTCTGCGCCAACCTTGGTCACTACTCCTGCTCCTTCTTGGCCAAAGCCGTGGTCGCTTATCCCCATTGCAACCAATCTATATTTATGGTTCCCCAACAATTTCCTGGAATGAAGGACTTCGTTCTTGCTAGAACCATGACAATCCGTGGAATCTCCTCTAGAAAAGGAAACATTAATCCCATCACATATACACACAAGGACAAAGAAATTGCAAAATAAAAAATAGCACTCATGGCCCATTCAGGGGAAGGAGGATTGCTAAGATCATTTCTCTTGTAGGTAGTAGTAGTAGTCACATTACGGCTGCTTTTGTAAGGACAGCACGTGAGTGCTCTGTGTGTGCTCCTGTGTACTCCTTCTCTAGGGCAGTGACTGTACTTGAATTAATTCAATTGGATAGGGGACGAGAGATGGGAACGTTCGTTCTGATCTCAGCTGGGAAGTCAATACCCATCTCTATGTATGCTACTATAAGCACTTTATGGAGTATATATATATTCAATGGGAGCAGCTAAATTAGATTCGCTTATGTGTTGTACAACATTAGATTCATTCTTATACCTTCATTTCAGAGCCAGGTGAGTATATCTTGGGATCGCGCCCGGGGCAATTAATCCCGGGATCGCTCAGGACACGTACTTTTGTGCAGCCCAGTAAAAGAAAAAACCTTTCGAGTGGGTATAAGCTCACCTAACAACCGGTTTTGTGCCCCTAGAAATCAAGAAACAGAGCCAAAACTAGGAAGGGATTGGAATCAATGCAGGATTGAAGTTAAATCAAATGCCTCAGGATCCCCCGTCAACCCTCACACGTGACCCTTGGTATTTATGGCTAGTCGAACCACGGTTTGCATTCGAATTGGCTTACCTAGAAGCTCCTAAAATCTAGATTCTGCTCACAGGGTGCCCCCTTTCTTGCTCCAATTAATCATGAACATGATGCGCGCCAAAAGAACCAACACACAGCCCTTAGAGGATGCCTCTACTGCTCCCGCAACCTTCAACGATGGTCTCCCCCTCCCAAAGCTGATCGCCTTTGATCTGGATTACACTCTGTGGCCATTCTGGGTGGATACACATGTCAGCGCCCCGATTAAGCCACGGGATAATAATTCCCGGTGTACTGACAGGTATATATATATCCTTTGCGCAATGAAAAATCCCATACGTTCGAAGTACTCACGGTTCTTCATGCGACAGGTGGAATGAGTCGTTCGCCTTCTACCCCGCGGTATCAGCAATCATCTATGCATGCAAAACTCACTCAATTCCGCTAGCTCTGGCTTCCCGGACCCATACTCCCGACCTTGCTCGGGACATGCTCAAGGCGCTTCACATTATTCCAACATTTTCTGATAACCCCGCAGCTAAGGCGAAATCAGTCCGTGCCTTAGACTATTTTACATACGTTCAGATTTTTCCGGCGAACAAGACACAGCACTTCTCGAAGATTCACCAGGCTAGCGGAATCAACTATGAGGACATGCTCTTCTTCGATGATGAGGCGCGCAATCGGAACGTTGAGACAGAGCTTGGGGTCACATTTTGTCTCGTTCGAGACGGCATGACCAAAGAAGAGGTTGATAGAGGTGTCTGGGCATGGCGTAAAAGGAATGGAATCAAGCCTACCGCGCTAAAGGGGGATAATGGCGAGCTGGCGAATTGAACAGACCTTTCGGAGAATGAGCGTTGGCATTGGCATTGGTTTTCTTGACTACACTTTTTATGAAGATACCCAGATGGGATGATGAGATAATCGCTATGTATATAGATATAGAAACTAGACCTTTCAAGTCTTGACATGAGTCCATATAAATATCTAAAGCAATGAACTGGAGAAGAGTCACATGTTCCATTATTGTAAATCTCACGGAGATAAAGCCTCTCGGGGTTATTTCCGAGCTCCGCAACTCCAATTAAGCTTAGTTTCGATTTAATGGAATCAATTAAATCATTCAATCAGCCCGCATATCGACCTTAACAAAATACAACAACAACAACGACAACAACAACAAGCACATACCAATCGAGACTAACCTTCATAATGGACCCTCGTCAAAGCCAAGTTCACCTCAAACCACCACCACCCCAACACGGTCGCCCTTCAGCATCGGCCTCACCAGCCCCGACTCCCCGCGCCCCCGTAACAGCACATCCTACCGCCACAGTCGCAGACACAGTCATACTCCACGGCACGCATCCGATCGCAATAGGCGCAGGAACGATAGTCCATCCCCGCGCCAAAATCTACTCATACGAAGGACCCATCATCATCGGCGAGAACTGTATTATCAGTGAGAAAACCACCATCGGCGCCGCGCCCACCCAGCCTCCCTCGCTTCTCAGAGAATCGCGCACAACAGACGGATTGCCCATCCGTATATCCTCTTGTGTTACCGTTGGACCGCTAGCCACGATCTTGCCTGGGACACATATTCACTCTGCTGTTACAATTGAAGCACTCACGACCATCAATCGGCGCGTATCCATAGGCGCACATTCGAAGATCTGCTCGGGATGCGAGGTTTCAGACAATGTGAAGATACGAGACTGGACTGTTGTGTGGGGGTCTGGAGCTGGCTTTGGGCAGAGAAGACGCACACGTGCGACGGAGAAAATGAGTTCGGCAACGGCTGCAACGCAGGGGATCCAGGCGCTCGAAGGGAGAGTCATCGAGGATGCGAGACTGATGGTGTTGCAGAAGGAGAGAGAGGCTCTTGTTAGGCTTATTGGATCCGGAGGGGGTGGAAGGAGAAGGTGAATCTCGTGGCTCGTCTATTTTGTTTGGATATGCAGGCTCAAGGCACGCATATCATCTGTTACTTTTTTGCCTTTATTTTTGCCCCTCGAGTGCGCTTTATACCCTGATAGATTGTAATTAAACATATTTTCTCGGCTACAGAAGAGGACTTCTGTGCGTAGGTATTCAGTCGCTAGAAGGCATAGACTGTACACTATATCTAACTGCCGAATCATGCAGTCAAAGTATAATATCAGATGAAATGAACAAAGGAAATCAATAAGTCTGTTTCTGACGACCGTTCTCCCTAAAGAGGGCATAGAAATGATTTGGAATGTTCGTAGACGCTTTAGTCCCTAGTCAAACAAAATCAGGCGTAAAGGTACAGAAAATGAAAAATTTAAGTAGAAACCCAGAAACAAAAAATCAAATGGCTTAAGAACCTCTTGCATGACCACCACCGCGAATTCTCTTTCCAGCTCCTTCATTACCACCCTCTCCACCGTCGTCTCGGGCCCGCTTATTTCCCTGAGGAACAAACTGGCGAGCATGAGCATTTAGGTTTCCACGTGGACTAGACTGCCCTTGCCCCTGTGGCAGGTTTGCAGTCTGGACATTCTGGTTGCCACCTCGGCCATGACCCCCACGACCTCCGCGGCCTCGAGTGAGACCGGTGCCACGTTGGGATGGCTGGCCCTGCTGTTGCTGTTGAGGCTGACCCTGGTTTTGCTGGGGTTGTTGTTGTTGCTGCTGCTGCTGAGTCTGCCCACCAAATGGATTTTGTTGTTGATGGCCACCACGCCCGCCTGTTCGACCTCCCCGTGCAACCGGCAACCCAGACTGGAGAGCTCTAAGAACTCCACTGTTAGCGCCAGCAGGAGGTTTACTTGGTAGCGATGCAGGCTGTTTGTTCTGACTCTGTCCGAAGGGGTTGACGGGGGCATTCGCCGCTGACGGCGCTGTGCCTTGGGTACTTTGTTGTGGCTGCTGCTGCTCTTGCTGTTGCTGCACACCACCTTGGCCCTGGACTTCGGCTGGGGCAGGTCCCTTGGCTTGATCGGTTGTCGTTTCAGAGCCAGTTGCTGCTGGGCCTTGCTGCTGGTTGACAGGCGCAGGAGTCGGGGCTGGAGCCGGTGATGGGCTCGGTGCCACCACTCCTGCCGCTGGTGTTGGGGCAGGTGTTGGCGCGGGCGCCGGTGACGCTACTTGTGCGGGGGATGCAGCCGATGCAAGCTTTTGGGTTTGAGGCGGAGCCTTGGTTGTCTTCGCTATTTCCCACACCTCAACAACAGGTCTCTGAGGAGTCTCTGTGGCCGCCTTCTGAACAACGTCGATCTTGGCCTGCGCATTCCTGCACCGTGTATCGAGCATACTGATCTTAACCAATGTTTTCTTATCAGATAGCTCGACGGCAGATTTGATCTTCTCTTCAACACCTTCCTCATGAGCCTTCTTGAGGGCCTCCTTCTCCTCATTGAACTTTTGCTCCATGGAGGCCAAAGTTTCCTGACTTACACCTGCCGAAGGCTGAGCCGCCTGTTTCTCTTTCTCCTTAGCAAGCATTGTCCGGATATTGTTTCGAATGATGGTCCGAATGGTTTCGTTCTTGGCTACCAGTGCTTTAGCTTGTTCATCAGTAAGTTGCGGTAGTTCTCCTTCTGGTTTTGCAGGAGTTGTGGGAGCTGCAGGTGTTGTAGGAGCCTGATTTGGTTTCGACACAGGGGTTCCTGGTTCTTGCGGCTGTGGTGCGGCTTGTTGATTGGTCCTCAACTTTTCTATCTCTTGTCGGTGGGCCGTCCTAACTTCAGCTAGCTTGTTATTGAAGGTCTCCTTCAATTTCTCTACACGTTCTTTAGCCCTCGTCTCGTGCTCGGCATCCTTGGCGGTTATAGTGGCATCCTTCTCCGCCAAAGCAGCCTCCTTCTCGGCAAGAGCAGCTTCCAGGCGTTGCACCTTCTCTTCAAGTGCCTTTACTCTTTCATCGTCGCTAGGAACAGGCAGTTGAGTGGTTGGTGCAGGGAACTGAGAAGCAGGCGTCGAGTCGACACCAGAGCCGGCAGGTTTTTCTTCAACGGCTGGTGCAACTGGCTTCTCCGCCAACGTGGCTTTCAACCCACTCAATTCTTCCTTAGTCGTCTTCAATTCCTCTTGAATAACTTCCTTCTCTTGCACCACCGTATTCAACTCCAGCTGCTTAGCGTTAATACGGCCAGTAAGTTCCTTAGATCTAGCCTTGAACTGTTCGGTAAGCCTTCCACGCATTTCCACCAGCCTCTCCTCTGTATGCTTCAATTTCTCTGGGAAAGCAGCTGCTTGTTCCTGCAAGGTGTCGCGGGCTGACACGGCTTCGTCCCGCTCTTTCTGCAGAGTCTCCAGTTTCTCCTTCAACCCTTCCATCTCAGCTGGGTCAACACGATCGTATTTCTGGAGAATATTCTGGGTTCGCTGTTGCCACCTGTCGCGGTCTGCCTGTAAGAGCTTCATCTCCCCATCTTTCGTCTCCACCACATTTTCAAGTTCTCTTATCCGTGTTTCCAGAGGTTCCATTTGCTGCACGAGCTCGTCGACACGTGCAGACTTCTCCGCAAGGGCAGTTTCCGCTTGCTTGACCTGATTACGCAACGTAACGCTGCTTTCCCGGAAAAGATTGAGTTCGTTCAAGGTCTCCATGAGTTTGTTGTGACTCAGAGCGGTATGCTCGCTGTCAGCAGCAGCGCGACGTTGCTGTTCAAGCTTCAACCTCGCCTCGTCTAGTTGAGACTGCGTATATTCGAGCTGCTGGCGCAAACGTTTACTCTCTTGTGTTGATAGATGGTACTGAACATCAACAATCTCCTTTTCACGACGCAGGAATTTGATGACCTCTTGAAGGCCTTCCAGATTGGGTGCAGAGCTTTCCCCTTCGTCCTCGGTCTCAGGAATGTTGGCACGATCCCGCTGTAAAGCGGAGATTTGGTTTGTAATATTCTCAAGTTGTGAGTGGAGCAAAGAATTCTGGTGCAAGACTTCCTCGCGGCGTTTCTGCAGTTCAGAGAGTTCACTTTCATACCTATCTTTCTGCTCATTCCAACTTTCCTCCTTTTGTGTCAGATCTTTCTTGTATGTGTCGGCTTGGGCACGAGATTCAACAAGCTCAAGCTTCAACTGATTAGCTTCTGAGCGAACTAGCTGTAGGTTCTTTGCAGCCTCAGCATGCTTGACCAATTCGCTTTCATAGTTTTGCTGGGCATGTTGTGAAATTTCTGCCTGAGCCTTCAAATCTGCTTGATGGTATTGGGCTGCGGCAAGCTGGCGTTCATTCTCGTCCTTTAGTCTTGTGATCTCAGCTTCCAGGTGAGACTTCTGCTCCTCGAGGCGACGGGCAACATCCCCTTGCTCATCGCGGAGTTTAGATAGCTCACTATTGGTAGTAGAAAGCTCGGACGAGATTTCTTCAATTCGTTTTTCAAGATCCTGAATCTTCTTATCCTTCTCTTCGACAAGGCGTTCGGTTTCCTCGCGGTACTGTTCGTGTGTCTCGGTGACAGACTCCAAGCGTTCCTCAGCCCCTTGACTGATTGCCCTATAGTCTTCCACCTGTTCCTTGGCATGCTCAAGCTCGCCCTTGGCCAAGTCAAGATCACGCTTCAACTCAGCAACTTGGATACCCAACTCCTGCTCACGTGTCAAACCAGACTCTTGTACACCGTCTTCCATAGTTGTGGGCACCTCAGTTGGAGCAGCGGACACGCTAGGTCGAGATTGCATCACTTGTAGGCGCTCCTCGGCACTCCGGAGCTCGACAGTCAACTCATCCACCCTAGACTGCAAATGGTCTCTGGTTGTCTTGATCCCAACTAGTTCTTCCCTAGCTGATCCCAAGCTAGTCACCAAATCATCAATCCGTTTCTGACTTTGCTCATGTTCATATTCTCTCCGCAGGGCTGCCTTCTTAGATTCCTCAACCTCATCGTTGAGTTTCCGTTTAGTTGATTGCAACTCAGACTCAAGTGATTCGACACTAAGCTGTAGGCGACGACGGCTCTCTGAATCAGTGTGCTCGCGCTCATTTAAAATTGTCTGCAGGTTAGCATTGAGCGAGTCAAGTCTGCTTCTCTCATTCCGTAATGTCTCGTTGTCTTCAATCAACCTTCTCTCGATATTCTTCCAGAGGTCCTTCTCAGCCTTCAGGTTCGCATTCTCCCGCTGGAGGCTTTCAACAAGTCCCTTTGTTTCCACTAAATCTTCAGCTGCTTGTTGTGTCTTAAGATCTTGACGGTTTGCATTCTCGAACAGCGCAGCATAGCGTTTCTGGAGCTCAGCGTTTTCGCTCTTAAGCATGTTGAAATTACTTTGCAACAGTTCCGCCCTCTGAGTAGCAGCACCCAGCTGACTGCTGGACCGGCTAATCTCACTCAACAACTCACTGTTCTTCCTCGACAACTCGTTTACTTGTTGCTTAAGGGCAGAATGATCAGTGGCAGACTCCTCGCGGAAGCTGTCAAAATGTGCTTGCACCTTGCGAAGAAGCTCAGCATAATCAGGTGCGTCCTTCATATGCTCATCAGCAGTACCAGGGGGTGCGGCACCGAGCGGAAGAGACTGAGAGAAAGCAGAAGAATCGCCGACCGTCTGACGCCGACGTGTAAGCATGCTCCTGAAAGTGTCACGTTCCTTTACATAGCTCTTTGTCTGAGCTACAAGGTTTGCAATCTCATCGCGATATGTCTGTACTCTGATCCTCAACTCCTTCAGTTCTTCCTGCTCTTGTTGACGGACAGCATCCTTCTCCCGAGCTTCAGCGCCCTCCATCTTATCCCCAAGTTCTCTCAACATCCGTCGGAGGGTCACGTTCTGCTCCTGAAGTTCATGGAGGTCCTTAAACGTCATCAAGTTCTGGCTAATGAAGCGTCCCGTAGGAGTGAGATCTGCAGCGGCGTCCTCGATCTCCTTTCGGGCTATCTTCTCGAGCTCGTCCCTGTCGTAGCTACCTTCACCTTCCTTCAAAACGGCGACTTCCAACACCAAAACCTTCACCTGTGCACTCAGATCTCTAAGCTGCTGGCGCAGAATATCTCCTTCACGAGCCAAACCCTCCACCTGGCCTTGCCATTTCCTTGCTTCCTTTGTAGCGTCATCCCTCTCCTTTCCAGCAGTTTCAAGAATGTTAGACATCTCAACAACAGCATTCTCTAGTCTGGCATGATCAGCGCGCAGCTCGTCAATTTCAGGCTTGCTTGCTTCAAGGTCCTGAACCATCTCATCCAACGTTGACCGGAGTTCCTGGCTCGTCTTTTGTTCCGCGGCCAGTAGTGTTCGCATCTTGTCATATTCCGTATACATTTGCGTTAGAGTGAGGCCGCCCTTGCCTCGAGAAGTTCTAGGCGAAAAGGTACCAACAGGCGTACCAGGACGAACAGGCGTACTAGGCCCACCGTTAAGGCCTGGTGCTGGGCTCATGGACCTCCTTCCGGCAACACCTTCGGACTCGAGTTGGCTCACTGTGAGCTCAAGTTCAGCGATGCGGCGTTCAGCGGCTTCTTTATCGGAATGTTCTGTTTCAACTTCCACGCGGAGTCGGGATATCTCCTCTGCTGCATCGTCCCTCGCCTTTTCTAAGGCGAACTGACATTTCTGGACTCGTTGTTTGGCGGTTTCCGCGGCATTTCCTTGCAATTCGGCGAGTCTGTTCGCACTGTCCAATTCAATTCTGAATGATTCAGCTGTTTGGATGGCCTCCTCCTTGAGTTGTTGGATACTCGAAAGCGACTCTTCATACCGCTGCTCCACCTCATCGAGCCGGCTCTTAAGGGCGTTTTCGCTACGTCTCAAGGAGTCGATGGTTGCACTCGCCTCCTCATTCTCGCGCTGAAGCTCGGCGATCTTAGCGCTCTTTTCCTTCCGGAATTTCAGATACTCGGCAGACTTTGTCTTCAATTCTGTTTCAAACCATTCGTTGTTCTTCTTTGTCAAATCCAAGTCCTGCTGGAGACTTTGCTCGCGGAAACGGGCGCTCGCGGATGCCGAGTTTGCAGCCTGAAGATTCTGCTCGGCAGAAGAAAGTTCACGCCTCAATTCAATGGTTTTCTTGTGTTGTGTCGAAAGCTCCTCCGCGAGCTTATCGTATGCTGCAGACTTTGATTCAAGAAGTGCTAGTGTGTCCCGGTTTGATGCTTCAAGTGAGGAAATGCGGGATTTCAAAGAGCTAACTTCGGATTCATTGGAGGTAGAAGAGGATTTCAAGGCGGCGATCTCAGATTCCAGGCTGGATCGGATATTTTCTATAATAGATAAGCAATTGCATGGCAGCACAACATTGATAGCACTAACCAGATTCATGTAATTTCTTCCTGGATTCCTCAACTTCTGCATGGCCTTTCTCGACAGAGCCCTTCAAGACCTTGACCTTGGACTCACTGCTGCGAACAGCGTTTTCAAGCTCTACCTCCAGGCGAAGCTTATCGGACTTCAGATCATCGTATTCTCGGGCCTTCTTCGTGATTGCCTCTAGGAGTTGATTCACTAGTTCAACCGTAGGAGCTTGGGTAAGAGTGGTAAGGGTCGACTCCGCGATGGAGTAATGAGAGGACAGGTAAGGCAATTCAATCGTAGCAGTAGCCATGGCGCCGTAGGTTGACAGCAGAACAAAGCCGCCTACCCTTATGAATGGTTAATTAAGAATGCCCCAGGGCAAACGTCGTGTACTCAGGTGAGCAGACGATGTTGCTGTAGGCGTGATATGCACTGTCTTTGACACGTGCACACAGCGCTCAAGGTTGCAATTAGCTCATGACGACATCAAACGAAAGATGTCTGCGAGCAGTAACAGAGGTAAAGCGAAGATAAACCCTCTGTAAATTGATGATTAATAGATTATGGACAAAAGGGTGAAGAGTGACGCTTTGCATTCGGGCTGTTGGGTTACAGCTCCAAACGCGGTTAAGCGCGCCGATTCCATCACGTGATGTATTACTACGGATGAACAGGCTGTGGCTACAGTAGCAAAGAACAGCGCATCTATCAAGCCCAACAAAGGCTGCTGACAGCCTTCTCGGTGCGCCTTACTCCAGGGTAGACTCGATAGCTCTAGGTGACCGTGTTCGTCTTTGGACTTTCGAATGAGCTATCGCGACCTCTACTTGAGCTCTGTTTGGCTCCGGTGAGCCAAGCCTTGCCTCATCTTACTAACTTCTGGACCCTTCACATCACATTTTCTCTCAACTGTGAGTTCGGCTTTTGCTTGAGAACTTGCAACCATGTCGCATCTCCAGCAGCAACTCAAAAGCTTCAACGCTGGCGTCGTGGCTGCTGCGGCTCGCATGCCACAGCAGAGACGGTTCGTCCATAACAACTCTGCCAGTAGTTCGCAAGTACCGTCTTCGGCCTCCACACCCACCCCGAGCGGCGATGTCAAGCGGAAAAGGCACGATGCAGATATCGTCTACTCGCAGCCTGCCAATACTGGCACAGGCAAGGATATCATGACACAGGTTATCTTTGCAATCGAGCATATGAAAAACAAGGGGGTCCCGCTCAGGTTTACGGATATCGTCTCCTACCTTTCTCTCCAACATCGGGCCAATGATCAGGGTTATGTCCAGGCACTACGGAGCATCCTTCAGATGCACGAGAAAGTCCAATATGATCCTAGTGGGGCAAACGGAGAAGGCACATTCAGCTTTCGCCCACCACACAATATCCGCACTGCTGAGCAGTTGCTCCAGAAACTCCAGTCGCAGTCTACCGCTGCCGGAATGAGCGTTCGTGAGCTGCGGGAAGGCTGGCCCAATGTGGAGGACACCATCAATCAGTTAGAGAAAGAAGGAAAACTTCTTGTTACTCGCAACAAGAAGGACGACCATGCGAAGATGGTGTGGGCCAATGATCCATCCTTGATACAACACTTCGATGACGAGTTCCGTCAGATTTGGGAGAAGATCAGAGTTCCGGACCAGCAGGCTGTCAAGGAGGAATTGGAGAAGGCCGGTATTACACCCACGAACAAAAACAAGGTCACCAAAGCTCGACCCAAGATTGAACACAAGAAGGTCAAGAAGCCTCGTCGCAGTGGCAAGACGACTAACACCCATATGATGGGTGTCTTGAGAGATTACTCACATCTTAAACGATGACTGAAGCGCTTACGCTATGGAAAAAGAATGTTGAACATTGGCTTCTGCAGTTGCGCTTTCCAACTGCGCATTGCGTTGAGATTGAATTATAGAGATTGGCACGACTATGATGGAGATCGGTCCCATTGCATCAATTGGCGTCTTAGGAGGAACATACACCGGGAACTTGAGTTTCATCACACGATTTAAAGTCTGGCTAGCATCTTCGCTCATCGCCAGTTGCTGTCCAGCCTGTAAAATAATAAAATATAGATACCCAAAACCGTCACATGGACTAATATTACTGCGTAGATCACCATAATGCCCTCTGGATGATATCCATTTCACGAATATTTTTTAATTGAAATCATCATCATATAGTTATTGAGATCTACCTCAGAAAGGGAAGATAGGCATGTCTTGAGCGCGCAGCGCGCATAAATTGGGAACAGCCTCGGTGTGGGCAGTAGTACTACCTTAAAGGGAAGTGGGATGGAGTTATCACCCGCGGCACTGGTTTTCCATACATGACAAACCATTAGTGATCGACTTGAATCCGGGCCTCCCACTCTTCTTCCCTTCCCTTCCTCTTGCTTCCAACCATATATATATCGCTGCGCTACCGGAATTTTCCGACTATAGAAATACTTCTTTCGAGCTTCAGATAACTCTGTTCTTTCCTGTCACACTTGATTCTACTCTAGAGTTGCATCTCGGTATTCGGTATCCGCACTTCTCCGCACACCGACCTGGAGATACCTATTGTTGGCTTGACTCATTCGTATTTGGAAAGGAGTCAATTCCATCGTCCAAACTAAATCTACTGTCCCAATTGCATACATCAGAATAATCAGACTCAAGCTTGGGTGTGCCTACGTCCAATCTCAAAGAAACAAGTACCAACGCCACATTTATTCCTCCGCCCCGCTCAAGTGAGGGGCAAATCTTTGCGACTCAACATGCCCGCAGATACCGATCCCAGTCTTCAATTCGATTCAATTGAGGATACAATTAAGGCTTTCAGTGAGCATTGCTCCCGTTGCCCTTTCCCTCTATATTCTTCCCCTTTGTGCTGAAGGAGCACGCATGTGGAGACGTCCCGAGGCAATTCCTACCGGCAACGCTAACCCACATGACTCTGCATAGAGAATGGCGAATTCATAATTGTGCTTGATTCGCAAGACCGTGAAAATGAAGGCGATCTCATTATTGCTGCCGACTCAATTACCCCCGCTCAGATGGCTTTTCTGGTTCGCTTCACAAGGTGGGAATCCCTCTCAACCCGATATTCTCACACCCCCCAACTGCATGCGTCTCATGTATAGTCACTAACCTTTTCTTCCCCAAACCAGTGGTTTAATTTGCGCACCTGTATCTCCCGAAATCGCCAGCCGACTCAGTCTACCCCAGATGGTGCTTGAGAACGCAGATCCGAAAGGAACCGCATACACGATCTCTGTCGACTCAAGTGACCCAACTGTTACCACCGGTATCTCGGCGCAGGACCGCGCCCTCGCATGCCGAACACTTGCCTCTCCGACTGCTCGCGCCGAAGATTTCCGGAGACCGGGCCATATTATCCCTCTCCAGGCCAGGAGCGGTGGTGTGCGCGAGCGAAGAGGACACACTGAAGCCGCAGTCGAGTTCTGCCGTTTAACCGGTAAGGTACAAGCTGGTGTAATTGCTGAGTTAGTGGAGGACGGCGAGCTGGTCCCGGGTATCCCAGAGATTGGTGGCAATAACGACATGATGAGACGTGATGGATGCTTGAAGTTCGGCAAGAAATGGGGCATCAAGGTATGCACCATCGAAGACTTGGTTGAGTACGTCGAGAAAACAGAAGGTAGCCTTGCTGCTGTCACAAATGGAAAACAGTAAGATGTTTAAATGTGACAATGTTTCTTGTATAACCTTTTTTCATTTTTTTTTTTTTTTTCTTATTGTCAATTTTTCCATTTTTCTTGGTTCTTTTCATTGCGAGGTGCATGTTTACGACCTGTTTATGGGGCTGTTTTTGTATGTACTATTGCTAAGCAAAGTTGGAGGCTAGGCGGGTATGGGATATCAGATGAGCAACACCTCTCTTCTCTCGGTTTATGAAACGGATGTGACAGGGCAATACGAATTACAGGGATAGATATACACTGAAGAAATGCTGGCTATATGTCTGTAAATTTAGTCTATGGAGCACTTTATTTAGAAATGAGCATTGACCGTTTATAGCGAAATCAATCACCACAACCACAACCAAACCTATGTAGCAAAGCATCGTACTCGTTTGTTTAGCACAGTGTCACTGGTCAGATGTGCCTGTCTACAGCGAAAGCCTTGGCAATGTGTACTACGATAGAGACAGACTCTGATACTGTAGCATTCACTATATACATGCTTCAGTGGTCACCAGGGAGATACTGGGAAGGTGAAAGGAGATAAAAACATCTTGCGCTTGCTAATCGTGCTGTCTATAAAGGGAAGAGGTGAATCAATCTAAAAGGTATGTCATCCGAATAGTATGTAGCCAAGTTCCCCAGTGGGCCTTGTAAAATGCAAAAGTAGCTTCACGGCTTACAGCCCTAAGCCTCCCATCCGCCGTACTTCATCGGCCTGTCTTTCTAAAGCTCTCCGCATCATGCTGGAATATTCGCGCTCACGCATCCGGAACTCACGTCTCCTGTGTCGTAACTCCTCACGCTTAGCACTGTCCATATCTTCGCTGAAATCGATGAGATCATCTTCCTCTTCATCTTCGTCGTAGCTCTCCGTATCGGCGAATCTAATGCGACCAACACGTTCGCCTGTCCAGACGAGGAGTTCATCTCCCGTTAAATTTCCGCCGGTGGGTAGAATTTTCCGAGCAACTTCATCGTGACTCTGAGGACTAGAGGAGTCGTTCCACAGGCCGCGGGCCTCTCCGTTCTCACCATGCATATTAGTGTTGGATCCAGTCAAGTCTTGCTCATTCCTTCGACGAGGTTTGTAGTCGTTGATGTTGAAACGACGAACTTCGGCTCGGCCGTCTCGTTCAACCCACTTGATGTTGCCATCTCCATCGGAATAGACTATACGGGTGCCGTGCGACTCGACTGATAACACCTTCAGGCTCGCAGAACTCTGTCGGTTTTGATACACTGGTGTTAGGCTGGATGATACATCCGATGGCTCGTTCTCTCCTTGCGCACCCGACGGCGTAAGGCTGTATAGCTCAAGGGAGCCTTTGCCTTTGTATTCACCACAGGCGACAACTTTATGTGAGTCGGGGCAGGACGACCCAGAAAACAGCGGAAACTGTGGGGCTGGGACAGAGGCGAGGCCGCATAGTCGACCTCCCGAGTGAATCGTGTTCTGCAGCCGGGGAAAGAATCGTCGGTCATATTGCAAGATGCTGGGGAATCGCCCGGCGAGGAATATGGAATTCACGTGAGGGGCTGGGGGATGCAGTAGGGCAAGTGGTCCTGGTTGGAACAAAGGAGCATAGTCTTCACCTGTGTCTAAGGGGTTGGGACTTCGTATGCGATGAGGAGGCTGTCCGTTGGGTCGAAGTTGGAGAAGGGGGGAATCAGGAGGAGCATAGATCTGTGATTTCGGGACCAACGAAAGTGTCGGTTTCTCACACCGTAGATTAATCGCCTCTTCTTCCTCGGTTGCAGATAGCCGACCATCGTATATATGAAGGCTCAACGTAGTAGCTAGAGTTAATGGCACGGAGTAGTCCGTCTCTTGAGATAGGGCAAAGATCGACCATGGATAACGCTGCTGTGAGATTACGCTCAGCGTCTCGAGATCGACTTCATTCAAGACATTGGCAACAGCAAGATATGCTCTTCGACGAATTGAGTCAACGCTCACACATTCCCCAAGATTAATAAACTCCAGCCCTGATTTGGCCGCCGAGTGATCCCTCCGGCCAGATAGATTGGCCATTAGGATGCCCGGCTTGCTAACTCCAAGGATCCTGCCCTTGGTAGACTGAGACCCGATTGAGTGGGAATGGTTGAGATCCCAAATGCAAACACTGCCGTCGTCTAATGGCGCGATAGCCTTGTTCTCTCGCGCAGAGCTCCAATCCCGCAGTAACCCCATACCTTTGACCTCGCGGTGCGTCTTTTTCCCTTGATATTCTTTTGTAAAGGGCTGCTGGAGCCAATTAAAGGATATCGGTCCATTACGAGCAATATACTCCGAATACCAGTCGATATCTTCACCCTCGTATGACGGATCCCACGTTGCCGCCGCTCTTGACCGTTCAGCAAATGACACATTCTGATCCCCGTTTGAGAGCGAAGTATCTGGTTGGATTAGGGAACGAAGAGAAGTTTGGCCCAACGAGCTAAGGGGCGTAGTGGAATCTGTGACACGGCGTGCCGAGGCCCTGTTGGCCGAGTAAGAGGCGTGTGCGGCGGCCCATGACTGCTCATAACAATGGAGTCTCCATAGGTTGTTGTCCCGCGCGAGCCCGAAGAATCGCTTTGAGACAGACTGAAGCTGTACCTGTTCATGTGGCGTGAGATCTGGTGTTTCACAAGGATGGTTAGCTCGTGTAGCGACTGTGGCAAAAGATACTACACAAGGACCACCCGCACTAATAGACCGGAGTGTGGAGAATAGTGTAAACTGGCTGAGGATGCGAAAGCAATGAGATTAGATGCGCTTACAGTCAATTATCTTAGCAAGAATCTCTACGGGCAGCTTCTCCATGAGGAAAACTGGTCCGGAGACACCATCGAGGCCGGACAGATCCAATTGGGGCTCACTACAAAAATGTGGGACAAGCCGTCTCTTGTTGTTGGGTTCCAGACTTTTCTTTTATAAATTTCCCCGCGATCAATGATCAGCCTGACTGGCGTCACGTGTTAGCATGCATTGCGGTGGAGACGATTTATTTAAGAAAGCCCATGTTGAGGGTTGATTTCAATACAGTGTAAGATAAAAGGCTGCTATTGAATTTCATGCCAGGGCTCTGCTTAGATCCCTCGAATATCTCAGAGCATACACACGCCCCTATTTCCAATTGATATCTTTTACCCAATCCATCATAAATCATATTAGTCGTACAGAAGGGGACCCATTACAAAGTCCCAATGAATGTGTAGGGTTGGACTGAGCCCGGACGAAACTTTCAAGGGCCTGATAAAAAGTACCATCGCCTAGCCCTCAGGCTTGTAGACAGCGTCTTTGCAGAGAACAGCAACTCTTTTAAAGAAACGTCGCCATTCCAGTGGGTCCCCTTTCACTTTCACAAGTTCAATCTCGAATAGACCCTCCGACACGCATTCAATAATGACCTTACCCTGAAGCGTGCACATTCGGCCATCCCTGGTGACAATTCTTATCATTGCTGACGCGTCACCTGCAGAAACCGCGGGTACTGATGGCACGGGCACCCCCAGGCGATGCAGAGCCTCACAGATGAGGGGCACAAGGATTTTGAGTTCCCATGTAGAGTAGAAGCGAGTCAGAGGCCGCGATGGGACTATATCACGGAATTGCTGTGCCTTCTGCGTTCGGCTGAGAGGCACAGATGGATGAGGAGAAAACTGTGACATGGACGGCTCATCTTCAAGCGTGTCAGCTACATAGGTATCACCCACAAAAAGAGGCTGTCCCATCGGCTGAGTGGATGAAAAGACATCAGTTAAGTGAGGTGTATCCCAATCGACTAGCATGTCGCCTCTTGGCATTTCAGGTTGCGTCGATGAGATTCTGAAGTCGGTATCCAGATCTCCTATGTCCATGTCCATTCGACAAGGATCAACACTACTATTCGCTCGCCGAGCGAGGGGATCCTGAGAGAAGTCTATATGAAGAGACTCGAACATTGTTGTAGCCATATTGATAGGGTCTCTGAGTCTGCCATCCGGAGATAAAAACCTGTTCTGCCGTGTATACCAGGGGTGCCTCCGAACATCTTCCAAGGAGAAGCGACTCGCTGGGTCGATATTTAGCATACCTCGTAGTAATGACAATGTCGCAACTGGCAGCTGTTGCCATAGTTCGTCACTTGTCCGTGCGTTGGTTGTGACATATTCGTGGAACTCGTAACTACTCTCTGTCGGGCTATCCCAGGGCGTATTGCCGGCCAAGAGAACGAAAAGGACAATCCCGCATGACCAAATATCGACCAGATCCGGTCGGTAGCCTACCCCTTTCATGTGGTTTTTGTTGCTGCAAGTAATGACCTCCGGTGCAATATAAGGCGGACTGCCACAGAAAGTGGTAGAAAGCTTTGTCACCCCTTTATACTCGAACAAAGTTGCCAGGCCGAAATCCGCAATTTTCAGGTTCCCATCTGCCGTCAAGAGCATGTTTTCTGGTTTGATATCGCGATGGCCCACACCTTTCGAGTGCATATATCCCACTGCACTGACAAGTTGTGAAAAATAAACATGGGCGATATCCTCCCCCACACCTTCATCGGCCTCGATCTTATCAAAAAGATCGCCTCCCTCGGCCAATTCCATGGCGATCCATCTCCAGACCCCATCCTCTCCGGTTTGGAAGAAAGATATTATATTATTATGATCGCCGATGTGTTTGTGCACCGTCGCTTCCATTTGCAATTGTCGTGGGCTGATCTTGCCATGTCGAGCGGCGTATTCTTTATGGATGAATTTCACGGCGAAGACAGGATTATCCGTATGCGATGGACATGCCTTTTTGATGCTATTATACAACGACACCAAATAGTATCAGCAAACTGCAGTGCACAGTGCAATCCACATCACATGGGAAGAAGAAGAATAATCATACCACGCGTAGGCACCCTGGCCGATTGTCTTGGACACAATACGAAAGGGCAAATCGTTTGGTAGCGGGGCGAGTTGAGAGTGGTGCATCTTGACGTAGCCCTCTGTGAGCCTGACTGTACGAGGTCAGTCGGACTGGGTAGAAAGATGGAAAGATCCTTGTCATACAAGAGCCAGGTTCAGCCCCATTATCCTGGAAGATGAAGATAGGTAAGGGTCAAGATGGCTGAGAAAACGCGGCACGCGAGTTGCCACTTTATCCTCTTTGGGTAATATGTTGATCCGCCGGGCGCAACATTCATGATGAGGACAAAACACGAGCGAAATATGGTTGAATGATTGGATAGCAGAATGTGTATGAGCTATACCAAGAGAAGAAAAGATCATTTTACGGATATAGCAGAAATAAAGGATCAAACAACAAATAACACATCAACCATTCGCTTGACTGCTACGGAGGAACCAACGTGATAAAAAGGATCGCTGTTGGTTTAATGCCCGTCATACATTTTTAGACCCGCAGCGGCGTGTCGCCTGCCATATGGAGTGTGTTAAGTGGCGGAGCACTGCTTTTCTGTTGATGGAGGACACTGGAGAACAGATTTAATGAGACCCGAAACTTTACACGACTGGTACAGGCCATCATTGAATTGGAGAGCATCATACGGAAAGAGCACGCTATACAAAAACCTCCGACCTCATCTCACGAGGCAGTTTAAAGTCAAATTCTATTTAATAGCGCGATGAAAGAACGAGTCAGATTTATGGTGTGAGATCAGGCGGGGCTTTTTTTTTGCCTGCGTTGCCGGGGGTGCATTTATTTGGTTGGTACAGTAAACAAAAGGAGCCCGAAAAAGGCCTTCGAATACCTTCTAAGGTTTCCCCGTTTGCAAAACCCCAGCCTTTCCCTTGTCCTCGCCAGTCGAGCGGTTAATAATATTACACCTGTAAGGTTCCTTATTCTTTCTGTCCATCCCTGCATTGCAAGTTTCAAAAGTCAATCTTGGAACTTTCGACTTCTCTGAATCCGATCAGATCCTCGACGGTTCGTTCTGTGGGTCGTTCCGTCCACTTCCAGCCAACTGTGGTACCGCATTCGCATTCGGCGTCATTCCAGACAGCAACCCTCTCCTGCTACTGTCACTCACATTCCACAACCTTCCGGAAGTCTTTTTTTTTTTCGTTATTCCTTTCGTCAAGAAGGATCCAAGTATTTTATTTCCACTCCCTCGCTTTCTCGGCACAGTCACCATGGATTACACAATGGAGGATACTCAGAACTCCGCTCCAGAGGCCCTCGAGGCGACCAAGCTGAACTCAGCACCTCAGCGGAATGACAGCCAAAGCGTGACCAAACGGTATAATCTTTGGAAGATAAATAAAAGGGAAATCTATGCTGACTTCTACCCATCCGTATAGCCTCCAAGCTGAACTGATGCAGCTTATGCTCTCGCCTTCTCCTGGTATCTCCGCATTTCCTGACGCCGATGGCAACCTTACTTCCTGGACTGCCACCATCAGCGGACCAAACGAGACTCCATATGAGGGCTTGACATTCAAGCTCTCGTTTGCCTTCCCCAACAACTATCCTTACTCTCCACCAACCGTCCTCTTTAAAACCCCCATCTACCACCCTAATGTGGACTTCTCCGGACGCATCTGCCTGGATATCTTGAAGGATAAATGGAGTGCTGTGTACAACGTGCAGAGTGTTCTCCTGAGCTTGCAAAGCTTGCTCGGAGAGCCAAACAAGTGAGACATTGACATTCTTGCATGTGGCATACATCTTACTAACATTGTTAATAGTGCCAGTCCCCTCAACGCTCAGGCAGCCGAGCTGTGGGATACAAACCAGGAAGAATACAAGCGTCACGTCCTTGCGAGACACCGCGACGTTGAAGATATTTAGTAAACTGTAATGACTTTGTCGGCTGTTGCCGTGATGTGGCGTTAAGGACAGACCATGTTTCTTTTGGATGCTTTGCATAAGGTCTGTGCGTCGTCGTTTCTTGGGGCGTCTCACTGGAGACTTTGTCACTCCTGCATTTTGGCTCGGGGATATGGTTCGATGCATAAGGGATACAAATGGTTCTGGAGTTTATGCGTTGGGTTCACCTTCTGTTATGGGACCGCGAGTTTAACTCAGGTATAAGAGTGCTCGCGCCCGTGGAATAAATATGATCATTTCTTCGTCCTGCAACTTAATAATGGTTAAACATACTTCTCTAATGATTTTTACCTCAACCGCCTTGCGTGCTAAGATGCTATGGATATCCAGCGGCCAGACCCGCCAGTATCTCCCTGCCACACTTGATCCGGCATGACCATAAAATCCCGAGTCAGCCAGGACGGCCCTATCTATTACAATTGATTTGAGGGTGGTTGGATTTGCTGGCTTTTCTGTGATGGGCAGATATACATACATGGGTGTCAGTACCCGTTGAGCTGCCAGTCAGTCTATGTGCACGGACAGCGGCATCAATTGCTGAAAAAGATGCACAATGTCTGACTATGAGAAACACAGTGTTTTTGCTATCAGAGATATGGATAGCATTGCTGAGAGTTCAAAAGGGGAAGACAGGACAGTTACCCCGTAAAGCGCTGGATCGAATTAGTTTATTGGGATACAGACGGGATCGAATACTGTAGCTTTGAGTGCAGTCACCCGTAAGCACAGCAGCCACAGGAAGATCGTACGGGAATAACGACGGAATAGATGGGAAGAGATGCATCCACAAATGGGATGAAGTAAGAATGATCGGAATATTCATATAGTATTTACTGCTCACAGAGCAATGAACCGAAGACTCTTAATGAAGTCATTGCATCAAGAAAGAGTTGAGATCGTGAGCTCCTGGACTCGTATATACATACTTCTGCTTCGAAATAGACGGCAAATAGCGAACAGGGAAGAAAACGGTAAAAGAACACCCGCAATTAAATAGTACAGTTCAAGTAGCACGACACATGCTCAGATCCAATGTCCCCGCATTGTTATGAGGATGTTGAGAGGTATTGCTCTTCATTCGTGATTAGCAGACCCGCGATGGCCGCACTCGTCAGAGTACTGATGGCGCCTGTGAGCATGGCGCTGACGGCAACACGAGACACATCACCAGCTCGGCTGGGTGCTAGTTGGGCCAGCACACCAATTTGGTTTCCGAGAGAACCGATGTTCGCGAAACCGCACAGGGCATAAGTGGCGATCAGCCGGGAGCGGGGTGACAGGGTTTGGAATTCATCTTTGTTCTGTAGGTAATCGTATGCGATGAACTCGTTCTGTTTGGAGTCTGTTAGCATGTTTGTGGTTCTCTCGAACCAAAGGCAGTGGGGCTTACCATAACAAGCTTGGTGCCGATGAGTTTAGCGACCTTCAGGAGATCACCGTTGCGGGAGACACCAAGAAGGAATGCAATCGGGTAGCAGATGTAGCCAACAATGAGCTCAATGGTCAAATCCGGCTCGTAAATGTTCAGGTAGTGACCCCACCAGGTCAACAGGCCGTCAACAAGACCCACAAGGGAGATGATACACAAAAGTGTAGTGGCAATCATGCCTGCAATTTTAATACCCATCCAGGCTCCGTTGGAGAATGCGTGAAGGGCGTTGGCTGCTTTGTGGCTATCATCTTCAGGGACGACAATACGGCCAGCTGTCAGCGTTTCCTCTTCCTCGGGCCAGCGCAGCTTAGATGCTGCCAAGGATGCCGGAATACTCATCACGCACGAGGAAACCAGCGCTTGGGGGTTCAAACCCATTCCGATAAAGGATACCAGGACTGATCCTGCGATGGTAGCGAATCCAGAGCACATGACTTGGTGAATTTCCGCCATCGTAAGATAGGGAACGAAAGGCTTGATAAGCATGGCCGACTCGCCTTGTCCGATAAAAGGAGATGCAGCTGCCACCACAGCTTCAGCTCCCGAGATGCGCATTGCCCAGAAGAAGAATACGGCAAACTTGCCAATTGCCCACTGGAGAACTCCAGTGTAGTAGAGTAACTGCACGATAGACACGAAGAAGATGATAGCCGGGACCACACTAACGAGGAACCAGCTGCTGTGCTTATCGGCCCAACCAGTTTCCACCAAGAAATCCACACCTTGTCTGGAGAACTCCAAGAGTTCTCTGGCCAACGTGGAAATGAAATTAAAGATATCATATCCCGCCTTGGTTCTGAGGACGAAGAGTGCGATGATGAATTGCACAAGCATTCCCACGATGACAGTATGCCAGATAATCTTCTTCCGATTTCTTGAGGTAAGCCACAAGACAAAGAGGAAAACAATTAGTCCAAAGAGGCTGACGGCCCGATTTGCGCGGGTATTGTCAGCAGACTCCGGCGAGGCAAAAGAGCCGACGATAATCACTGCAATCGTCAAGAGCGCACCGCTGGGGATTCTTAGCTTTTCTGGGATCATGTCGACGAATCGTGAAGCGGTCTTGTTCCATATCCAGTAGACTGGTCTGGTTAAAATCGAGATGGGAACATAGAGAAAGAGGAGGCGCAATGTAATCGCGAGGTAGAGCAAAAATGGGATCAACCAGCCCAGATCATACCGGTGGAGGATGAGACCGGCAATCCACCAGCTATAAGTGACATAATGAGCTTTGAAAAGATCACAGCTACCTCGCTGGCAGGTGTCCCCGACAGCTCGAAGAAGGCACAACTCACCCGGTGAACAAGAGCCAGATGACGGCGTAGACAACATGCTTCAACCACGGGCGATAGCGGCGCCACGACCGCGACGGAACGTTTTCACCTGCCTCCTCGTCTTTATCATCCTTCTTCTGGCCACTGCTATCGAGAGAACCCGACTCTGGTAGTTCTCTCTTCTCGGAGTGCACATCTTTCGTGTAAGTGATATCTTCTTCAATATCTCGTTGCGCATTAGGACCTGCGCCATGATGCTGTGGCGTAGCTTCCTCCATCGTAGGCATAGTATAGGAGATCGCGTGACTCGCAGATGTGCCGTTGTCTTCCAGTCTCTTCTCATCCACCATCTCCACGCCGCTTGTAACGTATCAAGTAGCACGTGGGTTAATCCCGTTGATCTGTTCAAGGCTGTGGCAAGATCAAAATGTGATCAATATTTCACTGACGGGGCAGGACCGGGGGAGGATTAACAGGATTTTATTATTAAATGCATGGACCCAGATGTGAATTGATTGGGGTCTGACAATAAGATAATGGGAATGTGTGTTAGACGAGTAAAAATTTCAGCTCAGGCCATGTCCACCTGAGATAAGGCCGTTAGAGGAAAGACTGACCGATGCAAGGCTGGGACTTATCGGTTGACAACCCAGTAAGCGGGGATAGTGTATGTTCTTAACCTTAAGACCTTGTCTCATGGCATGGTGTTCTCAACTATACAGGACGCTAGTGGCTAGTCTTCTACGGTTGTTCTGGATGGCTAGGGGAATTTTTTCCCTCTTTCTTTTCTATGTTCTCTCCCCGATGCCTTTTGCTGGAGCAGCATGCAGACCATCTACAACCGGTGTGTGGCTGGGTGGTGGATTCAACCAGTAATGGAAAAGTAAAAGAAAAAAAAATTCTTCGAAGGAAGCTAAGTTAAAACTCCACTTATCCAATCCCAGGTTATGGAGAGTGGCAAAGACTTTTTTTTTTTTTTTCTCTTGTCTTCCGTCGTGATAAGACTGTTGCAGCACTAAAACGTCACTAGGGGCAAGATTACAAGCCCGAGGCCATACATTGGCGGAAGATCAACGCTGAGAAGCCAAAGTTTTCTTAGTCTGCCGACACCTTGACATTACATCTCCGCACAAAAGAAGTCGCTCGTGTGCCGCCCTCTCTATTTTAGGTTAATACCGTTCTCCCCTTGGAGATGAAAATAAACTATCAAGGCAGAGGGCCAGGTATTTTTGGCCCTGAATATTCCTTTCGATGTTACTATGTGTGATTGATTGTTATAAGGTTAGGGTTCTCCACTAATACACCGAGCCGTGGTTGTGGAGGTTTGAATACAGTTTCTATTTGAAAATGATATCCACCTTGAAGTGCTGAAGAAGGCACCACAGTGGGCATACCTTAGCTCCCAACCACTCTGGAGTACATGAAATTAGCGCTATGGGCTCAAAGGGGTAAAGCACACCGACACTAACCGCACTTTCGACTCAGGTGCCAAGCCCAACGAGTACTAGTATAAACCCGATAACATTTGATGAATCCCTTGGTATCGGTGAACGCCGGAGTGTTGCCGAGCGTCGTTTCACCACGGTGCAGCCAACAAACGAGGGCTTCTGATAGGGCTTGATAAGCTCTCGGACTGCCAAGCCACCAATACTCTTCCCTGATTTATGGTGACATTGATCGCTGCACAATGCGATGTATATACGGAGATTGCCGGACTTTGGTCAGGCCTTTATACAGAATTAGTTATGAGAACGACGATCCGGGGTAACTCACCAATTGTGATCGTCTTACTTTTGCCCATGGCCATCTATACTCCGAAGGAGTACTTTTCTGGGGTGCAATTTAGCGGCATAAGACTTGCCCCGGGACGGCTCGTTCATTGTCCACTTTCATATTGTCTTCTTAGGTTACATCGGCGTTCCACCGTGACCTTTCGGATGCCTAGGTATTTTGTTGCTATTCAATTTCCCTTCGACTAAATCACATGTCTCGAGAAATGTGTCGTCCGATGAACTCTCGCAGACGATGAGATATTCTGTACACTATCCTCTGTACGAAGCAACCACCCAATTGCCAGATCAAGTCGGCATTTCGGATAAAGTTAGGTTGTGCCGCAAACAAACATGGCCCACTATACCTCAAGCGGGGAACGGTGACCTTGTCAATGTCATCGATGCTCTGCCCCTTCCTCGACCTCCATCATCATTTTTCTTCAACCGAGCTATACATCCGCCATGAACTCAAGCGATATCGACTGGGAGTTAGAAGAAGGGATACCCCAGGTTGACGACCCTTTCATTCAACAGTACCTGAAGGGTCGTACCTCCCTCGTATTGGAGGAGCAAAAGCAGCGATATGGTCAGTTCCCCACAGGTAGTCAGACAATCAACCGAGCTCATTACTCACCAGACTTGGAATTATAGACACCAATCTTCGCAAAGCCTTGTCGCCAGTAGCTAGGAAGGCTTGCGACATCGTTTCTAAGATACGCGCCCACGATCTGACAAATTTAGGGCTGAACGAGGGAAATCCCCGCCAGTTAACCTCTACCCCTCAGACGAGTCGCATATCCCACCTTACCAGGGATGAGGTGCAAAAAACAGACCTATGGAGAATCTTACAGAAGATGCCGAAGGGATCACTGCTACATGCGCACATGGAGACCATGTTGGATATCGACTTTGTAATAGCGGAGGCCTTCAAAACACCCGGCATCCACATATATGCGCCAAAGCCTTTGGCTTCTCAACGGGACTATGAAGAAGGGATTTTCTACTTCCGATACTCGCCGCCGGTACAAAACTTGGAGAACGAGCCTACGTTATGGGACCCCAGCTACGAACCATCTAGTCTAGTCAGCTTACAAAAGGCGGCGTCATCGTTTCCCGACGGCGGAGAAGCTGGGTTTCATGTCTGGTTGAAGAAGCGATGTACTTTCGCATCAGCGCATTCATATCACCATGGATCCGACGATATTTTGGATGCCTATAAGACTTTATCATCTGTTGTTATCTCTCTTTTAAGCTACGAGCCCATCTTCCGCTCGTGCCTTCGTCAGATGTTTTCGCAAATTGCTGCCGACGGCATAAACTATGTGGAAATTAGGAATTCTTTTACATTCCCATACATACAGGAAGGAAGCTCTACTCCCGAAGAAGACTATTCTGCATGGTGTCGTGCATTTCAGGAGGAACTTGAGCGTTTCAGAGGCACCGAAGGAGGGAAGACGTTCTGTGGAGCACGCATCATTTGGACGGCTTCACGCACACTGTCAAACAGAGAGATATCTGGTAGCATGATAAACTGTATCCTGGCGAAGCAGGACTTTCCAGAGGTGATCTGTGGATTCGATGTGGTAGGGCAAGGAGGTGATGCCAGATCGCTTGTCGACCTCGTTCCCATTCTGTTCTGGTTCCGAAAACAATGCGCTGAAGAAGGGGTGGATATCCCTTTCCTGTTCCATACCGGTGAAAATGGATGTGATGACAAACAGGCTGAACACGACCTATATGATGCGATTCTACTTGGCGCCAGGAGGCTTGGCCCTGGAGAGTCCCTATATAAGCATCCCTTGCTCCTGGAGTTGATTAAGGAAAAGAAGATCCTTGTCGAGTGCTGCCCTATTGTGAAGGGTATCACTGGCCAAACAGATTCTACACAGGTTGATCTGCTTTCCGTTCTGTTATCCCGCGGCGTCCCTGTTTCTCTTAGCAGCTACCTTCCAGACCTTTCCGAGCGTGGATTGAATAGCTTGACGTTTGAGTTTTGGCAGGCACTTCAGGGCCCCGATAACCTTGAGCTGCCGGGCCTTGCGATGATGGTGGAGAATTCAATCCGGTGGAGCTGCTATGAAGACCAGTCCACAGTTGAATGGCAGTCGGATATTCGAGAGGGAATACTAGGTGAAGGCATAAAGGCCGCCCGTTTACGGGACTGGTATGCTGGCTTCGAGAAATTTTGCGAGTGGATAGCACTGGAATTCGCTGAAGCGGATATATCTTAGTTTTAAGCTTTAAGTGTATTGATGGATTTAATAGCTAATGTATAATACCACTGAGATCTTGTGTCTCTAGACATAATCAGGACTCGTTAGAACCCTGTTCAGGCCCCTATGAAGTACATACGACTAGTAGACTCCGGAATGCCATACCCACAGTGGAGCTTGAATGCAGATGACTGACTCAGGAATATACCGTGATCGTCCAGTCACGTGAAACGCAAGGTATGTTGATGATGCGATGAGTCGTTCGCAGAGATAATAACGGCCATACGTTTCGATGATCTACCGGAATGTAATTATAGTAATTTATTCCCGGACTAGTATTCTTAGCCTCGGCACTCTTTAGCGTTACCACTGCCTACTCTGCCTTATTGAGTACGGCTATCGGCTTGAAAAGGTCGAAGGTAACAGGCGGTCGAGAAACGATCAGGGACTGAAACCAGATCCACAGACTTGTTGTTTGTGTTGTAACTGGTCTGAGTGCTGTGGAAACCACGCGCCCGTGACAAAGTGGATGATATGAAGAAGATCCATCACGCGTAGACTACCCTAAACCGGTAGTGTCCTCGTTGGGTTGCCACGGTTCACTTGGTCGACGCGCTTTAAGATCTGGTGGTTAGGATAGTTTCTAACAACTGAACAACTCAATACCACCCACTACCGACATTTGACGTATGTATGAGTTGTCACGGTGTGGTTTTCTTTCGGTCACTCCAATTATGACGAGCTCCGCCTGACTTTGCGGTGGTTGATCCGACCGTCGCTATCTGATTGCTAGTACTGATAAATACAGTAACTAAGCTAGCACTAGCGCTGGGTTTCCCCGAACGTCATTCTAATCAGTCCATACCCAACAACCCTCCGCATCTGTTTGTCCCCTTGGGGGAAGTACCGTCCAAGCCTTAGCCTTGCATCCCATCCGCCCAGCGTTCACTTTTAATATTATGAAACCCACCCGATGACACCTGCGATCTTTAAATGAGCCCCGGTCGGCTCCTTCTCCCACCAAAATGGCTTACTTCTTGCCCTCGTTCTTTCAGAAGCGGTTGCTCAGATATGCCTTGTCCCGCCTGGAGCTTGTCGATACGGAAGCACTAGATCTTGATAGTCTAGGTATCCGCTGGGGACAACGTAGTACCGTTGAACTGCGGGATATAGGTTTGAGGCTCGAGGTGAGTGAACCATGCTAATCCCTGGTCAGTGCCGGACCGAGCGTCTCGGTACTTCTGCTTTCTGTGCGCTAACATGTATGGCTCTTTGGATAGAAATTAGCCACACTCCTTCACCTCCCTCCATCATGCGAGCTGCTCAGTGCTCGTGTTCAGTTCCTAAAGCTCACGGTTCCGGCCGATATCCACAGCAGCGGTATAATATGTGAAGCTAGCGGGGTCGATGTGCATTTGAGGCTATCGTTGGAGGAGACACGTGCTGAAACGCACGATGCAACAACGGACCCGAAGGCCTCAGGGCGAGTTGGCCTTGGTTCTGGGGACGAACCAATCCTCCCCAACCCGACCGATCTCGCTGAGTCGTTCCTTCAAGCCGAGCCGAAAGAAGAAAGGGAAGAACTTCAGGCTGCTATCTCATCGCAGTCCCAGGTCCTCCAGCATCCATCGTCCTCGTCGAGCGATGATGAAGAGGAGCTCGGCCTGGGAAACGAAACCGTATCGTTACCCAGTTTTGTCGCTGCATTCATAAAGGGGGTCGTGGATCGACTCCAGGTCCAAGTCGACGACATCTCCATACGCGTGGATGTGGAGACCAAGCAAGAGGGGTCGTCAAAAAGGCATCCGGAGGACAAGCCAGACTTAATAACGGGACTATTAAGTGTGCGCCAGGTCAATATGGGTGCAGTGTCCACTTATTCGGAATCAGGTGAAGCCTCATCGTCTGAGGGGAAACGATTGGTTTCCCTAGCTGAGATCAACCTTGCTTTAATATCTGAGCCAGTCGTTTTCTCCAACTATTCTCGCTTCGCTGCTCCGGCCTCACCATCTACTCCAGTACAGCCAAAGTCGAGCCAGCCTCCAAGTAGGGCCCACTCGCCTTCCCCGGAGACCTCGTCAGAATCGAGTTTGGCTCTAGC